TGGAGACAGTAAACATAGATCGAAAAATAGTATACGAATCAAGGCAGGTACGTAGTACTTGTACAAATGTTAAACATCCCAAACTCAACGATACATATATATATATATATATATATACATGAACTCGTAACCAAGGATGGGCATCAAAGACATAGAAACAATGTAGCCTGTAATATTGGATCTAAATAGTAGACCACTCTGGCAGGTACAGTACGTTGTACTAGCACATAATTGTACATCCCGAATCCTAGTATCCTAGAATATATATATAATATATATACAGGGGGCTCGTAACAATTCCAAGGATATCAATATATATTATATATATAATATTAACAATTCCATCGTACCACTTGGCGTCGGTTTGCCTTGATCGGTGATGGACACAAAGTTGGCCGCTTTTTTCAATGAATGGACCGTCGACGTCAAACACTCCAGTCCTATCCACGGCACAACCAATTATTGGATCATAATGTGTTTTATACACGGTTGTTTTGTGGTTTAAAACGAGTTTAAAAGGAGTTTAAAACGGTTTTAAATCGGACCTTTGAGAACGAGCGCGGCTTCGTTTTGCTGCATTTTCAGCTGGCGGGCCACGGGGGCACTCGAGTGGTATTGGAGATCTCGTTGTTTGGACTTGGCGATTTTGGCCAATGCGTTCACGATACGCTTGAACAGGTCCATCGAGTCCCAGTCGCAGTCGAAATTCAAGAAAATCTCACTCAAAATCAGCTGATCGTCGCAAATGTGGTTGAGCACTTCCAGCACGAGCATTTTATGCTCAAACGTCGAGTTGTCGCTGTCGAGAATGCGCAGAAAGATGTTGGTGATAAAGATCTCCATTTCCCCTACGTTAATTACAGAGTGTGGTTAATATTATGTCGATACAGATATATATATATATATATACATTTGTATATCTAGAGAGTGTCAAAGATTTGTCAACACATATACGATGAATATATATATATATATATATTTGTATATATATGAGCATATATATATGTTTGTATATATGTACCTTTTAAGTGGGCTTTGAAATGCGTGATCAGCACCACAAATACCCGTAAGCTGAGTTCGACCACTTGCGTGTAAATCGACGTGCAGTTTTGCAACAACGACACACACAAATACGACCGGATGGCGACCAAGAACCTAAACATATTTACACATAATATATATGTATATTATTTTTTTCATGCGAATTATTTTTAATTTCAAATCAACAAGCCAGGCAATATTATTATACTTGTCATAAAACATATCACAATTGATTATGTCACACTAGAATGCGCTGGATGTGTTATTACCGATCGTTGGAGTGAAACGTATTGCCGGCTTGATTGATAATCGCCAGGAGCAGGTCCAGCGAGATCATCTTGCTTTGCAATGCATACGGATCGTCTAGACAGCATATATGCATCAAAGTTGCAACTACAAATATATATATATATATATATAAATATTTATATATATATATATATATACCTCCTTGAGGCAAGTCGTCGGATGCAATGTCTCCTATTGCGTCGTCGACAACAAATCGCATGGAAATTCGACACAGCGCCCGAAACACCAAGTACGCGTCTTTGTGCCAAATGGACGGGAACGAAGTGCTGGTGTCAGGAAGAACGCCGTGGGTTTGCAAAGGGCGACTTACGAACTTCAGTTGAAATAGGTGCTGCACCTATACAAACAATATGACGACGATCAATTCCATATATATATATATACTGTACTACGATCGACACTGCTGCTGTCTTGATAAATAGAAAAAACAATGCTCTCAAAATGAAGTCGAAGGGTGAGTCTGGATGTAAAACAAAATAGTGGCCAAAATCTTCTATCTTCTGGCAATTTCAAAGAAACTGGCAAACAATTGAAAAAATATATATGTGTGTCTGGATCCAAAATTTGGAGAATTCAATAATATTTTGCCAAATATCACAAAATAGAAATGAGGTTGAACGGACTTAGGTTGGCAATACCTGAGAATAATAGGTTTTATATCGAAAGCAGGTTGATCCAGACAGTCCCCAATAGATGACAACCAAATACTTCGAATTACTTTAAACCAAATTTGCAAAATATTATTTGGGCAAAAAGTAGGGGGGTGATCGAGACTAAATCACACTATTTATATGCTATATCGACGAGGATACGTCGATTGGGAGAACAAAAGTGTCAAGGAGGTGGACGTACGGAAGGATACATGGACGTGCTGGCTTGTGTCGACGGGGGGGTTGAAGTAGTAGTACTAGTAGTAGTACTAGCGGTAGATGGTTCTGCGGCGGCAGTCTCCATGCGTTGAAAGGTACTTGCAATCATTCGTTGCAACGAGCCCTTTGCCACTGTTTGGTTGATTACGCTCTTGCTCACGAGGTAAATGTGAAAGCTACATACAAAATACACAGTGTGAGTATGTATTCTCCACGGGATACTTCTCTCTCCTGAAGGACCAAATTAGCATCGAAAAAGTAAAAGTACAGTGAACAAACACCAAGGCAAATACAGTCAGTCAGTACCATCGAAGTGGATATCCACGCTATATATATAGATATATGTTATCTATATCGAATATATACAGGCCTTGTAAAGTAATGTATTCCTTGTTAAGTATTTATATATATGTCTTCCTTGTTATGTATATATATATGTATGTATTCCTTGTGTAGTATATATATATATTATGTATTCCTTGTCAAGTGTATATATATATATATATAATGTATATAATGTATTCCTTGTCAAGTGTATGTAAATGTATTCTTTGTTTTGTGTATATTTATATCTATTCCTGTTAAGATGTCATATGTATATACAGTTAACAACGCACATACTATTGTCGATTTGATAGTACAAATTTGGGGAGCGGGTGCAATCGAATCGCGCCGACCAAACCGATCCACAATCGATCTGATTGGTTGAATTTCATTGAGAAGGTTTTGATTATATAATTGGCTAATAATTTTGAGCTCATCTGAAGTAGCCAATCAAATCGATTTAAATTCCAACTAGAAACCACGCTACAACACGAAATTTCACTAAAAAGCACAATATATTCGAAAATATTTCATACGCCTATGAGCTCAAGTACAGCTGAATCTGCACATGTACAACAATACAACCCAAATATTGTACTTTTCAAGCCGCCGCCACTGGAAGGACATGCATACAAACTCATCGCAGATAGACAAACACATCATCATCGCAAGCTTGAACAAGACGATGGACTAGGCACGAATGTGTTGGATATGCATGACGTACCTTGCGCGGATGGATTTGAGCAAGGAATGCTCGTGGACGGCGCAGGTGGTGCTTGTGGCCGCGGTCAGGACAGCCTTGAGGACCTGTAGCTGGACGTCGTTGTCGCTGTGGTCTTGGCAGCTGCATATGACTTCAACCACCGCGTCGATGAGCAAGATGCCGTGCTTCGCCGTCATGTTCATGGTGTCCTCGTGCAAGTCTAGCGTTCGTTGCAGGTGCGCCTGGAGGGCGCTCGTGATCTGCGCCGTGCCACGCATGTACCCGAACGCAAGCAGCTTTTCAATGCAGTCCAACGCCAAGCATGTGGTTTTGCTGCTGTGTTTGGTCAAGATCGCGCAGAACAACGGTGCGAAGTACGTTTCCTCCGACAGATTCGGTGTCCCTGCCTTTAGGTGCGACAACACTTCATCGCAACTCTCACGGAGCTCTTTGTCCTTGTCCCGTCGACTAAGGAGCTTGCGGATCTTGCCCACAGCACGCTCGATAAACACTTCCATACAGCTGTCGGTCGGTCAGTCGTCGCAGCCGCGTGCAATGCAAGGAATGATGGTCGTAGGTTATGATTGAGATTTTGAATCTTATTCGAGATATACTAGATGATTGTATGAATCATTTAAAAACCTTATTGTAAAATGACGTGGATTGAGGCAGCCAATCAAATAATTTCATCTCACCATTAAAAAATTAATTCCTAATATAAAACATTTTATTCTGAATAGATGAAAAATGGTTTACGGAGGAGTTTAAATAATTCTAGTTCGAGTCCTTCAGTGGTGCTAAGTTGTTATTTGAAAACTACATCATGATAAATGAAACTCGTTTATCCTTTCGTCCGGATAAATGTGCTGTTTCGTCAACGACTCTTCTTTCTTCTTGCGATCTATTATTGCTATTGTCTGGTCGACCTCGATGAGCAGCGCCAACAAGCTTGCGGGCCTGGTAGCCAAGATCAACCAAAGCGGCCTGCCATCGTTCCTACGGGAGAGTGCGCTCAGTCTGGCCTTCAACAGCCAGGTAAAGATGGCGGGTGTTGCGGGCATTCACATTGAATCATTGACCGAAAGCCAAAGCGTGTTGCACCTGAAGAACAGGTTCCGCGTCCAGAACCACATCGGTGGTGTCCACGCATGTGGCATGGCCCTCCTCGCTGAATCGGCGTCGGGTGTTGTGTTTGGAGTGAACGTCAAGGACACGCACTTGCCGCTGCTCAAGTCCATGTCCATCAACTACGTCAAACGCGCCCATGGTGATCTCAAAGCTGTGGCCACGTTGACGCCTGAGCAACGGGAAGCCATTCAACGTGATGATAAAGGCAACCTCGTCGTTGACGTCGTCCTCACAGATGAGAAGGGCGAACAACCGGTGGAATGTCAGATGACGTGGGCGTGGACGCCGAAGAAACGATCGACTAAACCGTAGTGTGCTTATAAAAGACACCAACTCTACAATTAAACAATACTAGCGATCTATGTAGTAGTACTACATACAGTGTGACTCATATTGGTCTCATATGATATGAGACCAAACTGCATGCCAATGCTGCCCGTTTGTCTTATACATGTAGTACTTGTGTCTATAATATCTCTGTCCGGCCACTGGGCTATATATACTATTCAACAAGCCCTTAACTTGACATAGTATTCTGTACGAAGCGCTCAATACTTTGCACATAAGTACTTAACGTTAGCCAAGTGCTACGGTACATTGTAGGGGGGTTAATAACTTCCATGCTACCAAAGTGGCTGGCTACACAAGCGCGAAATCGTCGATTCGAGTAGAGCATCCACTCAAACAGGGGTAAACTCGTGAGAGTCTGCACACTTCTGACGGCAAAAGGGTAAGTTGCATTTGGACTTCACACAACCAGTAGTAGGTACTAGTACCGGCGATGCTATCTTCATGGGATGGTCCGCGTTGGATTGCCACACGTTCAAGCAACACCTCACTGACGCTTCGTCACAATTACGTAAAGCCCAAACGTTAAATTTGTCCCCTTGTGTTTTTGTTATTCCGGCAATAATTAACAATAATTAACAGTACTATTAATAGTACTAAATAGTATTACTCGAGAGAATAATCATGGATGGTTGACTGCACTACTGGTAGACACACCATGTGGTCGATGTGCTGTGATTGTGTAAATAAATCTTGATAGCGTAACATACTGTACTTCAGAGTACTAGTGTCACGAACGATTGTATGTGGCACAGCAGCTACTACTGTATTTCAGTGTCAGTGCGGTCGAAAGTGAAACCAAACCCCCTCCGCATACATACACTATTAATAGTACTCCGGAGTACTAAGCTTACTACAGTACATTTATTAATAGTACTAATACTGCGTAGTATTAACAACTGCCATATCATACTATTAATAAGTAGTACCGGTATCATCATACAGTAACATGCGTTGAAGTTGTGCAATTCCTTCTCACGAAGGCACACCCATCCAACCACTAGTTTTTTGGGTGCGCGAAGCGAGCTGGAAAGGCAACCCCTGCAAAATTACTGGGAATAATTCCCTCATTAAAACAGTTCCACTGTTGTTGACCCGAAATACTGTTTCAATGAGATTTATAAGGAGCTTTCTAGTCGTTATCTATCGCTAACCACTGAGATGAACTTAACCCCAAGTATGAGGTGAGGTGGTCTGAGCATACAAAGCTCCTTATAAATCTCATTGAAACAGTATTTCGGGTCAAAACATCAGTGGAACTGTTTTAATGAGGGAATTGTACTATTACCGGGTAACCACTGAATAAACCACACTGTTGGACAACGAAAGGTAGATGTACTGTCACGTCGCAAACGCTACTGCACCTGTACTGTACCGGAATACTCATAGTCAATCGGTAAGACTTGAAAACACCATATTATCAATTTGGCGAGTTCCGTAGTGAAGTTAGCGTTACCGTGAAGTCGCTCGACGAACGATATGAACCTTGGTCGGTTCACGAGACACGGCAAGTTCGACTGGCAATTGATTTGATGTCGAACTTGCCTGTGTCGACCCGACAACAAGCCATTTTGTACGAATTACCTTTGTTAAGTACATATCCACATTGACCAATGCACCGCATTCCTATGTTACTAGGAGTCTTGAATTGTTTCTCGACTCATCGGTCGAAGAACACATAACGCCTTAACTGTAAAGCCAACGTAGCGTACAATGGGTCAACTTAGGTTGAAATATGAATACCAGTACTGGTACAATAAACGGTACAGTACTATTAATAGTAATCATCTACAAGCATACGCCAGGTAAACCCAGTCTGATCTAAGGATGTACTAGTACTACGTAGTAATGCGCTTTGTTGAACTTGAAGGCTCCATTTACAGCTGGATATTCAAAGCATCACCACGTGTTGTATGTGGTAGGTGTTGTTTATCCTAAATAACGTAGTAGTATGATGCTAACAGTAAACTAAAATATTACTCGACCTGTCCCCCGAGTGTAGACGCTTTGATACTTGACTTAATGTAATCAACAAGATATGATGCATGCAGTCATATTGCAGTCCTACACAATAGTACTCGCTGCAAGCAAATATCCTAACATTTAACGCAATATTACCTGTCAATACCGCGTTAAAGGTAGAATGGATGTCCATAGGTTGAAATTATATCCCCAAAGGACCTGTCGTACACTTGAATGTTGTATACTGGGCACCATTTGCGTAAATAAAAATACACCTGATAGCCCTAGCAGTAGTACACCCAGGACAGGCTTTCTCATTCTGAATTTTGCTGCGGGCATTGCATCCATCCATCCCTCCACCAAAAAGCAATCAAGCATGGTCCTCGTCAACCTGGATGCTGCCCCCGTCGTCCCCCGCAAGCCACAGACCCTGGTTCGGAAGGTTCTCACGTCGCTGACGTTTTGGATCCTTGTCGGCACGGCTGTGGGAATCCTCCTTGGGTCGCAAGCCCCCGACTTTAGCAAGAAGGCGGCGCCGACGGCCAACGTGTTTCTGCGCCCCGTCCAGTTCATCGTGTTCCCCCTCGTGTTCTCTACGCTGGTGGTCGGGATCGCCGGCAACGGCGACTTGAAAGCACTTGGGCGGGTCGCATTGAAGGCGTTCATTTACTTTGAAGTGGTCACGACGCTCGCTCTCGTGTTGGGGTTGGTCGCAGTCAACTTAGTGAAACCCGGGGACAACGGGTACAAGACGGTGGCCAACCCGAACGTGACCACGTCCGACAAGTTCACGTACGCAATTTGGATCAACCACTTGACCCCCAAGACGTGGGGCGAAATGATGGGCGGGTCGGGCTCGTCTGAGCTGCTCCAAGTGCTCGTAGCATCGGTTGTGTTTGGGTGCGCCACGGCGTTGGCCGACCCCAAGTCCAAGCAAAGGGTGCTCGACATTGCCGACGCCGTCATGTGGATTATGTTCAAGTTTGTGGACATTGTGATCTGGACGGCCCCCGTCGGGGTGTGCTTTAGCATTGCCAGCGCCGTCGCCAACAACGGCGGGCTGTCTGTGTTGTCGAGCCTCGGGCTCCTCGTCGTCACGTTGTACTTGACGCTGGTCGTGTTTATCCTTGTTGTGTTTGGCCCTGTATTTGTGTACATGAAGCTCAACCCGATCGAGTTTTTCCGAGGTATGAAGGAACCGCTCATCATTGCGTACACCACAGCCACGTCCGAGGCGGCGCTCCCCAAGGTATTTGAAGCGCTCGAAGCGTTTGGCGTGTCGCCGCATATCACGTCGTTCGTCGTGCCCTTTGGGTACTCGTTCAATTTGGACGGGTCGACGCTGTACTTGACCCTGGCATCCATCTTTTGTGCCCAGGCGGCCGGAATCGAAAAGTCTATTGGCGAGCAAGTCACGATGGTGCTCATGCTCATGATCTCGTCCAAGGGCGTGGCCGGCGTCCGCTCCGCCAGTATCATTGTCATCGCCGCCACGTTGGACCAATTTGCCATCCCTGCGTGGACCGTGGGGCTCCTCCTGGGTGCCGACTGGTTTATGGACATGGCGCGGACGTTCACGAACGTACTTGGCAACTGCCTCGCCGCTGTCGTGATGGCCAAACTCGAAGGCGAGTTCCGCAAACCAGGATGGGAAACCCTCCTCCACACAACCCACGACGTCCAAGAAGACAAGGTCGGTGGCCTCGAAGAAGAATTGATTGCCGACAAGGAGCGTTACTCGCACAACTAAGTGTGGGCGTGTATCTCCGTGTAGTGTTCGTTTTCAAAACAACTAGTCATGTGTATGAATACCATGTAGTAAAAGCTGCGTGTGGTCTTGCTGTATACAAGTACGTTGTGCCTCCAAACGTGAGCGGACTGTGATCATTTCAATGGCAGTAATATATACGTATGGGCGCAGTTCCGTGACACTTTTTGGGACCCTTCGATGGAGGGGTTCCTTTACTCCAGTATTATAATAGAGTTTCTTAACTGTAAAAAGGAGAAATAATGCAGTTCGTAGAACTTAAAATCATGTCGAAATTCGTATTAGTGTTGATGGAAAATGAATTAAAAGAGTGCAAATATCGATAACCGTTAGGCTGAAAACAGTTCCGAGCCACTTGATTTTATCCAGTTATCTGTCAAAAATTGCATCTGATTGGCTGAAAATTTCAGAGTGATTGTTTTCTACCAATCATGCATCGTGGCACGGAACCAAGTTGGCACGGAACTGCGCCCATACGTATACTCACAGTACTGGTAGTACCCAATCCTCCCTTACTCTACAAGGTACTACTGATCGGCCGATATTTTCCGTTAAGCCTGGGATAAATTAGCACTTCGAAGTAAATATTAATCCTACTACGTATTAATAGTACGAAGGACACATTTGGAAAGGTAGAAGTGGACGTCGTTGCCATGTGGCGCGCGAAGTCCGTGAACGTGTGCACCCGACGTGAGTCCGGGAACTAACCATGGCTGTAGAACTGTCGGACACGCGGCGTACCGCGGCAATCAGAGGTTCTCAAAGAATAATTTATTTACACTGTTAAAATATATTTTTAGTCAAAGGGAAAATAGATTATTTTGCGCCACCATCAAAATAGGTAAGTTTACATGAAACAAAATAGATAAGGGTGCGTCTGGTAAACGGAAATATTGCAATATTCAGGTCCAAAACACCATTTTGGGGCCGAATTCAACATATCTGATCAAAATTGAAACATGTCTTGCTTGAAGAGTTTTAACCCAAATCCAATAATTCGACGTGGGATTTACTCGTTGAAGAGATCCAACACGCCACATTACAAAATGGACCTTTTACCTCCATTTTGAAAATTGCATTTTGGTTAATCCCATTTTTCGAGAAAATGGAATATTATTTTTGAAATGTTATCAGACGCACCCTATCTTAACTACAACGGCGCCAAAATAAATAATCTATTCCAAATGACAGGATAATTCTCAATATGTTTGTTCAAAGTCAAAATGTATTCGGATGTAACCATAGACTGATAAACAATGAAACTTGTTTGACGAAGCTATATTGCTCCACCCAAATGCCGCCTCTAGCATTGCATCCAGTCTCCTATTGTGGCTTTGACCAGTGACCAGCGTCATGAGTGATGGTCATTCTTGAGTGCGATCGCCGTTTCGTTGGCCAAATTTGCAAGAAGCAACTGAAAGCCTTGAATATAATGCTATCTGTGCGAAGTGCACTTACAATACGTTAATTGCGTGAACGTCCCGATTCAATAGCACGAACTTCAAGATCTGTGATATGTTTAAGTTATTAGAATAATATTCTTTCTCAAAGTGCGTAATAAATAATATATTTTATTGCACCACAAGGAAAAATACGTTATCGTTTTCATCCTCCAGAAAAGATAAGTTATCTGTGAACCCACTGGTTGAGAATACTGGTTGAGAATAGGTATTAATAAAAGCTAGGTATTTGAGAAACCCTGTCGACAATGAACGACGGACGCAGCGCCGTCGACCCTGCGAAACACGTCGGTCTGCGCCAACTTGTGCACGGCCGCCGACGCCTCTCCGTCGCCGCGGGCATGGTGGACGTACGCCTTCGAGGAGGACGTAATACGTCATGCAATCCTCGTCGCCGTCGACGTGCACTTCGTCGCGCAGGTCATACACGTTGGCAACGTCGTCGGTGGTGGATCACGCGGAGTAGGCCATCGACAGGAGGTTTTTTCTCCTTATCCGATTACATGCAGGTCACGTTAGTTAAAATAAATTATTTTTGAGGGACAAATACGACTAACATTATATTGCTATTATTTTTTCCCTGCCCTGCATATATACTACGTAGGAATAAATTATTGCCGTCAACATGCACCCCCTAGGTACCGGTAGTTAAAATAAACTATTTTAGAGGGACAATTACGACTCATTTAAATAACAAGTATTTTTCCCCTGTCATGCATATACATACTACCCGGTACAGTAGTAAGTCGGCTCATCAACGATCAAACGCCCGATCAATGGTCGACCACGTTAAATTGTCGACAAAGACTTATCGTTAGCAATTTGATCGATCTACTTTGAAGTACTGTACGTCATTTGTATACATGTATATGCATAAATATGCTTTGGATGGTGAAGGGACCCGAGTTGGTGGAAACGTCATTGGCAGACGTGAATTCCAAGCTCACGTCGCCCGTACGAAGTGTGACTCTGTCACAGACGATGACTTTGTGACAGTTGTGTTCAAAGGACTCAACAACACACCACATTCGAAAAAGACGTGCATATAAACTCACCTTGGAGATACAATATACCGGATTTACTGTACTACTGTACTGTAGTATATGGGTAAATTGATTTCCGATCATAATAACCAAAAGGTCAGATTACCACAGGTGAGTACTTTGTGGAACTCGCTGAGGCATCTTGGGATGAAAAACCGAGACTACTCCACCAAAAAGTCTTCATTTTGAAATTATGGCTTCAAGCAACATGACCCCGCAGCCAAACATTGAACCCCTCGTGATGCCGTCGTGGCGGTATCGGATCGAACCGCTGGCATCGGGTGGTGGGGTGAGACTGACCATCCCGAACCACCGCACGACGGGCAGTACGCTCTGCTTGGTCGTGTTCTTGTTGATCTGGTGTAGCGTTGGCGGATTCATGTCGTCCATGGCTTTGGAAATGACGTCGTCCGCCGTCGCAATCGGACCGATTGTCGTGACGTCCATCGGCGCGCTTCTCATGGGCTCCGTGCTGCTATATTGGATGTTTGGCGAGGAAACCATCACGATCACACCCGCGATGTGCACATACCATTGGGAAGCGTTGTGCATCCATCGCACCAAGAACTACGACATCCACCAAATGGGTCCCCTGATTGTACACACCACCGTGAGCAGATCGAACACGGACGACAGCCATCGCGGCGACGAGCGGCAGCAGCGGATTGCGTTTCAGTACGGCGGGTCGCTCGTCCAGATGGGGTACTTGCTCTTGGAGCTGGAAGTGATTCCATTCTACAACGACCTATTGCAGTGCGTTCCTCAGAACTTAATCCCCCCCGCCGTGCGCCAGCAACGACCGCATGTGGAGCCAGTGTACATGGCCCAGCCACTGGACACGTCCAAGGACCAGGAACCACTCGTATAGATAGTAGGCGAACGATACATATTCGCCCTATATCGTTATTATTAATTCACATTCAACCATCCTTGGCATGCTTTGAAAGCTACTGGTATCCCCGAGTTCAGCCGCAATGAATGATGGGGGCCCATTGGGTCTTGTTCGTCATAGCATCGTGGTTCCCTGTCGATATCGAATTATTTGGAATAATGACAATACTACTGTAATCAACGTGTTGGGTAGTAACTAATACTTATAACTGTGTTATAAGTATTTGTTTAAGTATTTGCAACGAATACACCTTGCTTCTTGAAATGTCTCGTCCTGCTAATATTTTTCGATGCTGCGACCGAAGTGTGATGGGTACGTTGTTCAACGTTGTTTGCGTGTTCGACTTTGATGAGTTGTACTGGAGTAGCTTATAGATGTTTGCCACTGGGAGCAATCACGCAATAGTACCGGGGTAGTTTGGTGCGGTGCTCGAAGGAAAGTTAACCTTGGGGGACACTTAGAGAACCTGTACTGTACATGGATGGCTTCCACTGTGGGCTGCTTGCGATATTCAGTATTGTACTCAACGTCCTTGTTCGTCGGATTTTAAGCCCACAATGCCAATTTACCGTTGGTGCTAGCTATACTATGAACATAGCTAGCGACTGTCGCTTGCCTGCAGAATGGCAATTAATAGGTCAATGTTAGGTTGTTGTACATCTGTAACTCAAGATTATAATATTGGCTCGTTGGTCATATCTCTGTGAATTTGAGTAAACATCATTTATACTTACATGTCAACACACTCCTTTCCTTCGATCCACTGTACACCCCCCAAACCCTCCTTCCCACAGTACAGCCGCAGTCCCCGACATCGTACTCCCCCCGTCCCCACCCCCCGTCCCCCGACTTCGTCCATCTTGCACAATCCACCGCCCACCACAGCAACATAATCCCCATTCAACATCCAAGCCAATATCATCCCCATACTATATTTCAACCGCCGCTATGTTGTTTTAGCCATTTTCAACTCATTGAACTTCCATCACCACAGGATGCTCACTGTTCCGACTTTGTCTCTGGGTGCATGGATGCCATTGCAAACGTGCGCGGCCGCAGCCACGACCGGCCTTCGTCGCGCTCCCGCTCGATGTTCCCGATGCGGTCAATGTCGACACACCGACCAGACGTGGCGCCAAACACCCGCCGGAGCATGTCCTTGGCTGCGTCCGTCGCCGCGACGTCCACGGCGGTCCATCCGGTGATGTTCTTGTCATGCACGTCCGCCCCCGCGTCCACCAGCGCCGTCACGAGCTGGTACAGCCGCGTCGCGTGGTGGGGCTCCCACCACCACATGACGGCCATCGCCACGACACAATTGTATTCGACATCGCGGCAGTGCGGCGACGCGCCCGCGGCCAAAAGCATCCGCACCATCTCCAATGGCTTGTCCGCGGCACTATGAACGAATGATATGTGAAGTGGATAACTAACAACTACGGTGGGTTTCGTGGACATGTAGTAGTAACGTTACCACAAGGCCCAAAGCAATGGCGTGCCACACAACTGGATGCGAATACCATAAAGAGAGACGAAGGGAATTGTGTTAGGGAATAGGGAAATGGAGGTGGAGCTAGCCAAGAAAGGCGAGAGAGATGGGTGTGTACATGTGTACCTCGTCGGCGCCTATTTCTGTCTGGAGGTGGCAGCCATGAGTACAGAACAGTACAGTGTAGCACCGTTTGAATACAAAGTTGAAGTAGTTCTCCCGACAAGTAGGTGCACGACAAAAGAGATGAACGTATGATTGGATCTAAAACGTACCTCTGCCCCCGCTTCTACCAATGTTCGAGCGAGCTCGAGGTTGGACAGCCCACAAGCTACAAATAGGTAGGTGAGTATGTATGGTTGTACTGTACTTAGGTGCAACTTATGACTGGAAGTCACAGTATACCGAAGTGCAACGGAGTCGCGCCACCTGATAGCGTCGTGAACGCATATTGCCGTGGTATGTGGTTTTCATTCGAGGGTAGCGGTCGCCACTAGGGAACTATTACTGTGAGAACAACAATATTCTCCTTTGAACAGCACTCATACAAAATTCAAGTGCATACATACGTTGGTGCGAGCGTTCACGTTGGCGCCGTGTTCGAGCAAAAGCTGAACGATGCGGGGTTGCTGGTGCAACACGGCTATATGGAGCAACGTCTCGCCGGCCTGTGAACATGTATTAGGACCTGTAGGGGGGTTGTCCTGCACCCGGTGCAGAGTACACTTGTAACTCCAGTGCCATACATACACTGTTGGTTTGCTGTGGACACGCCATTCTCGATTGCAAAGCCGACGCGACAGTATCGACGTCGCCAAACTGAATGGCACTACAAACGTTGAAATATTGGTTGTCGTGTATCTAGTCTCATTGGAACTGACCGCACAATCTCCAACGACGTGTCGCGGGCTTGGCAGCCTGCATGTTGAAGCATATAAGGTGTGGTTTTAGCATTGTATTGCATCCACTTACGTGGCAGCATGCCGTGGCTTCCGTCGGCTCGCAGGAACCGACGGTCCTCCACGCCGAGAAAGTTCTACATGGTATGAGCGGTCGAAATGGCCGACGATATTGGGACGAACATGCACGCCTTTCTCGGCATTCCGCGGCTGGTTCAACTGCATGTCTTTGAATGTTGACGTGTGGCCATGAACGGTGCGTTGGATGTGCCACATGACAGAAAGGTCCACAGGCGTAGTATATCCATCCTCCATGGTCACGAAGGTCGATCGAGGAGTACGATGGCTGCACAAGCCAGGACGTAACGCCAGTGAAACGTCCATCGGAATACTTCTTTACAGCACCAGAGAATGGGATGCCAGCCCGACAAGATCATGGTGGAATGTCATTTGATATTGAGACTCATACTAATAAACTATCTCCTTACTCTAACAAGGGTTCTAAACGTGGTCCGGTGCCTCTCGTTGCGACAACATGCACGGAGACGGTGGACACGAATAGCGTTTAGGCACTGCCGCCGCCGACAAGGATGTTGTTGATGGGGATGTGGACCAACTTGACGAAGAACCCAATGAAGCCCATGAGGAGGAAGCCAACCCCGGTGGCACCGGCAATGCGGGCAAATTCTACATGACGAACGACGACGTGAGCCACTGTCCTGTACCTACATGGACAAGAGAGTGCGTGTACCTTTGCGGTCCGGCTTGGTGCACTTCTTGACTAAGTGGACGCTGTTCTTGGCGAACTGCTTCAAGGGTTCGATCACGAGGGCGTTGACGTCAGACATGGTGGCGGTGGGGGTGGCTGAGTGTGATTTCGGAACTGGGGGTCTGCCACAAAGGCGTCCGTAGAGTTTCTTTTTTATTTCAGCCAATGAAAATTCGTTTCCAGCGATCGATTGTTTTTACCACCAATCATATACGTTTAAAATAATGATATTTCGACCAATCCATTCGTGCAACGTAGGAGTGCCAAACTCTAATGAACCGTCTAAGTACCATTGAACATTCGTACTTAAGATGACATCCGGATTGTTCAGACCGTATTAGGTTATACGGTAAGTTAGTTCGAAACTTTGAAATCTAGTACTTCGTCGAAGTTCGATCCTTCCTGCATTTGTGCCATTTTTCAACACATGCGACCTTTACGCGATGTGGCCAGCGTGCACAAATGTCATCAATGTGTATGGCAATGAACTCATATGCTTGTCAAGGCAACGCACCAAATAGATCTCTCTGCTTTCTAAAGTGCTCGTAGAACGGTAGGTTAATCGCCTTGGCCTATAGGACTAATACCGGTAGGTAGTCAGCCTCTCACATGTTGCTCAACAGATGCAGTGGTAAGGAGGACCTTTGGCTCTTCACAGTCAGTCGCAGCAACGGCACACCAACCGCATTTCCGTTTGTATTGACTGTGAGAAACTGCAATCATTCGAAGATTCGACATCCCCACCCACCTCCCTCCCAAATTGCCACCTAGGATTTCACCGACTATAGCTTACCGATATGCACAACTGACAAAATTATAATCCATGACAATAGTCTCTAACGTTATCGGTAGTTTAGAGTCCCCCCTCGGCTAGAGTATTTCATAGCCGTATACAAGTGTAGCTAAGCCTCTGAAGTACACTGTACATAGCATAACAAGGACTCTGTATTCGTATGTACCAGTAGGTCATTCATTTACCGTGTAGTGTATATAGTTTAGACAGCTATATAGATTTGGACACCTCTGTAAAATGATATAATCCTCTGTAAAATTATATAGTTGGATTATTAAACTTGAGTATTGTATGCATGGGTAATGGACACTATCCGTATCCGGAGAATTGGCCCGCCTCTGTCTAAATCTATATACGTTATACGGTATTACTGTACCCTTCCATTTTCATGTAATCGGGACGACCATTTGGTGGCATTCGAAGTTCGAAGTAAACGGTGATCGTTTCAAGAACAACCTGGCGGCTCCATTCGATCGAAACAACATCGACCGGTCCGGTTGACGACACCTCCAGCAATCCCATTCTCGGCATGGCAGACGAACAACTGGACAATGTCGTGGCGGAGACTCGGCCGCGCGCAGGGACCACCAGCGTGCCCATGATGCGGTCCCTGACACCTGGCACCGAGTCGGCCTTGCCCATCTACAAGTTTGTGCTCACAGGCGGTCCTTGCGCAGGGAAGACCACGTCGCTCGATCGCCTCTCGTCATACTTTCGGTACTGATCGTAGCAATTCATTGACATGTCGGTACTTATCCCTTGCGGGCGTGCAGGGAGCGTGGCTTCCGCGTGTACATGGTACCCGAGGCGTCGACGTTGCTACAGACCGGTGGCGCGTACGTCATGTAAGGCGACAAGGCAGTCGTTTAGCTGGTAGATGAGACATGCTACGTATAGGGACTTGAAGGCCACCGACGTGTTGAACTTTCAGTGGCAGATCCTATCGACGCAGATTGCGCTGGAAGACGCGTTTATGTCATTGGCCAAAGACACCAACTGCCCGTGCGTGATCCTGTGTGACCGTGGCGCGATGGATGGCTCAGCGTACATGTCACCCGACCAGTGGGAAGAGCTCAAAGTCCTTCACGACCTCGACACTGTGACGTTGCGTGACACGTACGACATCTTCACTGGCCCTTGTTTGTAGCTAGCTACCTAGCTGGCTACCGTCTTATGTTTTTTTGTGTGTGCAGCTACCTCCTTTTGTGTTTATTTGTAGGTAGCTGGCTATTGTCTGTGTTGGTTCTGTATCTAGCACCTAGCTAGCTAGCTGGCTACCTACCGTACGGTGTTTGCTTATGCTTGTAGCTAGCCAGGTGGCTACCATCTTGTGTGTGCTTGTGTGTACCTAGCTAGCCACGTGTTTCTATCGCCATGTGTGTTTATATCTAGCTTGCTGTTGGTATACATTATCTTGCGTTTCGTGTAGCTGCTGGCTACACGAAACCAGCAGCTACAAGCAAACACAAGATTGTAGCTACACGACTGCTAGCTGGCTACAATCTTGGATGTAGCTGGCTGGCTACACTCTAACATTTGTTGATTTTGATTTACATTCTGTAGCCGGTACAATGCCGTGTTTCACTTGGTCACGGCCGCCAACGGTGCCGAGTCGTACTACTCGCTTGAAAACAATAGCACCCGCTCTGAAACGCTGCAGCAAGCCATCGACGCCGACAACCGGCTGTGCCACGCATGGGTTGGCCATCCCAAATTTTTTGTATTTGGTTCGTTTCTATTGGTTTTGATCTTTTATATATATATGGTGTTGACAATGATAATTTGTATACAGACAACTCGACGGGGTTCGAGTCGAAAATGCAGCGATTGATCAGCACAGCGGCCAATTTAACCGGGCTGCCGTCGACGGTCAAAACTGCCAAGAAATACCTCCTCACGTCCTTGCCGCCGTCGTGGCCCATCCATGTCGAAGAGTTCGAGGTCGAAAAGGTTTACTTGTCCGTCTTACCCACCACGGACGGTAAACCACAAATCTTGTACTGTGTGAATAACAGACTCGACGATGAATTCGTTGTCTTGCAATATATACACTTATATAATATATATATATATTGGAAATTCTGTATGAATATCCCGACCCCGTTCAATCGAATGTTGCCGCCGACTGAATCGGGCATGAATCTCTCCGATTGGTCAATCCGAAATGAGTTGTCGCTGATTGGCTACAATCCATGTTCGATTTTCGACCGGAATGGGCGAAGTGGATAGTAGCCAATCAGATTTCTCGGCTCTATTTGGCCTCGATTGAACGAACGATGGAAAATCGGGAAATTTGAAGAAAATCGACAATATTTATATATATTAATTAATATATGTTGAATTCTTGTAGAAGGGACCAAGGATTATGACTTTGTGCGATGCCGTACGCAATACGGCCTACCTTCGTACGGGATGACCACTGTCCGTTACTTGGAGGACTCGGACGAACCGTACGTAATAATACTATTTGGTTAATCATGTCCCCTATCATATATATATATATATATTTGGATCATATATGGCGCATTACTTGTTATAAAGTATTTATGTTGATAGTTTTTGATGGGTTGTGGGTGTAGAGTGCACTTGAAGCGCGTGCTGAGTGCGCGTGAATATGGTTATGCCGTGCGCCATCGAAAAGATCACACCCGCCTCGTGATCAAACAGCGTCGCATTTGCTTTCTCTGGAACAACCAGTCGTTCAATATTCACTGGTACAAGGAACCGGCGAGCATTGCAAACCAAGGCATCGTGCATGTGCAGGTACGATCTAGCAATATTTATACTTGTGATTATGAATATTTATTTCTCTGGAGAAAACTGTTTACACAAACTCTAGCATGTGTGTGTTGATAGTGTATATATTTTTTTACTTGTATGATTTTGGGATGATCTGATATTTATAATTATTTTGAATTGGATTAGGCGTCCGACTCGGAAACGCCCGTGTCGATCCCAGACTTTTTAGACATTTCCGAAGAACTCTCGAAAAGCCATCCATATTACTCGGCCTACAACATTGCCCTAGAATAACGACTACGACGAGTAGTTAGTTGGTCCTATCATCAGACCACGTCATAGTTAACCATCCACTTAATTGTATTATTCCGATCAGATTGCCATCGCAACACCTACTAGTCCGACGCGAGTCCAAGTCTTTGGCATACCAGTACAACTACTAGTACTTGTTAGTCCATACTAGTACACTAGTACTACTCGTACTAGGCTGAAACCAAAAGCATCTGATAGCGATGTCTCAACTCCCAGATAACGTCATCGTCGCACAAAAGTACTAGTGCTTGATGCTAATTGGTAGTGCAGTACTACCAGTTAGCATCACTCAAAGCCACTTTTGATGCTACTCGAAGGCCAAACTACAAAATTCTTTGCATATCGAAACATCATGGGGGCTCTCAAATAATATATATATATACCCCAGACATGCTAAACCGGCAGTCAAGACCAACCATCCCGTTTCTTCGATCCATTAGTATATCAACGAACAAGTACAGTAGTCGTGGCTACTTTTTCTTCTTTTTGGCCTTGGCTTCGGCTTTGAGCCGCGCATCCTCCATGGCCAGACGCCGCTCCATGTCTCGATCCGCCGCGATCTTGCGCAGCCGCGCGTCCTCTGCGTCCTGCCGCTTCTTGTCGGCCACGCGGTCGATCTCATGCTGCACGCGGCGCTCGACCGCGTTCGCCGCATGCCATTCCTGGGTCTCAATCTTGAGTCGCTCCAAAGCATGGTCGGCGGCGCGGGCTTTGGCTTCGGCCTGAATCATTTGTCGTTTCCCAAACAATTTGGACGCCATGTCGTCGTGGAGCTGTCGGTTTTCGCCCATTTGCACCGCGATAACTTCGAGCTCCTTGTCCGCCAACGCGTTGCATCCTAGCTCTACATGTCCAGCCATCCCTCCATCAGGATATGTTACAGTTCACGGCTACTGGTAGTAAGTAGTATAATGTCGGTTTAGTCAGGGAGTCACATGATTGATATTCGTGGAATGGATGGATGGATGGATGGTCACGAGGCTTGATTGAATTGTGTATCGTTCTTTACCCAAAAAGTACACGGACTCGTTGAAGAGCAACGATTTCGCCAAGATGCGACCGGCTTCGATGTTGAGCCCCGTACGAAACAAATTCAAAGACTCCAATGTTGTCGTGCTCGAGATGTATCCACAGAGTGCTTCGAACCCACTCAAGTCGCTCGTGTTGCCTACAGGTTCATATATAACGAAGGCCAGTATAGTGAACCCAAGTATATGACGGGGCAGGCTCAGAATCGTTCATTCATGTATGTATAGGTCTACCGCCATAAAACAAGATCAAAATTGATGTAAATGACGAAGGCCAGCATGCAGTAGTTAGTGACCCAAGTCAACCACCAAGGTTAGCATAGTCAACTCAAGGTAGTCTATATATATATTACCGTGGGTCGTGATCGGGTTGCCTTCCAAACTCAACGACGTGAGCACCGTGTTGTCGGTGAGCGCGGCCGCCAATTCATGCATGCACTTGGCATTCAACCGGTTCGAGCTCAAGTCAACGCTGGCCACCCGTTTGTTGGTACGCAACATGCGAGCAACGTCCGTGACCACCGATTCCCCCAGCCCGTTGTTGCTTAAGTCCAGGGACACCACCGATTGATTCAGTCCCAGCACCCGCAGCACCGCCCGGGCCGACGCGTCGTTCAGACCGCGCACCATGAGCGTGTCGTGGGTGTTGTTGGCGACAATCTACTTGCGTTCATGATGTACATACACCTACTGCATGTACCTGTTCAACGAGGATTTGGATCTTGGGGTTGTGCGCAAACGCGTCGGCGTCGTCGGCGTCGTCTCGAGCCATCTTGGACTCCAAGTCTGCTTGGGACTTCTTGCGGTTGTAGCGCTCCATAAACTTGGTGTACGCCGTCATGTGCATGGAAAACTCGTCGTCAAACTTCTTTTGGAGGATCACTAACGTGTTGGGCACGCTTTCGTGGGCTGGAATGCCGTATCGCACCATCTACGACACAAGTGTGGGTGGGTGTTGTCAACAGAGTGTGTTGATTTAGCAGAGTTTGCGGTTTATAGAGTGCCAGTGCCTTTTCTACCTCAGAGCGCAAGTCCTCAGTGCTGAGGGCGTTGGCATCGCGGTGGTGTGGCCGCTCCGGTTGAATGCCCTCCTCTGACTTCATGTTAGTGTGGCAACGACGAAACGACCAAATGAAACCGTTGGCAGTTACGAGTACTACACTGCCGTAGTAAGTCACTTGCGAGACCATAGTACAAGCTACATTTACATTCGCAGTTCGGTGTCATTAGAACAATAAATCGAGTTTTATCACGGTCATATCATGGCATGATCGATGATCCATTACTCACGTTAAAACCAGACTTCAGTACACTGCCATGTTCCAGTTTTTCGAGTTTGGCCTTTGGGTCCCAATTTGTAACGGCCCTCTAACATAAAAACGGCTGCTGCCTACTTACTTGTGTTAGCATGCTGCCATTGCTCTCGCAGGCCATCGTATCGCCCAGATCCACTTCGAACAATCGACCACAACAGAGCTCGCCACGGTCAACCCTGCCATACTTAGCCCTCCATGGGCTGCCATCTCCCCGCCCCCTTCCAAAACTACACATGAAGCCCCAGCTTGATCCAGAGTACGTACGTTCACCACCAAATCTGCTGATAATTGTTTTGGCACGTCGTAGCTTTGTGCCCATGACAAAAGGTCGCAAAGGTCCGAAATCAGATCGATTTGTTGTGAACATGGACGACTGCCACACGCCTGAGCTGGTGGTACAAGGGTTTACGACGATGTTGGTACGATTTCAAAACAAAAACCTACCTTGAAATGCGAATAACAATATTCCCCTAGGCTGACATCCGAGCGAGTTTTGCACGTATCGACGCCACGACTGCTATTTTTCGCGCAGAGGTTTCGTTCAAGCTCCCATAATGTCCCCCTCAACCCCCCCATCATTCATAGATGGATGAAGCGAACGATGTGGTCCAATACATTTGCGATGTTCGTGAGGCGGCGAACAACCAATTCGACGACTTGGCCACAAGCAGCGCCGTGACCATTCAACGTGTGCATCGAGGCAACACCGGTCGAAGTAAGATGTACCCCCCCCCCGTCCCTCTGGACAGCTTGGATGTGCAAGGAATGCCACCTTGTGACATTACTCCTTTCGTAGGGCAATGTCTGAGGAAGCGCCAAGCATCGGCTGCAATTCAAGTGCAGCGTATCTTCCGAGGTCGACTCGCTCGACGGGCGTACGTGACCAAGAAGCTGCATTCTACCGTCGTAAGTCGTCTGCGTGATACTTGTGGTTTCAGTCCTGTAATATGTCCATATTGCACTCTCCCGGGCTGTTCAAAACGGAGGGCTATGGATTCATACTTGGGCGCTAAATGGCGACGTAGGCGAATACGGTGCTAGGGCTGCGGGCGATGCACAATTTACACCAGGACGACAAACTCCTCCAACTCGACGACGCTCAGACCGGCGATCGCGCCGCCACGTTGCTGCGGATGCTCAAAGCATCCATCACGATTCAATCGCGGTGGCGGGTCGCGTACAACAAGGTCCGAGGCAACGTCAGCGACATCCAGACCGTCCAAGCTCGTGCCGGCCGGCTGAACCGACTGCTTGTGCGTGTGGCGTGGCAGGTGGCCACGACCATCGGCATCCTCCGGTGCGTAGACGTACTATACCGATGCCATGACTTATTATGTTTGAGTGTTGGTTTTGGTCGTGTTGGCCGCGACGCTGGAGTTTCCTGATGGTGTCGTCGTAGGTATTGGCGCAAGGCCACGGCACTCAACCTGCTCAGTAAGCCCGCGGCGCTGCTTCGCCAACAACTCCACCGCCGCCGAAGCTCGATCGAGATAGCCGCCAACGCGATGATCGCCGCTCGGCTGAGATTTGCGGCGATCGCCGAGGCGGCCCCCCGCCATGCGGAGCAGCACGCAGAACACGTGATTGAGAATGTGTCGTTCTTTGCCCAGCCCCCCAAGGTATAATGTGTGGTGATTTCTTTTGTAATCGAGCTGTGTGTGATGCCTGCCTGGTTTGTCGAAAGTGAGATGGTGAAGTTTGCGTCCAGGATGATATGGGGCCACCACGACGAGATATCCATACGCAGACAGACATTAGTCGTGGTCTGTTATGTTGATGGGGCCTTGAATTCTAATCCATCGGACGTGTCGACATGTATATATATGCAGGAAACACCTTGGGGGGGCAGCGTGGCACTGGTGTGGTTAAAGCTCAAGACGTCCCCCCATCCAAGATGACATTTTGTGTTTCCCCTTCATCTCTCCCAAAGGAATGGTTTCATGCCATGTGCAAATATCTGTAGGCGTGGTATACCCGTCACGCAGGATCCGACAGCGTGGTCAAGTCCACTACCTCGTCGCACTCTACGGCGAGCCTCCCCCCACCCCCGCCGCCGCCATCGTTTGCATCCCCCAAGGCCCATTCCAAGACCAATGTGGTGCTTCTCGGCAATAACAAAGCCAGGTCGTCGTCCCTCCCGCTCACAAACACGCAGCGAGACACGTCGCGTTTTGGCATTGTGCCCAATGTTGTTGCCACCACCACCGAAGTTACGCGGGCATATCAAGCGGTCCACAGCTCGGTAGCCCCCCGTCCCGGCCACGTCAAAGTATCACCGACAAAGGTGTCGAATGTAAAACTGTCCCCTGATTCCATGCGCCAACGACAAGGTACTAAAAGTAGCAACGACGGTATAGACACTGGAGACCTACTGAATGATGAATTGAAACATGCCATATATGTGTACGCTGACCACCCTGTACGACCATGATGTGTGTGTATCATGTAGCTACGTACGATGCAAAGCGAAAAGCCAACGACAGCAGGGCGGGAGCTACGAAAGACATTACGGCCGCCATGGGCAAGGCGGCGTACCAAGAGGCAGGAATGCGTCGAACGATGGACCGCCAACGGCAATTAAAAGTAACCATTCTTGCAAATCGTCTCCACGTTGAAGAACAAACAAAATGCCTGACGATATTTGTGCACTTTGCTGTGCAGGTCAAAGTCGAACAGAGAAAGCATCGACGGGTGCGCCATCGATTCATATCGGTATATGGAGGAAGCTTCAAACATCATTTGGTTGTAATGACGTTGAGTTCTCTGAACCGTGTTGGGAATGTAATGCATTCGGCAGGCAAAACACAAGCAAACGACGTCACTGGTCAAGCTGAACCTGGCGCGAGCCCAAGGAATGGCGACAACCTCCACCGCCAACCACGAGAACCCGTCAAAGCCACTGGATGCCACCCCGAGTTGCCACTTGGAGAGTTCGACTGGGAGAAGGATCGTGGCCGATGCCATCAACTCCGCCATGCAAAATGTCTTGGCATGCTTGAGATGACCTTAATGTACATGAAATACACACTTGAAAAAACAAAGAGTATGGGGGTTGTGTGTGGTTGAAATAGAGGATGAATCTGTAAGGGCAAGTGCTGAGAATTCTTGGGCACAACCACAAGTAGTAGAACGTGCCGAACGTGCGTTGGATACGCCCGTCGAGTCTAAAGCTGCGACCAAGCGAAGTCGAGCCAATGGGTGTGTGAGGAGGCATGTGTGAAGTCGTGGTCGTTGGTAAAAACGACGAAACTATGCGAACGTGTTGGAGTGCAAGGGGAATCGGCCAGGGTAACTAGTTGAATTTGTGTTGTGTGCGGTCTACAACTACTACTCCTGTAGAACGTGCCAACGGTAGATCCGATACGCTAAACGTAAGTCGAGCCAATAGATGCCATGGGAGGCATGTGATCTGGTGGTGATATAATTGTGGAGATGATGATTGTGTCGACAGAGGTACGAGGCGACATGTGAAATGTGTGAGCGATCTTTTATATCTGCCAATCACACAACATGAGGCAACGTTGCCTGGTGACAATGGGAGGTTGAACTTCAACTTGCATTTACGCTTTGTGAGGTAGTACATACAATGTAGTTAGTACCGTGTACAGTACGTGGTAGCTAGCTATAGCAAGCAGTCGTCTCGCATACTGTCTTGTCTTGTCCTTCACATGTGCATGCAACTCATGTACAAATGTAGCCTCGTCCATATCGCAGCTACCGTATACACCTTATGGTAGTGTGCTACGTATGGCGAGCCTGATACTGTACCTGAAGAGCAGATCCGTTGACATATTTACAGTTAATGATGTTTCGTATTTTTGCACATTTCGTGTAATTCTGATTGGTCAGTTACGTTTTCGACCAATCAAAAACGTTGTAGACGCATGTCCGTTCGGATTCTCGAGCAAGAGCTCACGTTGGTGAAAGAGTTACCACCGACGACGACGCACAGCAATCGGCTCAACTGGTTCAGTCATCAATATGACTTCGACCAAGCGCAGTTTGTGTGACGCCGCCGCGACTACATCCACGTCAGCACATGCCGCTACCACGGACGTCCAGAACCTCGTGCACATGAGCGACGAACTGGTACGTACGTCTCGACTTGCGTCTCTCGGTATTTCATTCTCGTGGAATTTACATTCCGCATAGATTCTGCTGGTCTTTAGCTTCCTCACACCAGAGTCTATCCTGAAAACGAGACAACTTTCCAAGGCGTGGGCCGTCGTGAGCACCATGGACCGCATCTGGCAGCCGTTCTGCGTCGCTCGATGGCGCATGCAGCCGCGACTCCTTCGGCTCACTCGCTACGGCGTCCACTCGTACTTGGGGCTGTACCGCCACTTGCAATTAGCTGGCCAAAAGCCACACGGAGTGTACACAACGCCAGATAAACTCTCTTGGGGCCACAGCCGTCGACATGGCGTCGAGTCATGGTACGCCCCGTGTATTCGTTCGTGGCTCGACAAGTTTATGACTCAACCTTCTGTCATGGTTAGGCTCACGTTGGGCCATCGATCCGACTGCAAAACCGTGCGCGTCACCGGTCGCAGCTTTGTGCAACTCCGCGTTGTCGTCCAAAACTTGTCACCGTCCGTTGTGCTGGTCAACTTGACTGACATCAACGTGCACTTCAAAAACGGACCCGTCGTGCCCGTGGTACACACCATACGATTCCTTGCATGTGTGACAGCGTTTTGGTCGCTACTCTTTGTGGTGCACCCACACACAAATCACGAGCCGGCCACTCATTTCTGGGACGGTGTATAGGTGCACGATGTCGCAGCCACTACCCCTCCCATCTTAGATATGAAACCGCGTATTTTGGCCTGGAATGGGCATGCAGTTGACCCGTCGACGACTCCGCTGGCATCTTGTCCACTGTCGTTTTTCGAGTTTGTCGTCGTTGGGGTGTACGTTGCGTGTGACGACTGCGATTTCGAAGTGGATTTCCTCGAACGGTACTGTTATGCTCGTACGATTGATTATTGTTAACTGATGGGGATTAGAGCGCTGTCGGTTTGGATTCCCATGAAGCGGCACGGCGACTGCATCGACTTGGCGCGGTGCCGGTGCATGCTCCTGCCAGACCAGTACCATCACTTTGGCCTGCATATCCCCCTTGTAGACGAAGCCGTGATCTGGAACCGGTACACACAATGCAGCCGGGGGTTTATGGTGCTCAATGCCAAAGATCGTCTCACTGCCCCTCACGACCTACCCGCACGCTACTTGATTGTCGACGGCGCGTAGGACTTAACTTATCTTTTTAATCATGGCAGTGTGTGTGTGGTTTCATCACGAAGTTGCCATGGATCAACCCTGCGACACGTTTCGGGTCGTTTCTACTGGTAGTACTACTACATGACGATTACAATATTACTGTAATCCTTTATTATACAAGTGTTGATATTCTATTATTTATATGTCGTTAGTGTACTTCGAATTGTATTAATAGATTGTTCAATTATCTGTTCAATTTTCTGTAGTTAGTGTACCAGCACAGTCGTAGTTTGTTTCGTAAATACCCAGAGAAAGGGAAATATTTATACTATTAATACGTACTACTAGTAGTACTGTAGTATATAACTACATACTTCAGTACTACTACACCAGTTTTCGTTTAAGTTCAGGTTATTTCCGGTATATTTCGTCCGGCGCACAACTGATTCACGCCATGTGCGTTGAACATTCGATATATTTCGCCCAGACCCTACTTCGATACATTATATTTCGACTAATGTCCGGTATATGACACCCCCTAGGCGGTATATTTCACACGTTGTTCAATATATTTCAAATGATGTAATGATGTTCATTAAGAGTCGAGTGAAATTTCGTAATTTAAATCGATTTGATTGGCTACTTCAGATGAGCCCAAAATTATTAGCCAATCAAAACCTTCTCAATGAAATTCAACCAATCAGATCGATTGTGGATCGGTTTGGTCTGCGCGATTCGATTCCCCAAATTTGTATCAAATCGACAATTAGTAGTACTTACTCTTAACAGGCTGAAGCTTCACTTGAACAAGTTACTCTGTAACATTAACAAACGTTAAAATATACCCAGTCTGTGCATACTCATAAAATAAGAGGCGAGGATGGTAGCGCACTAGTAATGTTTATGCTCAATACGCTACAAATGGTGTCGTTGCATCCAACGTCCCTTGGTCGATATAGATAGCATGGTACCATGGGCTCAAAACAAGTACGGGGCCGCCACCGCTCCGAGGACGGTGGTGAGCGCGACACTCACGACGTTCACTTGTTCGTTGGACAGGATGTCGTAGCCGCTGATGTGGATCACGTCGAAGGTTGGAATAAGGGGCCACGGGACGATGCGGTTTGTGCGCGTGCAGTAGTACGTGCTTTGGAGGGTGGCACCTAGGATTGAGTCCAGCATGCACCCGATCAGGCCGCTGGCTAGGCCAAATAGCACTACGGGCCACTGCGGCGGGAACGATGCCTCCGACGACGAGGACACAACGAAGACGAGGACATGGTACAGGTAGAAGAGGGCTCCGATGAAGGTGCCGCCGGCCGCGGCTGCAAACGTCCCGAGCCAGGAAATGCCGCCGTTGGTTCCGGGCGGCACGGTGCGGCATCGTGTGATTAAGATGGGCGACGACGCGCTCAACACACCGAGTTCCGAGGCCCATGTGTCCGCGGCGCAGCATGCATAATGCGCAATGTACGCGCCCCACAACATCGTGGCCAGTGGAGACGCCACCGAGTCCAGTGGCCGGTCGTCGCCGACATAGACAAGGTACACCCCCGCAAGGAAGGTCGCGATGAGACTCACGGCGAGAACTTGGATGGACGAGCGTTGACCTCCAGCTTTTACGCTCGCGTCCAGTGTCGCTTTGCGCTCTTCCTTGTAATGGGTCAACTTGGTGCTGGAAAAGTAGAAAGCGAGGAGGAGGAGGCCAAAGCGATAGCCACACGCCATGGACGCGGTGCCCACGATGACGGCGGAGAATGCTCCGCCACGGCTCAGAGAGCGCCTCTTGAGGCCGCGATATGCCGCCAGGACACTCACGGACACCCCCACGGCGATTCGGATCGCCAAGTCCCACGCCATGCTCGGACTGTCTTTTTTTGAAATGTAGAATAGTATTAATACAGTATAATATATACTGTAGTTCCGCCAAAACATTTGTGATTAAGAAACCACCACTCTAATTTCTTTAATAATACTATTATTAATAGTACTTAGCATATATGTATACTTCGAAGAGCTGGAGCTGACGACCCCACGCTACACTAGAGTTATGCTCACAATAATGTCAACAACGAGTCCCCGCTAAAATTTCCAAGCTCGTTCCCTTGGTGGTAGTTGGGCCGAATTACAATAGTATTAATATTTACTTTGATCAATATTTATAGTAATATACTTAAAAGGATAGAAAATGCAAGTTCCAATGTTGATTGAATAATATACTTCGAAGTAATGTCTTAATAGTCGACGACCAACACTACGACGCACTTATTGTGGCTTTTCATCGTTTCGCACAAGATTTTGCCGCCAACTTTGATAGCCATGGCGCCGCGATCGTTCCGCTTGTCGCCGTCGTGCATACTGGTGGTATCAATGGGTGACATCACTCAGTGGAAGGGAGATGCGATCGTCAATGCTGCCAACCAGCGGATGCTGGGCGGCGGAGGTGTGGATGGCGCTATTCATCGTGCCGCTGGGCAGGCGCTTCGGCGAGCATGCGAGGCCGTGCCGCCCGTTGACGGCACATCCATCCGATGCCCTACCGGGGAAGCTCGGATCACTGGCGGGTTCCTTCTCCCCGCCAAGCATGTGATCCATACCGTGGGACCTATTTACAAAACCAAGGCGGAGTCGCGGCCGCTCCTCAAGGCGGCCTACGACAACTCGTTGGCGTTGGCGCTTGAACATGGATTGAGCTCGATAGCGTTTCCCGCCATCAGTTGCGGTGTGTTTGGGTATCCTCTCCTAGATGCGGCTGTCGTCGCCGTGGATGCGTGCCAGCGCGTGGCGTCCTCGTCGCCCAACTCGATTCAAGCGATTGAGTTTGTCTTGTTTTCGCCCGAAGTCGTCCAAGCTTGGCTTGCCGCTATTTCCAAAGCCCGTCTCCAAGAAATTCGTCATAACGACGACTTGTAGTTACATCAGTCCTTGACAGCATCGAGTACTTCACGGATACTAATGTAGTTAGTTGTCACGACGCCCAGATCAGCAATGAACTTCAGATGTGATTGTGCTTTCTACTAGTACACCACGGGAATGTAAGCACGCTAAACCCTTGCCAAGCATGGCCACCCACCTGTCGTATTCTACGGTTTCCTGATGAAAATCAATCTATATCATGTCAAATTTTGATATCGTTCAATACACCCTCCAAGCGAGGATTCGATGCCGTGATTTATAGTGTTAACGGCAGATAGCTCATAAACTCAACTCTACCTTGGACAAAAGTGCGTCGGTATTGAAACTGTTTGAACGAACTGTAGGTATCATCTAGTCACTAGGAAACAAGAGGTAATAAAGCGAAGAAAGTATTTCATGCTGTGGACATGTGTACATTGTAGTCGAGGTAATATCTTGATAATCGAATCCATGCTCATTCGTAGTCGAAACCAGAGCTCACCGTCGACTGCACCCATACAACGACATTGCCTCGGGACTGCTACTGTACTGATCTTGAATTATTTTACTTTTATTAAAATATTCCGAGAATACAAAACGTAGTTGTTGTATTAAAATGAAGTTTGAATAAAAATACAAGTCTGCACTACTGTACTGTATCAGCGACTTCCGCTAGTAGTAACTTAAGCCCATTTAAGTTTACTCATTTTTACGATGTACTAGTAGTATTATTATCTTTTACGTAGATTCGTTAGGGCCCGTCTGGTAACTTTTCATAAATAATATTCCATTTTTTGGTAAAATGGGATAACTAAATCAAAATGCCATTTTCAAAATCGAGGTAAAAGGTCCATTTTGTAATATGGCGTTTTGAACCTCTTCGACGAGTAAATCCCACGTGGAATTATTGGATTTGGGTCAAAACTCTGCAAGCAAGACATGTTTCAATTTTGATCAGATTTATTGAATTCGGCCCTAAAATGGAGCTTTGGGCCTGAATATTGCAATATTTCTGGTAATTCGTCCCCAAAATGGCGTTTTAGGCCAGAATATTGTAATATTTCAGGTAGCCCGGACCCCACCCAATCGACCTTCCCTCCCACAGAACCCTCGCCGCAACATTTGATGGGTTATTCGGAAATTATTTGTCGCTAATTGGCTAAAAAAGATTAGGGCTCCTCTGGATGCCACGAATTATCGCATAAAATGACGAAAATCTCCATAAAATGGCGAAATGACAAAGTCGCGAAGTTTTTTCGTCTGGATACCACAAAATCCAAAGGAAATATTACAAAATTATAGCTAGAAAGTTCACGAATTATGGCATAACAAAATGGACCAAAATGGTCAATTTCTCATGTAAAGACCGTCCATATTTATAACACTCCAACATCAATGTTCTGTCAAAACGGCGCGTTTCGAAAACCGCAGCAACCACACAGCACACAGATGGGCGTTTGGACCACCACGACGAGCGAGATCGTGCAGCAGTCCACCATACGCATCACGGGACATTCGACATGTCTCCTCGAAGGCATCCTCGTTTTCTTGCAGTATTTCGCAACCCACAAAGCCACCAACAAGATGGAGACCCGCTTAGACGTCTTCTAGATGGAGTAGTGGTAGACCAGGTATGACATCAACTTCATGCGACGTCGCTTGAGCCGAAGCAGGATCATCATGGTCGTGAGCATCGTTTTGGCGCGCAAGTTTGAATCCGGATGAATCTAGACGGTTTCACCATCTCTTCTTTTTGTATTGCGTTTGTATTTTGGACAAATTTTGTAAAATCTCATTTCGAGTTTTGGCATAATTATTCCTATTACTCGTTTCTGCGGATTATTTCGTAGCCAATCAAATGACGCGGAATATAAGGTTGCAGCGAGTTCCGTAAGTTCCGTAAACGGGAGAGAAAATTGGGATATTTGAGCGAAATGCACAAAAATAACTAGTATATAAAATCATATCGAAACCATATCGTTATTTACTGGTGCAGCACCGCCAGGCGCGGGTCGCTATGCAGACGTTGGTCGAGCTCGGCGTACTTTTGGAGCGCCGTTTCTTCGTGTCGCGTGAGACGCTGTTCCAAGATTTGAATCCGAAACATCGTCTCCGAACAAAATCGCTCAAATTCTTCGTCCGTGCCTGTCGTTTTATTTAGACGCTTTTTATAACCCCATCTACGAGACACGGTGTACTAGTAGTACCTTGGTCGTGCTCGCGCTGACTTCGCTGGAACGCCGCTTGCTTCTTGGCCAACGCTGCGTTCTCCTTGTCCAGCCGCGTCTGGATGATGTTGGCGCGCTCCAGAAGCCTTTCCTTGAGGTTCTTCAAGCACATGTCGCGCACATTATGCGCGTCGTCCCGCGAAAGCACCTGCTTACGGCCACCTCCATGGGGGGTCCGATGGTGGCTGTGGACGCTTTGCAGGAACGGGCTCAAGTAGTCCGTCTCCGCCTTGGCCTACCAGATGTATCTATCATTCATGTGCGAATCCCACCACCGACGAATGACGTTAAAGCATTGCGATCACACGAGCTATCAATTAATATACATGTATATATATATATATATTATATACATATATACGACAAGGTGACGGCAATATAGCAATATACACGCCATACACACCGGTGTTGTGATGGACTCGTAAGCAATATATATACCGTATTTGCCGTGCCTTCTTGCACATGTAATTCAATTTGAATAACATATTAAATATTCCAATTATACAATAAATTTGAGATAACCTTCTTGCTCATGTAATTCATTTATTTGAATAATATATGAAATATTCCAATTATAATATAAGTTTGAAATATTATATTGAATTATATCAATATGTTCACGTTTTATATTTCACCGTGCAGAGCAATGCCAATTGCGGTAGCCACAACACATATGAACGTTGCCGACATGGATACTAATATGTCGTGTAGACTTATCAAGGTGAAAAATACACAAGTTGAATGCCGACATAATTATTTTTCTGTTTTTTTAGACAGAAGTATATATATCTAAATTTACATTTCAGGTAGAAGTATATATATATAAATAAATATACGCACGTCTTTGCCGGCTTTGTGCGGGTCGTCGACGCGGTCGTGCTTGGACTCGTCGTCTTGCGCGTCGAAAATGCTCGTTTCCAGCGCAATGCTGGCTTCTTCGCGGCGTCGGAACTTGAGAATCTCTTGCGTTTCAACGTCGGAATGACGTATGTTGTTGTAGCACTCCTTCTCCATCTAACAATATTTATTTAATACAAATCTCATCAATAATTAAAAACATATAATCATGGCAAGATAAGCAGCTTTGATGGGCGAAACTATTACTTCGTGGTGATTCTCGCCATTCTAGGAGTATATATCGCTTGGAAATATAACAACACACCCACACATGGTATTGGGACAATTTATATTTCTGGAGGTACAATTGTAATTGGACTTGAACCTGACACGAATATATATTTATTCAACTAGATTTTTTTATTAAAGAGACTAGTCGAGATCGTATTTAGCTAGCCCATGACAATTTCCTAGACTAAACCACGGGTTCCCATATATTGTCAAATCGATTCGAAACTGGAGCCCTCACCAGAATTGAATGGCCATAAATCGATTAAACAACCGCCTAAGCCAATCAAATCACGTTCTGTCGAATTTGTGCCAATCCAAACTTCAGTCATAGAACCCCTCCCGCATTGGGCAAACCAGGTGGATACTACATGTTGTATTGCATAGTTTTTGTTCAAGCTTAAATTTGATCCAATCAATTGGCAAAATGAATCAAAAGTCTAAAAATTTTGGATGAAAAGCACAATCATATAGAAACAGCATCACCATAATCATCGTTCCCCTTCATATATATATTATATATATATATATACCTGAATGGCGGCTTGGAGCTCCCTATCCAAAATGGACTCTTTAGGTCGCGTGGCCATCGGGTCCACTTGAAACACGTCCACGGGCGTCCCAGGCGCCTTGTGGTACACCCGCGACCCAGATGTGATCTTACCCACCTAAAACTATATACGTAAACAACATATCCTTGTAATATTGACAGCATATATGTATACGTCAACAATATATCGTTGTACTATGGTACAGTACGTACGGCGTAGTGAAATTGCACGTGGATCGACCCGTCGCGGACGTTGTACGTGCGTTTGCGTGCGTCCTACCGTGGCACCCACACACGATACACATGACTTTACAATAAGAATTCGATTATCCTCTATTTATACACTTAGTTTATTAGTTTTGAAAAAAGTAGTAAAGTTAAGCTCTAATCTTTTTTTTTTCAACTTTAAAAACAACCTACAAACCCTTTACGCAGGATCCCGATATCGATCACATCATCCAATATCCCCTCTCGAATAAGATGACGCAATCAATCCAGCACACTAACTAGTACAAGGCAGAACAACACGTCATGCCAACTCGACCCTATTCCTCAAATGCACACGAACGCCCCTGTATCTTTGCACCCAAAACCAAGTCCATGATGACGTAATCCATGATGACGCAATCCATGATGACGTAATCCACGATTGATGACGCAATCCGGACCTCGTCGGCGTCTTTGCGGTCGTTGCGGTCGTACTTTTCGGCCATTTTGAGCACCACGAGCTCGCCCGAGCCGCCCCCGGGGAGCACGAAGGACGCGGCGCCGGCTTTGGCCTCGTCCTTGTCCTCCGTGAGCGCGACCGACCGACCGACGAGAAAGTCGTCGCGGCCTTCGAACGACTCGACCGTGCGCTTGTGGATCACTTCTTCCCTCGTCACAAGACCATCCATTCGGGCACTATGAGTTTGTTCATCTAGTAGTAGTACTAGGGATGCACAGCTACTAGCGACACGCCTACTACCTCGTGTAAAAGCCCAAGTCGCGTCGAAATCCGCTCCACTCGGTGCGCGTGGCCAATGCTTCGGGCACCCGACCAGGTAGAAAATGCTCCTCAAACTTCCCCTCCAACGGATACCGCACCCGCAAGTGCAGTTTGTCCTTGCGATTTTTAAACACCTGGGAACCATCCGTCGACGGTTACTTGGATGACATGTGATAGATTCATAGTGGACGTAGTACTACTAGTAGGTCAGCAATCGAATATAATGTATGTAATCATCTCGTCAAAGTTGGGATTGTCATCTCGAGCTCGGTAGATGAATTTGGCGAATTATTTAGCACAAAAGTCAACCAAAGTTTGCGTAAAAGGAAAATACAAATGAACCGAAGAATCGGCAGAAATATGGAGCCAATCAGATTCCAGGAAACCTTCAAATCGATTCAAAACTGGAGCCCTCAGCAGAATGTGTATAGAGAATGAATGATTAAAGAACCGCCAAAGCCAATCAAATCACTCGTTCTAGATAATTTCTGCCAATCCAAACGTTTGACACGACTTTGTTCGGCCATATACATACTATTATTTGTATAGTTTGTACAAGATTAAATTAGATGTAATGGATTCGAATGCATTTGGCGAAATGACGCACAATCCAATTTTGGGTGATATTTATATATATATATATATTTATATATATATATTGTCCCTACATCCAAGCGTACCTCGCGAACTTGCACGGGCAACGTGCGCGCGATGTTTCGGAACTGCGTGATGCGGAGCACAAGGCCCTGGGCGTGGTTGTTCTCTGCGAACTCTTCGACTTTGGCTTTTCGGAACAGCGTCGTGCGCTGGCCGGCCGTGACGAACCGCCGCTTGTACGCCTTTCGGTCCACGTGGAGCTTGGCGACCCATGACGGAGGCAAGTCGAGCACGTTGTCGTCGTCGGCGGCATCCTCGTCGCCGTCGTGGTGGCTGTTGTTGTCGGCGCGACCCCCCTATTAATAGTCAAAAGACCACTGAGATTCAAGTTGTCCGTGGTCTAGGGTTGGGGTTCGTTTTATGTCCACAACCCACGATTTAAAATAGATTCGAAATTGGAGTGACCAATCAAAACCCAAGGGGATATGAAGTGGCCAATCAAATACTTTCACCCTACAACATCGAACTCATGGATGACTGAAATTCGTGCGCATCTCCAAAATACATGTACAACGATGTATCTACTACCTACACACGCAAACGCCAACCATCCTAGACATTGCCTCAACCAAGCACTTATAGTTAACACAATCAAAATAGCACATATGTATATATATACACACATAGCTCAATAACATCACCACTCCACTACCTTTCTACACCCACGACGATCGATCTCAGAGTTGATTTTTCCTTCGTTTCCACTAAAATAGGACATGATTACGTACGTCGAGGTCGTCGTTGTGTTTGGACTCGCCGCCATCTCCATGCAGCCCGCTGCTCCGGCCACTGCCGCCGCCCCCTCGTCGATCTTGGGATGACAAAAACACAAACTCCCAGTCTGTCGCGTGGTTCAAGTCAAACAGTGTGTCGCTGCAGGACGCGGCGGCGGCGGCTTTCGTTGAAGAAGAAGATAAGGACGACGAGCAGGTGGGCTGCATGTTGACCCAGTAGTTTTGATGGTTCCACACTGCCTCGATGCGAAGGTATGGCGATGCTCTCACGGGGTACTTGCGGCCCGTGGATGGCTCCAAGAACACGTGCTCCGTGACTATTGCCGTAGGTACACAACAAGTTAATATTGACGGAATATTGTCGATTTGATAGTACAAATTTGGGGACGGGGTACAATCGAATCAATAAACCAATCCACAATCGATCTGATTGGTTCAATTTTTTTCTTTAGGTTTTGATTGGCTACTAATTTTGAGCTCATCTGAAGTAGCCAATCAAATCGATTTCAAGTCCAACGAGAAACCACGCCACAACACGACATTTCACTTTATTAGATGTAGATACAGCACGAGGGTAAATATGACGCCACAATGACTACGGAAGTTAGTATGTACCTATGTCAAACTAGATACAGCAGAGATAGAAGTAGTGCTACGCTGTATGGCAAAACAGATTGTAACTACTCTGTCATGGCGATATATACAACACATCACCAACTACCAGATATGTGTCGTACACCTTTGCACCATGCAATGACATTTGAAGAATATTTTGAAGTAAGTTTCCGAACACTCTCATTCATTTGAGCGTGTATTGAATATATTATAATTTTATATTCGCGTTTCATATATTTCATGGTGCATATCAACAACAAATACGGTAGATGTAGGATGTATACTGTACAAACAACCAAAACAGAGCTGCATATAGGTGCAGGAGAGGTAGGAATAGGGACTTACCATCGCGACGTCCGGCGCGAACTAGGACCCACGCGTGCACTCGTTTGCCGTCGAGTTCATCTTCGTCTTCGTCGTCAACATCCATGTACTTTGTCCAGTCGAGACGCGCCGCTTCATCTGCGCGGCGGGCGGCATCTTTGGCTTCCTGCATGGCGACGAACTTGCTTTTGCCTTCGTCTTTCGGGGCTGCCGCGGTGTCCACGGACGATGGCGCCGCCGTTAAGGACGATGTTGTGGTGCTTCCACTGGTTAATCCCTCGAGATAGGGACACTCGGTGTGGCTTTGGTCGAGCAAACACACCCACTTGGGCGCTTTCCTATCACCCACAACGTACGTGAATCCCTCAAGATACGAACGTACATATATATATATATATATATATATATATGCCTGTACCCGTGCACGACGTAAGCATCGTAGCCCGCACCAATGAGGAAACTCGCCAGGACGTTGGCCATGTCGAAGGAATCGCCGGCTTGCCACGCCAGCACCGCGGACGGAGACGGCAGACACGCCGGAGGTGCGCACGGATCGACGAGGGGTTCGTACTCGATGAGACCAGACACAAACGTCGCGAGCTTGTCCATGTCGTAGAGGTCCAGGAACGGAAGTAGCGTTGGACGAAGCGTTGTGCACACAAACTTGGGGATGCCGCGCTCGTTCGGGGGACTTAGGTACAACGGCGGACGACAGATGTCGGACGCGTCCATGAGATCGTCGAATTGTTTGCGAAAGTTGGCGACATACTCGAGACACAAGAGTTCCTTGTTGCTGTTGGTGCTGTACGACGAAGAGGTGACGCCTTCAATCACGTGGTCTTCGAGCCGACGCTGCTTGGTGCTCACAACCCCCGCGACAGTAAACTGGCGCGACTGCGGCTTGCCCTCGTACAGAGGCTGTCGCTCCGAGTAGTCGGCATCTTCGTTGTTCTCCGATGTCATGTTTGGACGTGCCTCGTAAATGGAAACAACAACAACGGCGACGGTTCAAGATTGGATTGCGTCGAAACGCGTTTTCATTGGATAAAATGAAAGTGTGGGATGTCGACCAATCAGCCAAACATCGAGTTGTTTCATTGGATAGAAATATACTATGCCGCGATTCTATTGGCTATAATATGGGCACTTGCGTCGTAGAAAGGACACCAGCACAATAATTTTTCAAGTAAAAAAGGTGCATTATTATTGGGTGGCAATGGTCTCCGTATGAAACGACGACCACAATGACTGACTACAACATGGTGGCTACAATGGCGACGACCAAGGAGGACACAATGACCGGTAGCGCCGACGTAGCTGACGTGGATGGCGGCACGGTAGTATTGGTAGTAGCATTACCCGTGGACGAAGGAGGCTCCGTGATCGAGTCACGGGGGGCATCCGGGGATTTGGTCGCGTTCGAGTCGGTGGTATTGGCTGCAACCGAGGATGAAGTGGAGGACGGTGTCGGGATAGCGGGGGTGATGGGTTTTGTGGTGCTGCTTGTTGGGGTGTTGTTGGTGGCTGGAGCCAACGACGTCGATACAGCCGACGTAATGGCATCGGCGGACGCTGTCGCAGGGATAGTTGTTGCAGGGGTAGTTGTTGCAGGGATAATGCCATCGGCGGACGTTGTCGCAGGGATAGTTGTTGCAGGGATAATGCCATCGGCGGACGTTGTCGCAGGGGTAGTTGTTGCAGGGTCGGTTGTCACAGGAGCAGACGACGTTGAAGACGGTGCAGAGTTTGGCGCACCGATGCATTCGGTGGATCCAGCAACGGGAATCACGCAACCCACCGCGTTCGAGGTGTCAATGACGGAGCAACATGTGTCAACTTGAAGCGTGTTCTTCGTGTTGATCGAGACGGTGCCTTTGGTTGGGCAGCCCGTTTTGGAAGGCAAGTACACGCCAGAGCAAGGTGCGGTGTCCACGCAATAGATGTCGTCCGTGAAGCGAACAGACACTTGCATGTCGGTGGCACACTGCGCGGCGACGGATGCTAAAGCGGCGGAGACGAGCAAGAGGGAGCGATGGATCATGGAGGCACAAGAAGTATTGAGATATGAGGAGCATTGACACGTTGAATTGACAGTGAGAAGCGACCTCGTTGTCCATGCGTAATGGGCGATAGATTCTTGTGATGGGAATGCGGAATTGGAAATGTAGCCCTTTTCCGTTATTGTAGACAATCACCAAATATGGATATAGGTATAGATTCTCAATGAGTGTCGTTAAACTAGTCATGATCCCCAGTGACAAAACCAGAGTATGAGACTATTCCCTTGTTAAGTGTATGCACCACATTGTTGGACCTCCGACGCTTTAGCCAATTTTTGCGTTGGACTCGATCATTAAGCTCTCATAAAAGCTTCAAACAGCTTGCTTGTGAATGCCTCGATGATACGTAATTGTCGACAATCGTACATATATATAAGGTAATATTTGCGTGATTTGGCAAGTCTGGAATTTACATACACTACTGAATATGTGTGCCTGAATTGCTGCCCGCTGCAATGCGTTCAAACATTTCGCCAATCCATTTGATCAAAATTAAGCATGTGCTAGTACAAGCTATACAATACAAAATGTAGATTACCTGATTTGGCCCAAGCGGAGGGGCAGGGCTGAAGTTTGGGTTGGCAGAAATTCGACTGAACGTGATTTCATTGGCTTAGGCGGTTCTCGACTCCATTCTCTTCAGACACTCGATACTGCTGAACGCTCTCGATTTGACGAAACTTTGTTCTTTCTTCCTGTGACACTTCCGACTTCAAAAATTTGCACGCAAATGTTCGTGTTTTGGCAATAATCATTGACATGTCATGAGAATCACGATTTTATGCTAATTACCTGTCGCGTGTTTACGGACCACATTAGTGGAAAAAAGTCGGACAGGATTTACAGAAACCAAGTGATCGTCGGACCGTTTGTCCGACTTTCTTCTTCGTTGTAATATTTATTATATACAAAAGCGAAGTCAAAACAGACGTGAGAAATTGACAGAAGAAAGTCGGACCGAATGTCCTGTATTCATTGATTGGTTATAAGTGCTTTGGCCATGGCAGATGAACAACATACTACGTAGTTTTGCCTGCAACCCGCCAGCTAGCAACGACAGTAAAGTACAATACCTTAGAGCCTGGTACTACTGGAGGTGTGGTAGTAGTGGCTGGTCTTGCTCTGGTGGTCGTAGGATGAGCAGTAGTGATTGCTGTGGTGGGTGTGGCTGTGGTAGTAGTGGTTGGTTATTACTACTGGAGGTGTACCAGCCTCTAAGGTACTGTACTGTACTGTCGTTGCTAGCTTGCTGTACAAGATGAAGTTGCGGGACTTGACCAAGAATCAAGGCAATATCTTGTGTGAGTGGAAGTTCGCGGTGCAGGAGTTCCAAAACGTTTATAACAGCACGATTGGCACTGGTTTGGATCGTCCCTACACCTCGACCACGGCTATAGATAGCTGCATTGCATTTGGCACTATAATGGCCAATTTGCCATCATCCTGGGGTTTCACTGAACTTGGACGTCAGCTTCGTATAGTATGTCCCAAATGAAGGTGGTCTCATTTGTACGCCTGGCTAGAAAACGTAGACGGGAGACATAAGTTGCTGTAATCCGGGTTTTTATGACATTCCCGCATATACACCCTACTTAATGGATTGCACGGGCATATATTGGGCGCTCCCCTTACAGTATTTCTCAAAATTGTGGATGTAGGAGTACAATGAAGTCGGAATTGACAGACTGTGACCCCAAATGATACAGCAACAACTAAAGGAGATAATTAGGTCGAATTTAAGCCAATCAGAATTAAGTCGGATGAGATGTCCGACTTTTATATGATCGCAACACAATTATATACGATCACATCACAATTATATTACATGAATCACATTATCCCGGTTTTTCTTTCTATTTCAATTCGACGATACGGATGTAGAATAGAATTTCTTCCAGTATCCGGAGGGTTAGTCGCTATAAAATACTTCGAAGCAGAAATTAATGAATTTGTTTTATAAGGGCTGGTCTGGGTCCCATAAAATTATGCCATAAACCGTTTTGGCAGTCTACAAAAGTTTCCCAAAGTCTCATATCCAGATATTAAAAAAATAGATAATAAAAATAATAATTACGGTTATTTACCTATTATTTTTTTAATTGGTTTTATTTTTTTTATAGAAGCTTTTCTTATTTTTAGTAAATCTTTTACTTCTTACTCATATCCCACAAAAAAATGGAGCAAAGAAGTGTCTACTGAGTTGTCTGATGCCAGCTGAAAATTGGAAAAATTGTTCGATTTCCGGTTGAGTGCAACACTTCACTGTCAAAGTGAACACAAATCTCCATAAAAAAGTTGGACCAAATCGGTCCACTATTTTTTGCCCGATTAGAAAAATGTGACATAATTTTTGAACTTTGGTGGCATCCAGAGCCACAAAATCTCGAAAAATTCGAGACTTCGATTTTTGCAACTTTTCTTGGAAAAACGGTCATTTTATGCCATTTTTCGTAGCATCCAGACCCGCCCTAAGAAAAAAAAATCTAATAAATTTTGTTTCATTAATTTCTATTTGCGGTGGTGACATTAGAGTGTGTATGGCACACCCTAAATTTTGCTCAATTCATTTTTCAAAAAATTGGTTCAAAGTAATTCGAAGAATTTGATTGTCATTAACGAGAAAAAGCATGGTGAAATAGGCAATTTTGTATGGAGCGCAAGGTGAACCACCTTGCGAATTCCATAAATAATTCTGAAATTGTATAGTTTCAATTAAATATATCTTCAAGTTTGTATTGATGATTTTTATTTTTCATGTGTCTGTCTCTATTTGGAATTCGCAAGGCAGGTCACCTTGCGAATTCAAAATTGTCCAATTTTGTCTAATCAGATGCCGTGAAATCACGAAAATCCCTGCATAGATTGATTCATCACGCCAAGTTGCGATATATGTAGTATTCTACTCCTGCGATGGCGGTTGATGCAAGGAGCATTGAGATAATTATGTAGGCTGCGTATGAGAGCAAGATCATGTGATGTGGTATTCAGGACTCGGTCAATTCTAACAGGTCTCATTTCACCACTTGCCTACTAACCCAATGAAATTGGTCATCCCTCATTCCACCGTCCCGTGTCGGTGTGATCACGTGGTTGCGCGGGCGGTGGCGCAAGACGTCTTGGTGGCACCCATCGCAAGTGCTGAAGTGGCAGCGTTAGCACTTTGCGTTTGGGATGGGTGGTACCAAGACCTCTTGCGCCACCGCGTTGGCCCACCAGAACCACCACGACATTGCGACCCAACCGAGCGCACAACATAATGTTAGCTGTAAGGGGAGAACCACATTGGACATAGTCGGAGTGCACTCATCAGTGCACAATTCTCTGGAGCAGCATCACACAAAGCTCTACAAAGTTCAAAATTATAACCTCTTCTGTCAGTGTTATAGCCAATCGTGTGTAAGAAACAAGGTGTGATAGATTCTGATTGGACATTAAAAAGGAGCAAGATGGCTCACCTTGCGAATTCCATTAACAAGTGAACTATTTTGACGTCTGGATCAAACAAATTTCGAAAGAACGTCGACGATTCTCAGTTCTTGCCAACTTTCAGAAAAAAAGTCCCTTGAACCTGTGTTTTTATTTTTTGGCAAAAAACGCGAAATTTGGCAAAATATTGAATTCTCTAAGTTTTGGAACCTGACAGAGAATTTTGCATTTTTTGCCGATTTCTTGGAAATTGCCAAAATATCGAAGCTTTTGGCTTTCTATTGACATCCAGACTCACCCTATAATATTTGGCATCCGGATTTTGAATTTTGTGTTTGTGGTTCACCAAACTCGCCAGCATGGAGGACAGAGCGTTGCCGCCTGTACTGCCGTTGCCATCTGTTACAGGCGCCTTGGACGCAGCAGCAGCAGCGAATGGGATGCCTGACGACGAATCGGCCGACTCGGACTACGTGGAAGCAGCAGGAGCGCTCGGACCTGATGGGAATAGCAGCGACGAAATCGACGACGACCGGCAGCAGACGGGCGCAGGGAATGACGACGCCGACGACGAAGAAGAGTACTCGACAGAAAACACCAAGGTGATTCAGTTGACCAACTACACATGCTGTGCGAAGCGGTGCATCTTTGGCCGGACGCGGGAGATGGATCTGTTCATCGACTCGTTGGACGAAATGACCAAGGAGATGCAACACGCGTGTATCCTCACGTCGTTGTCCATCAGCGTCGCGCTGACCACCAAGCGCAAGTCCCGCGGCAAAGGCCTCCGTGCGCGGTACACGTACGTGATGCCGTACCTGGGCAACGTGTGCAAGCAAGCGTTTGAAGCATGCTTTGACATCTCGGGCGGGTCACTCAACCGCCTTCGGAAGCAAGTGTCCACGTCCATCGTCCCCAAGAAGCACGGGAACATGTCCAACAAGAACGCCACGAGTGTCGACTACACCACCCTCAAAGCGTGGTTCTACCCCTACGCGACCTCGATCGGACACTCTGTGCAAGCGCGGCGCAAGACGCGCGTCAAAACGGACGGCCACACGCACGTGCAGTATCGCACGGACCATGTGATCGTGCTGCCGCCGTCGGTGACGTATGAAAAGCTCCATCAAGACTACTTGGCGCATCTGTCCGCGATACAGACGACCCCCTCGGCCGTCGTGACGTCGCGGCCGCGCCTCCCCAGCGAAAAAACGTTTCGCGATTACATCAAAAAGTCATTTCCGGATATTCGCCTCGATTCCGCCACTCCCCACAACGCCACCAAGCACTACCATCACTCTCACCATCATTCTCACTCGACCAAACCCATTATTCCAGCTGCCGCCGCGCCTTCATCATCTTCGGTTTCAACCGTCAAGAAAACTTCCAACATGTGATCATGTCGCCTTGTCATGTGTGTAGTATATCATCTATGTATGTCGTCGGCTACTTTTTGGCTCGACCCCATGCATTGGCCGAAGATGGCGGCAGTGCCGCCGACGATCGCACGTCCGCGTCGTCGTCGTCCTGCGTGTACGACGAGAACGACAGCGGCAGCTTTCGGCGCTGGGTGGTACTTGTGCCTTGTGTGGGTACTTGGGTTCCCCCATCTCGCCAGGAGGATGCTCCATAGGTCGTCGTGGCGGTTGCGGGCGGCAACGGCGTGGCAGATTGGGAAAACAAAGCCGAGATCGTTTTTTGTTTCTTTCGTGTGCTGGATGATGGTGGCAATGCGTCCGAGGTGCGTCGTGTTGCAGCCTTTCGCTTGGTTGCTGCCGGCGGTCGTTTCGATGCGGCGGCGGGTTTGCGCGCTGTTTGCCTCAAGGGCGGCTCATCAAAATCACTCCCCGACGACGACATTACCACCACCACATGGTCGTCGTCGTTGTCGTCGTAGGTGGGCTGGTCGTCTGAAGAATCCGAGAATCGGTGCGTCGATTGCTTCTTGTTGGCGTGTTTGGGTTGTTTCGCTGCTTTTCGTGCCGGAGTTGAAGTGGTTGCCTTGACACTAGCTGCCGCCGCCGCCCCACCACTACGACCTCGGCCATGTTTGGCGGCAGTCGTGGTGATGGGAGTGTGCCCGTCATCGTCGCTAAGGCCATCCAGATCATTGTCATGTTCACCATCTCCACGTTGGGTAGTAGTCGTCGTCTGCAACATGCGCAAGACTTCGTGCGTGTCCATGGCGCTCTGCCCCACATGCACGGCCTGGGATGCCTTGATGCGCTCGAGGTTCTTCTCCACGAGGCTCTGGATGTCGTGCTTGTTGAGCGTCGCCTTGTTCTTCTTGAGCGCGCCCTGTGACTCCTCGAGCACCGTGTCGTAGATATCCCCAAATGCCGTGGGGATGTTCTTGAACACAAAGTCGTCGAGGGCGTGGGCGAGGTTGGTTTCCGGAAGGATTTCCAGCACCTTGTCCGACCCAGCCAAGTGATTCGACAGCAATTGCTCTACGCACAGCATCGACGACGGCGGCGGCGGCGCGCCCGGTCGGATCGGGTTCTTGAGGAGGCATGCGGCGGAGCTCGCGTCGTCGTCGGTGGCGCCTTTTTTGTCGCGCGAAAACAACAAAATGTCACTTGGATTTGCCACCTTGCCCACGAATTGGCTGCCAAATCGCTGGTTGCCCAGGACTGGAAACCCTACGTTTTGCCATTGTCGATATGAGTAATCAACTGGTTTATCAATACAAGATTCCATGATTATATATTGTCGATTTTCTTCAAATTTCCCAATTTTGCATGGTTCGTTCAATCGAGCACAAATAGAGCCGAGACATCTGATTGGCCATTATCCACTTCGCCCTTTCCAGTAGAAACTCGAAAATGGATTGTAGCCAATCAGCGACAAGTAATTTCGGATTGACCAATGGGAGAGATTGGTGCTCGATTCGCTCGGCGAGATTCGATTGAACGGGGTCCGGAAATTCATACCGAATTTCCAATAGTTATCAATACAAGATATATTATATATATATATAGACACGAGAAATATACTTGATTTTGTGCACCAAGACAGCTAGATATATATATAATATATATGAATGGAGGCAGAATAATTTAATACAGTCATAGAAGTACCGGAATGGTCGACTTTTACTCGCACGAGCACTTGCATGGTTGTGTCTTGGTTTGGAGTTTCCGCCGCGGCTTCGTCAATCAGCTGTTGCACCTTCATCCCAACAAATCAACATTAATTTGTATAGGTACACTAACATCACACACTAGTATATATAAATATTTACATACTGATATATATATGTATCCTTTGCATGTACTATGAAATATACTATTAGCACTTTTCGTAGATCATAAAAAATACTACGTAGTACTATATTTTGAAGTATAAGTATTTTAAATCAAAATCATAGTATTTAATTTTTATTAGTCTTCTAGGACGTAAACAACACAAATGCAGCACATACACATATAGTTCATCGTTATAGGAAAGTATGATGCATCCACGTTATTGTCGATGATTGATACAAATTTGGGGAGGGGGTGCAATCGAATCGCGCCGACCAAACCGATCCACAATCGATCTGATTGGTTGAATTTCATTTAGAAGGTTTTGATTGGCTAATAATTTTGAGCTCATCTGAGGTAGCCAATCAAATCGATTTAAATTCCAACACCACAACACAACACGAAATTTCACTCGAAAGCACAATACATCATCGTACATTTATTGTAGTGCAGGATCGTCAAATAGAGAAAAAATACGCAAAGAATCTTCCCATATTAATTTCTCACCTTGACGGCTAAGACGGCAGATATTTTGTCAGCGACTTTCGGATCTGCCGGGTCCAAGTGTTTGTGGTCACGTAGGCACACTTGGGCCATTTTAAACGGTCGGACTGTCTTGAGTGGCACGGACCGCAGTCGAAAGTTGTTATTTCGGACTTCTAAGAGTCCAATCTTCTTGGGTTTGGCTTCGCCTATACAATCCGTATGAATAATATATATATATATAAATTAATAATATATATATAAATTAATAATATATATATATAAATCAATAATATATATATATGGTGACGCGAAAAACTCCAACGAACCTTCGACCAACGACGTGGCGACACTCGATCCAGGCTGGGTAATGTAAAAGTCGCCCTTGATGCTTTCTTCGGCTTCGATCACGCACTCGTGTTCATGGCCCCACACGACAAAGTCGATAAACTCGGGGATGAAGCTCTCAGGAAGGCAGTTCTTGGCGCCGCGGCCGCGGTTGTCGCGATTCTGGTGCACGACAAAGATGGAAAACCACGAGTCCGGGCTTTCCTCGGGTCGGCGGAACCGGACATGGCCTTGGGCGAACATGCGATGCAGTCGCTCGTCGCGCATGTTGCCGAGGCCGTAGATTGCAATCTTGGTCGAGCCTTTCTCCAACAGAATCGGAAACACTTCGATTTCGTCGACGCGGTCCGACTTGCCAAAGTAGTTGACCTAAGGAAGACATCAGCATCGAATGAATGGCTTGAGGATGTGTACAGTACCAAGTTGGCCGCGCTCAACAAGTCCAACGCCGCGAGCGATCGACCAGCTTCCCCAGTTGGGTCGTCGTGGTTGCCGTGGATACTAAAGATGGGCAGACGCACGTTGATGTTGGGGTCTTCGTAGTTGACTTGGCCAAAGTTGGGAAAGTTCAAGCTCTGGTCCGACAAGATTTGAAAGTTGATCGTGCCGTCGCCTATAGACAATGCAGACATACACGGTAAGACGAGAGATTGCACTCGGCAAGGGATATGCGTTGATCGGTGGACGTACCCAAGCAATACGTGCGAAGGATAGACATCGTACGGTACATGGTCGCACGACTAGGCTTGTTGTGATGGAACAGATCGCCGGCAAGCAGGACAAAGTCGACACCTTCGCGCCCGCCGATCGCAAGCATCTCTTCAAACGACCGGAACGAATCTTTGCCGCGAATGGCGTCATTCTCGTTGTACCCCAAGTGGTTGTCTGTGCTAATGAGAATCTTGATCGTCGATTCCGGTTGCGTCGTGTCCTCTGGGGACGTTGTCGGCGGCGACTGCTCCATGTGTCGTTGGATGCTTTTGCTTGTTGTTACCTTCAAGTTTGGGGGGGGTGGTTGAAAGTGGAATTGTGTGATTTGTTTTAATGCGGTGATCATATTTTAAAGCTAAACCTTAATATCCGTTACATTTCTCAATACAACGGACACTAATTAAAATAAATGTGCTCAGAATCGTAAAATATTTGCGCGCGAAAGAACCCTTCCTTTGGTTATTTAGCTTCATTTTTGAATTTCGTCGGCACGTCAACGCACGTCCTGCGGCTAATGCTTACGCCCGCCAATGGATGCAGACACTACCCTTATCGACGTATGAGGGCTTGTGTGCTTGACATGGATCTACTGCACGAAGACGTTGCGCGCAGTACGCCATGATGGGTGAAAGATCGCACGTCCCCCTGAAACATGAACAGTTACGAGGCAGAATCTATTTTGGTCGCTTCTCATCGTCGGTATATCCCCGCCGCCGCTTCGGGATATCGATGGACAATCAAAAGGCAGCTCCCACCATGGAGCTTGAACACGCCATCGGGTTTTCAGGGATCTCGGCTGGGTTGCATTACCATCCGAATGGTCAAGATTACGTGTACCCTGCGGGAGGTTGCATCGTGATTGCGTCCTTGAGCGACCCGCACAACCAAGTGTTTCTCCGTGGCCACGATGCCAACATCACGTGCCTGTCCATGTCGCCCACAGGAAGATACCTCGCTTCGGGTCAAGCAGGATCGAACGCGGACATTTTGGTCTGGGACTACTCGTCGCGTCAATTGCTATTTCGCCTGTCCGAGCACGACTTTGGTATCAACGGTACGTGAGAAAAACTTCACAACTTATCGATTGCTCACCTGTCCTTCGTCGTGCATCTATATAGCTGTGGCATTTTCCCACGACGAAAAGCTCCTCGTGAGTGTCGGCAGCGAGCGCGACGCCCGCATCTTCGTTTGGGACATGGCGTCCGGCAACATCGTCACGACCCAGCAAAAGCTCCAGGCGACGGTGCTTGCCGTGTGCTGGGGCGGGTTTCACCGCGACGTGAAGCGACGGGACACGACGTCGTACCTTTTCGCGACGGGGGGTACCCGCATGCTCCAGTTCTGGGTGCTCAACCCTGCGTCGGGGGAGCTCGTGGCGAGCAAAGTCGAGTTCGGCGCGCCCGTCGTCCGCGACTACACGTGCGTGCAATTCACCCCCGACCGCGAAACCATGGTGGCCGGCACCACAAGCGGCGACTTTGCAGTCGTGCACGTCAAGACCCGGCGGTTCCTCCAAAGCATCATGGCATGTACATGTGGTGTGCTGTCGCTGTGTACGTTCGACGCGGGGGTACTCGTCGGCGGTGGCGACGGCAGCTTGTTATTTTTCAATTCCGAGTTTGTCGACTCGGCCAAGCAGGCGCTCGTGGGGCCTATCGCTGGGCTCAGTCCGTTGGTTGGGTCGTCGGCTTCGTCAGGGTACTACAACCACATTTTGAGTTCTCATGGAGATATGATTTCGATTTTTCGAGCTATATATATATATATTGTGGCTAATCCAATTTTAGTATATTTGATTGGCTCTTCTTACAGAAAAGACAATTATATTCAACCAATCAAAACTGGAGCGTAATTCAATATTGATTCAACAAACCGCGTGTATTTTGGATGTTAAGGCGAATTTTCACAATATATATCACTGGCATATTTATCGTGTCTGTGTCGAGGTAGGTAGATTTATAGCTCATAGGAGGCATATGTTGCTTGTAATACTACGAAAACTCTTGTTTTAGCTGTAGAGTTCTCATGGAGATGTGTGTGTTTGTTTGGATTTTCCGAGCTAGATATTTTAAATCATCTTGTTCCGCTACCGGTTCGAGCTAGACTTATACAACTAAGAGGCATGAGTATCGTCGCTGGTTTGAGCTAGCTTTATATCGCTGATATATATATATACATGTGTGTGTGTTTGGTTGGGTAGGGCGCTGCAAGTGATGGCGGGTACGCAGAGCGGATTCATCTACCACGTGACTGTGCACCCATCGTCCATGTCTTCGCGGCTGATTTGCGAAAACCATTCGAACGGCGTGCTGTCGGTCGCATTTGCCGCGCAGCACTCGGACCGGTTCGCGACCATCTCCAAGGACTGCACGATTCGGATATGGGACGGCTCCGACTACTCAGTCGTCGTGCGCATGGCGGTGCAGAACGCTGGCATGCCCACATGTTTGGCGTTTTCGCTTGGTGAGTACTATTACTAGTAGTAATACTAGTGTGCAGCGTTCATTTATGCGTCTATCGTATATGGTACAGTAGTAGTGTTATATGACATTCCAGAAACCTGTGCTATTTATTGGCTGTACGGAAGTCGTGGTGGATTGTACAGTACCTGTTTGATGATCAAGTAGTCGTGGACTCGTGTTGAAGTGTGCATTCAAAATAGTGATTTTGAATGTATTTATTAATTATTCTATCATATCGTGTATGGTAGTAGTGTATATGGAAGGAATCCGAGAAACTTGTGCGAATGGCAGTAGACGTAGTGTATATATTGGAGATTCGGTATGAATTTCCGGACCCTGTTCACTCGAATCTCGCCGAGCGAATCGAGCACCAATCTCTCCCATTGGTCAATCCGAAATTGCTTGTCGCTGATTGGCTACAATCTATTTTCGAGTTTCTACTGGAAAGGGCGAAGTGGATAATGGCCAATCAGATGTCTCGGCTCTATTTGTGCTCGATTGAACGAACCATGCAAAATTGGGAAATTTGAAGAAAATCGACAATATATATATATATAGTGAATTGTACCTGTTGGATAATTGAAGCTGGTGGTGGTGGTGGGAGTTTGGTCGAAAACCCCTCGATCGAGTGCGATGTGTTACATTATCGTTGTTTTCCCAGGTCTTTCCTTGATACAGTTGAGAATGGTATTGTATTCACGTGACTGCAAGTCCTATGTAATGTCGTTTGAAATGAAAAGACATTTTGTCCTAAATGAATGGGAGTATCTATAACGATTCAACGAACAACCGTACGTAGACATTGTACTCTCAGGGTGGCAAGATGGTTGTTTGCGTTGTCACAGCTCGGACACTGGCCACCAATTGTGGGTCATCGACAACGCCCACACTGGAGGTGTCACGGCACTTGTGCTAAGTAATAACCAGGTCACAAACGATTCTCCATCACCGCCAAATATTTGGTCTTATTCCGAGTATTTGCATCCTTTTCATGTCGATATATATATATATATTTCCCAACTTTTTGTCAGTCTTGATTTGACTTGGGTTGTAGCGGTTCATTGTCACGGGCGGGATGGGCGGCGACGTGCGTGTATGGGACATACGGAAGCGCGACATGGTATCTCATTTGAAGGAGCATTCGATGGCCATCACGGGCCTCGCGCTGTTTGAAGACGACGTGCACTTGGTCAGCTGCAGTCGAGACAAGTCGTTTCTGTGCTGGGAACTGCGCACCGAGCGCCGAATCGCTTCGCATATTCAACGCATGGGCGGTGAGTGATTGGCTAGTTTCATGGTGGTGGCTGTCGTTCATTGGCTGAAAAAATTGCGTGTGTGGGATGTGTGACGACGTAGGGTTGAATGCGATAGCGTTGTCGCGTAACCAAAGTATTGTGCTCACGGTGGGCCAAGAAAAACGCATTTCGTACTGGGATTTGCGTATTGAAGCCCCTGTGAACGTTGTGACCAAGGTATGGATTGTACATTTCACTACCAAATGTGGATGACTTGCGAGTCATTTCGCCACATAGCATTTTCAAGTTATTTGATCCAATTTCAGCTTGTTGTACAAACTATACTGTACAAATATTGGTATTATATTGTATGGTTTGGGCCGAGTCAAACGTTTGGATTGGCAGAAATTTACCAGAACGTGATTTGATTGGCTTAGGCGGTTCTTTAATGTATTCGCTTAACGTTAAGACATTCGATTCTTCTGAGGGCTCCAGTTTCGAATCGATTTGACAATATGAAGGATAGTGTCATTGTAAGTTACACTAAATAAATGTAATACTTTTGGGCTACTTTTGCCAAATCCGTCGATCGATTGTTTGTACGATACTTTTGTATGTAAAACTCGTCGATCAGTGCCACACGAATTGAAATCACACACACACGAATTCAATGTGGAATTGGTCGAAGGGTGGATTTTTGATTGGCTACTTGTTTCGTGATCTGGGTTTTGATTGGTCGTATATATCGATTGTCGATCGCCGATCATATTCGATTGAGCGACTAAGTACCCCACCCACTCTAATTTCGAATCGCCTTGACAATATATATATATACATTACTCTAAAAAGTGAACAACCAAATTTCCACACAATTGAGCGCTTTCAATATTCTGACCAATAAAGTGAATATGCTCCGAGGACTTGAGAAACAAGCATACATATTATATACATATATATATATATATATACATGGACTGACCCGATTTTGGTGTCTGATGTAGGCGCACGCAGACGAAGCCACGTGCTTGGCCGTGGCGCACACGATGCCGTACTTTGCGACGGGCGGCACGGACCAGCTGATCAAATTGTGGTCGTTTGATACTGGTGGGTTGGGTTTTATTGTGTGTCTGTCGTGTGCATCTATGGCTTATAAGACCTGTGTTACCATCGCCCATCTAGATCTTTCATATGAAAAATGCAATGTTTTACTTGTATTTATGATATAGGACTGTTGATCATGGACGGGATTGGACACTCGGGATCCGTGCGAGCTCTGGAATTTAGCCCGGACGACCGCCAACTCGTGTCGGTGGGCGACGAAGGCAGCATTTTCGTGTGGAATTTGTTCTCCGACTAACTCGGAATAATGCTTGCAGTTGGTTGTTCCCATGCTGATTTGTCCCAACTTTCAATGATTTGGAGGTAGCGAGCGGTACATACTGTATGTAGTACACATTTGATCGGTCATGTCCCCAGTACCAACACTGCACCCATACAATCTCAAGGGTAACATTAGGTACACGTACAAACCAAAACCTTTGTGTTTTCATCTTAGCATGGCCATCGACATTATACATGTCTATATAATGGTATATATATATCTTGTCCTTTTACCCAATATTTGGACTTTTGTGCTGATTCGCCAAATCTATCGATCGATTCTTTGTACTGACTTTTGCATGTAAATATCGTCCAGTATCACACTAATTTCAATCACACACTAATTCGATGTTGAATTATTCGAAGAGTGGATTTGATTGGCTAGTTGATTTATGTTTTGATTGGTCGATCGATTCTTTGCCGATTTGGTGCTGCTCATTCAATTAAGCACCCCACTCCAATTTCGAATCGAATGAACAATATCTGCCTTCCAGTTTACGCCGCCATCATCATGATATTATTTTTGTTAATTACTTTTCCTTCATATTGGACAAACGTTTCGTTTTTGGATATGTGTTGGGGGTCTATTTATGTTATGCCTAGTAACTACTACTGCTACTACCCCATCTGGATGGGACTATTACTACTAGTACTACTATGCGCATTCAACATGTCAATGATCTGCGCAAACGTCGGCCGCTTTTCGGGCGCGGGGCCCCAACACACGGTCATGAGTTTCTTGAGGAAGGGCGGGCACGCCGCCGGAATCGTGGGGCGGAGGTGGTGGTTGAGCACGCCGAGCGCCGCCTGGATCTGACTCAGGCCGTCGTACGGACACGCGCGGGTCACCGTCTCCCAGCACACCACGCCAAACGAAAACACATCCGCCTTCTCCGTGTACTTTTCCGCTGCCAACACCTTCAAAACGATATATATATCAGCACATTTTTCCGAACAGAGCCAACATATCTAAAAGGGAGAGTATCTATCCCAATATATACTGTTATATATATATACTGGTACACCTTCAAAACAATATCACTACCACAACTTCCGAGATATATATATATATATACTCTCCCACACATACTACTCGGAAGATACAGAAAAAAACAGGACCGAATACATCTCCCTACTACGAAATATATGCATATATCCCCATATATACAGTACAGTATATACATTGTTTCACCTTCAAAATTATACCGCTACACAACCTTCGAATATATATATATCCCACATAGAATACTCCAAACATGCAGAAACGACCAAGACCGAATATATCTCCCTACGATATATATATATATACCTCGGGGGCCATCCATTGCGTGGTTCCGCAGTTGCCCGTCATAGTTTGGTGATGCGCCTTGACCCGAGCAAGGCCAAAGTCGGAGATTTTGAGGCGGTAGCTGCCGTCCACAAGTAAATTCGGGCTTTTCAAATCGCGGTGTAAGATTGGCGGGTCAAATGTATGGAGATAATGCATGCCCAGCGCCGTGTCGAGTGCAAAGCTAATATATATTTATATATTGGTCACACGATAATATCGTTCGGGGTATGTACCTTAATTGCTTATTGAGGTCGATGTGGACGGCGGATGGCTGTCTCAAGACACACCAAAGCGACCCCTTTGGCAAGTACTCGATCACCAAACACCGCGTGGGCGGATCCAAGCACGCCCCCATCAACAAGCAAATGTTGGGATGTCTAATCAAATATCGAAGTATGAGAGTTCATACATGAGGCTTCAAAATATAAAACATGAAATACATGATACTTCCAAACCTGAAGATAAATGAGTCTATTATCTATATATATACCGGAATGTGAGTACAGACGCAAATACCCTCTCTCCACACAATTCAAGCAATATCCTCCTGTCTATCACACCAACTTTGGGCGTAGGGTTGTGGTTATTCTAAATAACTCGAGTGACATGAAGAATATGCATGTGCATCAACACACAAACGAAAAATACCCAAGAATCGGCAAAAGTATGTAGATCAAAACGATATTGCAGGAAACCATCAGTTCAACATCTAATTAGTGTGTGTGACTACAATAATTAGTGTGATACCAATCAATCCCCACACGACAACTCTAAAAGAATTCAGTATTGTGTTTTTTGTGTCAAATTCGCCTATTTTAAGGGATTGATGAAATCGCCAACTAATCGAGAAAAGGAGTATGATTGGCTACAAAGAATGAAGGTTGCAATTTGATTGGCTATAAAAAGATTGATTGTTGTAGTATTGCAGTCACAAAAATTCCTCTTAGTTTTATATAAAATTTCAAAGGTTGTTCGGCGGTTCATTCAACGAACCGCGGGAGAAAATATATTTTGAGTTGAACACACAATACAAAATTCAGGACAAAAAGATATGCAGGTTGTAACCTGTAGTTATGAATATCTTTTCGAAGAGGATACCTCTTAAACTTGAATATATATATATATCTTATTTCGCAGGTCCAGCAATGCACCGCCCAGAGGGAAATTGTGGGTCCAACCAACACCACCAATACATAGACAATCATGATCGATAATCAAGATAATGTATATTGTCGATTTGATACAAATTTGGGGAGGGGGTGCAATCGAATCGCGCTGACGGAACCGATCCACAATCGATTTCTGATTGGTTGAATTTCATTGAGAAATGGGTTTTGATTGGTTAATAATTTTGAGCTCATCTGAAGTCGCCAATCAAATCTATTTCAATTCCAACGAGAAACCACAGCACAACACGAAATTTCACTCGAAATAGCACAATATCTCTGCATACACTAGTTATTTGGGTAATACATTGTACAATACCTCAACACACTCATAATGTGCACTTCAGTCTCAAACTCGTCGAGCACTTCCGCCGACAGATGCTGCACCTGCAAAATCTTGACCGCGACCAGCGTACCCCGCCATATGGCCTTGTGCACCGTACCAAACGCTCCTTGGCCAATCAACTCGCCCATCGCAAGCTCATGAAAATCGATGCGAAAGTTGAACGAGTTAGATCGGCTGGGTCGTTTGATGGCATGGGACACGCCAGGAGCCATGATGACAGCGGGGGCGCCTTCAACGTCATGACGTGGCGGCAGCAGCGCGGGAATAGGCATGGCCGACGCGTCGTCTTTGCGTGGATGCAGCGGCAAATGCAGAAACAGCGGGATATGCGCCTTCCGAGCGACTTCCAATTGCATTTGGGCCGGTTGTTGTCGATTGTCGAGCAACAACTTGGCGCGAGGTGGAGCCGGGATGATGGGCGGGAGCGGCGGCGGCGGCGGCATGGCGAGAAGATGGTGGTCGGTCGCCACATGATCATGCGTCGAGGTGCGTGAAGAAGTAGACGGCATGTTCAAGACAACGTCAAATGAACGGTCGTCGGGAAGGTGTTGGCTTTCAAGATGGCGCCATGTATCCTTGTCCGACGGAACCTCGGCAAACAGGTTGATGTCTGGCGACGACAGATGGGACGCTTGTGGACGTTTCTTCTGGGAACTCCCTGACGTGTCGACATCGATGGAGATGGTCTTGCGCAGAATAGTCGGCGACCTACCAAAGAACTCGGTATCTTCAGGAATCGGACCGGGTGGCTCCACGGTGAGCATGGACACCAACTCGGTGGGGGAGTGCAATGGTGGTGCACCCCCCCCGCCTGTCACATCGACGTTCGTCATGGAACTGTGGGTTCGCCTTCGCATGGGATGCTGATATACATGGCCTTTGGTCGGCTTTTTCCGAGGTGGTGGACTGTTGTTGTGTGGATGCAGGACGACGAATGGGTCCGACGGCGACGTCCCAGACTCTTGTGACGGCGGACTCTGCGCCTCCTTCGCATGGGGCCGGACTTGCTCGAACGCAATCGATCGATCCCGTCTGATGAACTTGATGTACATGTAAATGGCCAGTGCGAGAAAGCACAGCGACCCCGTCAGCACCTGATCCAGCATGAGGTTGGTCGTCCACCTGTCCAATTCCACGATCCACGAGTTCACGATCGACGGCGACAGATGCACGGCAGTATTCGTGCTTCTGCTTCTACTGCTGGTTTGACGAGAATGCTCCGACAGCGTGGCAGTCGTTCGGGTCGCGGCTGCCGCTGTGGCGGCGGCGGCAAAGGGGAAATGTGCACTTGATGTTTGCATGCAACCTCTTATCTTTAATACCCTCGTGTCGTTTTGTTGTATTCGAAACCTCTGAACATGAATAAACCGCAAATCTGAAACGCCATTTGATTGGTCGAATCGATTGCGTTTAAAGGCACGCTTGACCATCATTCTGTGTTTCAGCGAACTGTACTATAGTTACTCGCCTGACCTTGTCGTCAACAAAAGCCTAGCACTTCAAAGCATCAACCCCTGCATGAAGCATGGTAATAATAGCATACCTTGTGCAAATCCGTCGTAGCTAGAGCACACTATATATGTACGTTGGCTCCTGCTTATTGGTTGTGAATCTCGCTCCATAACTGTGATGGGTGTTTGATCTACATATACCTTGGTATCTTTCGACGAAACCAGTATTTTACATAACCAACCTTCAATAAAACAATCACTCTCCATCCATCATCATCATTCTGTGTGAAAAGGCACTTTCGATCATTTCATCAAGCGCAGACATGTCTCGCAGATGCGCGATGGAGGCAATGCCACTGCTCAGGAAGGCACCTCCAACTGAGCAAGATAAAACCCAGCAAGAGTTGGCGCTAAACCCCCACCGCCCGCTTCGATCATGGCTGCACGGAGTAGTAGCCGTGGTGTCGCTGCTCCTAGTCCTAGTCGGGCTCACTTCAATTAGTTCATCAATTACACCTCCCGTGTCCTCCAATTTGTCTCCACCCCCTTCGACGCCGTTGAATGTTCGAACGGTGTGGGTTGTCGTGAATCGAACCGTCGACGGACAGCTAGTGGCGGCGGCGACCTTTGATGTAGCCGCCGACACAATCGATGGCTCGACCAGCCATGCATACGCCACCTTCAACGACAGCGTGCCACGTATTGGCTGGTCGCAACTGTGGCTCCGTGCCACCCCCGCCTCAAGCAACTCGTCGGATGCGTTTAACCAGGCGATGTACGCCGCCGGCTACGCCGAAGGAGCGCTAACCCATCGTCGTATTCACGAACATTATTGGAACACCCGAAGCTATTTTTTCGGCAGAGTCCCCACAGCCATCAACCTCGCGTCCGCCGCGCGTGTGTATGACTTCCTGGACCGCAACGTCCGCTGGCTACGCTCGCAGGTGGCTACAATGGACACCAACGACACGCTGCACTGGGCCATGGTAGGCGGTGTGCTAGCCCAACTTGAAGGCCTCGTGCAAGGCTACAACGACCACCGAGGGGTCGAAGACTCGTCGCTGTCAGAGCTGGATCTGTTGTTCCTCAACGCGGATGGTGACATGCCAAACCTCATCGCCCGCACCATGCCTCCAGCCGCCGACGCCGCCACCGTCACGTCCTTGACCAAACCATCGACGTCCAACTTCAAATGTTCAGCGCTCATTCGTATCCTCGACGACGACCTGCTCTGGGGCCATGCCACGTGGGATACGTACACCGCCCTCAACAAAATGTTCAAACATTACGACTTGCCTCTGCCCTCCCATTCAATGGCTAGCCGAGCCGGCCAAGAGCGTCACAATAGCCACCGCCGGCGCATCTCCATGTCATCTAGCCCAGGCTACCTTTCGTCCGTCGATGACTGGTATCTCCTCGACAGCGGCCTCGGTGTGATGGAGACAACGAATGGCAACTACAACGCGACCCTTGCAGCAATGATCTCGCCCGAATCGTGCTTGAGTTGGGTTCGGTACGACCTCCACACATACACTCTTTCGACATGATCAACCAACCAACCTCGTCACATGATTATCAAGATCGTCATGCAGATACACATGATATATCTGTCCATTTATTGCTGACGACAATATGTAATGACATTTGAACTATGTAGAACAAAGGTGGCGAATGCTCTGGCTGTCGACGGGCCATCGTGGACAGTGTACTTTGGTGCGTACAACAGTGGCACGTACAACAACCAGTGGATGGTGCTCGACACATCGCGATTTTCAAATGGGGCGTTGCTACCCCACGGCCTGACGCTGTTGGAGCAACTTCCCGGTGAAATCATGGTTCAAGACGTGTCGAACGTGGTAAATACCCAGGGCTATTGGGCGTCATACAACATTCCGTACTTTGAGCACATTTACAACAAGTCTGGGTTTGCTGCCAAGGCGGCTGCCTCCACGTAAGTTGATCTGGTTCCCATCTCGTCTTATATACTTCTTGTAGAGATAGCAGTTGGTCCCATTCCGACTGTGCCCGAGCCAAGATATTTCGTCGCGATGCTCCTCACGTCCACTCTATCGCAGACTTGAAGCGCTTGATGCGGTAACAGTACACTCTATTTCATCCAGTTTTCGGCTCAAAACGTTCTCCAAGTTGTGTGATATGTTATTTCTCTATTCGTAGCCTATTCATGACTATATTTTTTGGAGTGTTTTGTAATCGACTACGTAGAGCCAACAACTACCAGCACGACGAGTTGAGCTTGGGGGACCCCGGGCGTGCCATTGCCGCCCGATACGACCTCGCGTCGAATCCATTGGAGTTCGCCCTCAATGGGGCGATCGATGCCAAGGTCACGTCCGTCCATCTAGCGCGGCAATTACAGTGCGAAGCCGTGCTCGGTCCATCCAATGACAACCAGCCGACGTTTGAGTGGACTGCCGCGTTTGACAAGTTGGCGCTGCACAAGGGCCATCCCACAGCCTTCAACTTTTCATTCATTGCCATGCGCCACCACGACCATTTGGAACACCAATACCAACCATCCACAGACTCGTTATAATGCCACACGTAAACCATTGACTAACCCTCTGCGACGTGGTGTAACATTATTATCACTCCTAAAGTCTTGGTGCAGTATCAGCTTATCACGTAACATGGTTATCGAGATTGTGTGTATACATGTATGTAGTAGTAGTAGTAGGACAGTAATAGTAACTTAGTAGGGGGGTTGGGATGATACATAGGCCAACAACATTCATGCATCGAATATCATGCGTGCGATATTTTAGTAAGTCAACGACATTGTGCATGCTCGAAGAGGATGGGAGGACGATTTGTTTACTTTATCGCAAGGAGGAGATCTCGTTCCAGGAGCTTTTCACGCTGTCGCATCGTGTGCAGTTGTTTCTTGTACTTTTCGTTGCGCGCTTGCAACGCCAGACATTGCTGCATGAGGTGCGTGAGGTGGTCGTTCAACTGGACGACGTGGTTGTCATGATTGGGACGCCCGACTTGGTCAGACGGACCCGTTTCTGCCACGACGACCACGGTAGCACTAGCATCTTGTGGCCGTTTTGTCGACATTAGCTTGTACGCGTGGCTGTTTCGACTGGCCGTCAAGTTTGACGTTTGTGGGGTCGTTTCTTTCTGGGTAGATCGTGCCAGGGCAATGGCATGTGCAAAGGCTTCGTGGATCGCTCTCTTGATGTCCCCGTGACATGTCTGGTTGTTGTTTGAACGGTTATGGGATCCCAACGCGTCCAATAGTTGATGTATCAACGCATCGACTTGAGCTTCAAAGCGAGCGCCAACGTCCACTGTCGCCATGAGTTTGGCGTTCAGTTTGGTCACTGTTTCGGCCAACGACTGTGTGGTGGTCAAGCGTTCCCGCCACCAACTGTCCAGTCGATCCAGAGTTGCTTGGATGTCGTCCGTTGCATATTGCGATGACGTGTTGGGGTCGTTGCTGCCATTCGCGAGCCACTGTTGGAGCCACGCGTGGATGCTTTCGCGCTCCGTGGTCAACATGCGATTCACGGCCGACACGTCGTGACATGCAGCTCGCAAGTTTTCAAACTCCTGAAAACAAATTTCAAGGCATCCATCACGAACGATACAAATACATGGACAATGCAAGCACGCAAATATATATATATATACCTCGACGTGTTTGTCTTGAAACGACTGGGATTGGGAGGTCACTTGCGACTGCAGCGATTCAACGGTCGCCATCAACGCTTCAACGCGGCGTTCCGCCTTTTGTCCAACCTCCGTGGCCATCTCAAGTTGCGCATTTGTCGCTAGCAATTCGCCTCGTGCGTGGTCGAGGTCTCTTCGTACGTGGCCCAACGCAGTGTCTTTCTCGGCTATGGCCCCCTTGAGCGCGTCCACCATGGCTTGGCTGCGTTCGCGGGAGGAAGTCCATTGAGCTACCGCCACTTTCCACTCGTGCATTTCAGCGTCACGAGCGGTTGTGATCGAGTCAAGTCGTTGTGTCATCTACAAGACCCCCCCCGTCGCAATGAAAATCAACCAATCGAGCGACCAACATATATATCCACATATAATAATCACTGGGCACGCAGTACAGACACGGCGTTGAGAGGTACCCACCTCGGTGTTTTGCATGGACACAGTACGTTCGCGTGCTTTGAGGGTCTTGTGGTCCTTCTCCAAAGCCTCCAGTCGCTCCGACATGTCCGAAATCTCATGCGCCTTGTCAACTTGTACTTGAGTCAACTCACGCTTGAGCGTTTCCGCGTTGGTCGCAGCCTCTTGACATGCGTCGCGCCATTCGTTGCACGACTACATTTCCATCCATCCATGTACTTAAGATTTCATCCAGTTTACCATGGATCGTACGTACCCCTTTGTGTGTTTGCACCAACGCGTCGAGCTGGCTGTTTTGCTGTTGCAATGCATCCACTTTGGCCTGCAAAGCTGCACATTTCGACTCGAGCGCTCGTGTATTCCGTTCCCCGCGCTCTCTTTCGTTGGCCAACATGTGGTTTTGTTCATCCGCCAGTCGGTCCATATCCGATCGCAGCGCGGCCAGTTCACAGTCTTTTTGTTTCGTCGAGTCATACATTCCCGACAGGGCAGCCTCTAACTCTTGAACTTTGGCATTTGCAGCACGTTGGACGTCGTGCAGGGTGTGTTGGAGACTGGCGTGGGCAGATTGTAGCTCGTCGTGCGCGGCCCTCACATCTAACTGCTACACACCATAGCATGTCAGAATAAACGATTCAACGTAAATAGAACGAATCAATGTACTGTACAGGCACGAGCTGGCACAGTGGGCATATCTCATCCATATCGAACACGAAATACTCAAAACGTTCGCCCGTACATCCGTACCTCGGATTGTGCGCGGGTTTTGTCCTCGGCGAGCTCGAGCTTGGCCACCAGGTCGTGGCAAATGCTCTGCAGTTCACGGAACCGCGCTTCCAAGTCGACTCGTTGCTCCACCGCGGCATCCAGTTGCTCTTGCCGTTCCAGCAACGATCGCTGCAACGCTGCCGCGGACGTATCGGCCGCACGCAGCTGGGACTCTAGTTGCTCAATCTCGCTTTGACGAGCTTCGTACTGAATTCTCGTGTCGTGGTATGCCATGCTTAGTTGGTCAAACGCCTACAGATATGATGGATGCCGCCGTCAAAACGGAGGTCCCGTCAAAACGATGACAGATCCTCGAAACATCGTATGCGTTGTCACTATGCCATCTCGAACGTTCTTCGTTCATACACAATAAACGCCCCCATCTCACCATGAATCGACATATATATACACCACACAAAAAAAGGTCTGGCCAAGCATCAAATAATCGACATATATATATATATATACCACACAAAAAAAGGTATGGACAAGCATCAAATAGTATTCCCGTCAACACGACAGCGACATGATGATGTCGAAGCTCAAAACCATGTCCTGGGGCAGCGCACCTGCAGTCGTTGGAACGTGTCATCCAACGCTGCCGCCGTCGTCGAGCTCTGCCGCTTCAGCCGGTTGATTTCATCGTCTTTGGCTTCGATCGACGCCTCCAGTTGGTCCACACGCTGCTGGTTTTGACCCAACATCGTCGACACTCGGTCCAACATACGCTCCTTTTCCGCCAGCAACGCCACCACTTCGATGTGCAGATCGTTCAATCGGCCCACCGACGTCACGGCGTCCGTCTTTTCCTGGGTGCGATGAGCCAGCGTGCTTTGCACGTCTTGGAGGGCCTCTCGAAGCTCTTCCACTTGACTCTACATGAAAATAAAAATACACAGCGTTATTGTCGATTTGATACAAATTTGGGGACAGGGTGCAATCGAATCGCGCCGACCAAACCGATCCACAATCGATTTCTGATTGGTTGAATTTCATTGAGAAGGTTTTGATTGGCTAATAATTCTGAGCTCATCTGAAGTAGCCAATCAAATCGATTTAAATTTCCAACGAGAAACCACACCACAATGAAATTTCACTCGAAAGCACAATAAACGACATATTCATTGTCAACACACGATTGTTGTGCAACACCACCTTGGCTTGATGTCGTTCGTCGTCAAACTCGCGGGCATTTTGGCGCGCAAACTCGAGCTGCGACATCGTGTCGTCGAGTCGACTCGTCGTTGCCTTGACCGTTGCCTCCAACGACATAATTGTCGCCTGGGCCTCGTCCAGCTTGGCGATGACTACGTTGTACTTGTCGTGCCAGTTTGCATTTTCGCGTTGATCTTGCAGACGCTCGGCGGCGGCGGCGGCTACCTGACGTGTCAAGTCCTCCTCACGCAATGTCTTTGATGCTAATTCGTCAGTCACGCGCCGTAATTCGTCGCGATATTCGCTTAATTCGGTCGCAAGATTGTGACGACTCGTTTCGAGCGACGTCCGTTCCGTTGCCCACTTTGCTTGCAATTCCTCGTATTTCTACATCAATTCATTTCAGAACAGTACCGTCTGCACTACATGCAACGCACGCACCTTGATAATGGCGTCTCTACCAAGTCCAAGGCGGTGCTCTTCCTGCAGTTTGCCGTTCGCGTCAATCACGTCTCGGTATGCTTCTTTCAAGTGGTCCAATGTCTAATATTATCATGTCGATTTAAGGTTTGACGTCGATTGTTATATATGTTGAAACTAATAAGTCCAAATATCATGACTGGAAGTGATATAATTGTTGCCAAATTGACAAATTTTTGGAGTGATTAGGTCGATCGATTCTGTGCCGATATTGGCGCCGCTCATTCACTGTCAATGGGAGCATATCCCACTCCAAAGCCAAATTGACAATACGATTTACGCTAAACCATGCGATAAAATTTGGTACAACACCAATAGATTTTGAAATTTAAATAACTGGGGAACCAAAAAGTCACCAAAACCAGCACACAGTCAAATGATATTGTCAAATCCGTTCAATTTGGACTTCCGAGTAGAATCGACGAATGTATTTGACGAATGTTTTCGCCAATCATATTGCACTAGCGAGAAATTGCAACCCATGATCGATTAGTATAGCTTCAATAACAGGTTGGTTGGCCCAGTGTAAATGTTCATCTTCAAACGTGTATACCATTTACATTTACTTCAAATCTGTCTCCAATCGATCCTCTAATCAACGGCCAGGTAGTCCAAATCTCAGCGTAAAGGACCATACGACTTGGAGAAATAAACAGGAGCATGCATATTGTCGATTTGATACAAATTTGAGGAGGGTGTGCAATCGAATCGCGCCGACCAAACCGATCCACAATCGATCTGATTGGTTGTTGAATTTCATTGAGAAGGTTTTGATTGGCTAATAATGTTGAGCTCATCTGAGGTAGCCAATCAAATCGATTTAAATTCCAACGAGAAACCACAACACGACATTTCACCTCGAAAGCACAATACATACATACATGTACTAGTCTGACGATAATAAACGTACGTCGTGGTGGGTCATTTGCAGGTCTGACCATTGGTGGTGCGACGACTCGCCTCGTTTCTGTGCCACGGCCAGCTCGGTTTGCAATGCGTCCACTCGTTGCTGCAATGACATCGTCGCTGCATGCTGCCGTTCCATCCACGTTCGTTCGACGGCAGATTCTTTTTCCACTTGCGCTTTCTTCCAGGACTTCGCACGCGCACTCAGCGCTTCGTTCACGTCGCGCAAGGCACTGGCTTGCGATTCTAGCTCTTGGCATTGGGCCCGTGATTCAGCCACAGCCGCTTCGAGAGCTGCGACGTGGCGTCTTGCCGAGGCCAGGTCGGCTATTAGTCCTCAAGAAATGAATATGTCAGTACGACAGTGAGTATCAATTTCAAGTAGAGCAAGAAGTAGATTGATCTAGGCGTACATGTATCGTCGGTGGTGGCACAAATACGAGGAGGCGTTGGAATGCTGGAGGAAACGGACGCCTGTACGGAGGGTTGCATCGATTCGATCTTGGCTTGCATGGCGTCGATGATCTAAAGTAACAATGTCATGCATATAATCGTGCGGGAATATCGGTTTTGGACTATTAGGATATAATAATTCACAATCCACTTGACGCACTGTACCAGCACAAATCGCTCGACGTCGTCGTAATACTGGTCCTCTTCTTTCATCGCCAAATCAATCTCGTCGTCCTAAAGATAACATTATCCTGACACTTATACACGCATGTACCTTCCACTGCCGCATGCGGGCACGTTGGACGTTGCACGTGGCATGCACTACGGCAAGCTGCTGATGGACTAGTGGCAACAACGGATGTTCTTCGAGCCGTCCTTTCTAATGAACGATCCTTGTCATTCTCGACGCGCCGGTGAACCACCATACACATCGAACGATTGAACCAGTCGAGTATGACAAATCATGGAGATCGATCATGAGGTGTCAATGCGGTATGTACCAGTTCTTCCAACAACGATGTCTTCCCTTGAATGGAACGCATGTCGGAGGACGTGGTGCTGGAAATGGAGCTGCTGCGATAGAAAAATGGTTGACAGATGCTGCTACTCTCGCCTTCGCTGCTTGTTCCGATGGAGCCTCGACGATACATTCCATCGTCGTCAACCTACGTGGACGTAAGTGCTGGACTGTTCGAGATCCTCACAAGGTCGACGAAAGTACCGAGTGATTCCGATACCGTTGCACATCCGGCGCTCGGATGTTATCTTCCATGTTGATGTATCTACTTTCCATTAGACCAGAGGCAAGTCATCAATCAAGGCATTACCACAGACCGTCGACAGGCGCGGCGGAGGAGGTCGCGTGGACGGAAAAATTCGGTTTTCAAAAATGGCAGGTATCCGGATAAAAGTCCGCGAAATGAACATCCGGATATTTCGGGACAGTGGGATGAAACGCGAAAATCAAGGTTATTCGTACGTTTTACTCGGTGTATAAATTAACATAACGTTAAACTAAATAAGCGCTGACGTTACCACACGTTTACGTTCACAGGACAAAAAAAACTTGCACCGAAGGAGCACTACTCGAGGCGATAACGTTGCCCCTGCTATATGAGCACGTATCATACAATCCTAATATTATTGAGGCTGTTTCGGGGTTTCAACCTCCGGAGTACTAGTACTATTAATAGTAATATGTAGTACGTACTAGTATACTGGTATTACGGTAGTTACTACGAAGTACGTATTGATGAAGGTACTGTAACGTCATGTGTTTACCGAAATGGACGAAGGATTAAAGCCGTTTTAATCATAAAAACCGTATGTTTCACCTTTAACGCATATACACACTCCAAAACTGCACTTCGTTGACAGCACTGTCAGCGTCCGTGATGGCGTGACCCATTGCGTTTGCGCTGCCTATTGCCAAGCACATCGCGGACGACGCAGCCAACAACGACAACAAACCACCAAATGGTGAGGAGGAGAACTATCATGATGCGTACACAGCTGTAGAGTACGTGCTGCCCGTAGCGGTGGTAGTGGCGGCGTCGACGTTGCCATCGTACCGTGTCGATTGGTGGGACCCTAGCCAAGACTGCATCGTCCAAACCGACGTGGACGCAGAGCCACATCGAGATTGTTGGCCAAACGTTGCGCGTGGTGGTAAAGATGATGTTGTATTATTTGAGGGCTTGACGCCGTCGTGTTCCCTTATCGAAGTTCCTCGAAGTCCTCTGAATGCAACAGAAACAGCCCCACACAAGTCTATCTCACGCCACAAGGGAATGGAGGCGATGGAATCTCCCGCGTGTTACTGCATTGTCCCAGTGCGAAACGCTTTGCCATGCTCCGCCGCATCTTCGACGCGTCCCAGGCATCGGCGAATTGGTCGGCTCCTACAACGGCGCTGGACGCCATGGTGGGTGTGGCCGAAGCGATCGTAGACACAGTCCATCCCTCGCCTGTGATGTCCCGCGCTATGTCTTTCCGTGGTGGATGCGCCGTCACCGTCGACCAAGTGCAGGCATACCTTGGAGGGCTACACGAAATGTACACCAACATGAGCTTGGCCGTCAAGACCAAGCAAGATTTGTATCACTTTCTCCTGCACTTGGAGTCCGACTACTGTGGCAACCCCACGCCCGACAGTTTTGCCCATCAAGTACTCAATCAGCACGTCGTCGCAGGAAGAATCGGCGTCACATACCAGCTCTTTTGCAGCCAATGCCCGACGTTGAGCTTCACGTGGTCGGCGAGACGCTGCACTGTCCGCGCTGGGAATGCACCATGTCGTACGAAGCGTTCAAGCTGAAATAAATCTATGAATATAAATATATATATTTATTTTATATAAATAATTAAAATTAAATTTTATAATTATTTATTTATAAATTGATTAGTACATTCAGTACAAGAACTGCTGCACGCGCTCCCCGATGAGTTGGAGTTTGAAACGGGCGTCGTACTTCAGGACCGCCAGCGGCTGCGGGTGCCCGGGATCCCGCAAGACGGGCTCATTTCTACCTACCTTGACACGCTGTGGCTCACGGTGCGCAACTTTCGGTGTCCGTACGGCGATGGCGTCCCTCGAAAGGTGGTGAAATCGCTAGCGGCGCAAGTCGACGACGTGCTCCGCCGCATCGATTTGGTCCAGTGCATGTATTGGCAACTGCTATTTGTGAGTCAGATCGCCGTACATGTCGAATACTGGAGCCACCCTGTGGTCATCGAAGCCCAGTATTCAACGATTCAAAAGTTTCAACATCTCTATGCATACCACGGGGGAAAATTGGCGCCGTCATTTGTCTCATCGACCAAGTAATCATGGTCACCCCATCGTCGCCACAACACGCAACCAAGCAATCCGTCAAGAAACCCAAGAGATGCACATCCCCCCCGCCGCCTTGTCCTCCAACATTAGCCCCCACCGCACGCGGTCTAAAATCATTCGTACCATCATGTCGTGGCGACAAACGTTTGCCGAGCCGTACATGTCGACCAAGGACCCTCATCTCCAGCGATGGACATCAAACGCGGCTGGCGGTGGCATGCCCGTGGCCAACGACAGTCGGTTCGTCGGGGTGGAAGAAACGTTTCAGGTGGGCGCGTTGCGCCACGCCGCCGCCCTCGCCGAAGTGGACGACACCGACAAAACCAGCGTATCGGATCGTTCGGAACGGATCCGCTCATCACTGGCGGCCAACTGCGAGCTTGTTTGCCTGAAAACCCTTGTGTGTACTTGTATTCTGCCAAGGAAAACAACCAAGGCAAAGGCGTGGCCCAAGCTGCTAGCGGAATATACTGTACATTCCGCTAGCATTATGTACCACCTCGCCAGTTGACGACTTTCATTAACAGTGCTTTCTTTGGTTGGTTTGCCGTTTGCTGCGATACAGTTGCCCTACACGGACGGTGGGAGCATACCGGTATATGTACGTGATGGATAGGAATGAATTGCAAGTCGGTCCAGTCGTCGTAGTACTCGGCTATTTTTTGAAGGATTTCAACATGTGAGCATGTGCAATAATGGCCTAAATATAGTTTTACTCTTCCGTGGTTCTTCACATCCATGTAGCATAACTCTGTTTCCCGAGCCCTGGAGCCATGCTAGTATTCCAAAAGCGATCGCGCAGTGCACCACCCCCTTCAACGACCCTTACACCAAGTTGGCCGTTCTTCTCGTCTTCCATGTCTGTCTACACAACAGCGCTTCGCCCCTGCTGTGCGGAGCGAGAGCGGCTTCAGAGGCGGCCAAGCTTGTTTGCCAAATCACACGAAGTCGTTGCCGTGCGAGTGGTTGAAAAGTCCCCATGGGCAAGTCGAGCTAACGCTGCATGTATGTCTGTGGTGGGGGGGCGCGTGGGCATTCCAATGGAAGCGGACGAAGTGGCATCGCAACGTAGGCTCTACCGCAGACATATCGACCACACGATGCACACGATTCAAGAAGAGAATGGCAGTGACGCTTGTGGCGACTGCCACGCTTACTTGTACCGCCCAGACGTGATTGTGTCTGTCACAAACGTCCACATGGCGCCGCGCCGGCGTCCTCCATTTCAAAATGCCGAGCGATATACCAAAGCTAGTACAACGAGAGCACCCACCGCCGCCGGCATGAACAGCCCAACGACTCGCAAGGCAAAGAAGTTGCCGATGCAATTGAATCAACTGGCCCGACCGAGCAAGAATGCGTTTGCCAACTTTCCCAAAAGGCAAAGTCCTCGTATGTGACGACAGATGAAGTGCAGTCAGTCCGTTCTTCAGCTTCTGTATTAACGTCGTTCGATAGTTTACATAAAGAGCGAGCGATAGAGATTGTTTTTGTCCCATATTACCGTAACGTTAGTACTGTACTACAGTAGCATTTCGCCTGTAAGGTACCGTTCTGGTTGGCTGTATCGCTTAGTGCGACTACCGTAGGTGTGCACTTCGTACTCTGGAGTACTTCAGTAGTTATAGTATGTAGGTGCATTGCGTTCCACTGATGGCGTCGGCTACAGTAGATTGCACATATCCAATGACACTGTATGTCCATTGTATACTTATTCGCGTCCACGGCCGCCGGATGGTGTCGCAAATAATAATATCATGGGAATAATTCCCTAAGAGCAGTCCTACTTTTGCTTACGTAATCATCCCCCTTCAAGAGCGGTATCGTCGGAATCCACGGACACCTTGCATTGGTATTCCCGGGGTTAACAGTAAGTTGCATCCCCAGTGGTTGGCATCGTTAACCACAGAAATGCACTTAATCTCTAGCTGCAATACGGTGCTTTGGTATATACTTACACTGCATTTGACTCTTAAGGACCAGTGAAATACTTACGTAAGCAACAGAGGAACGATATTCTCAGATTCTATGATGAATCGCATGTACTATTAATAGTATTTGCGTTACTACCGTAGTAGTATTTAACGTTACAGGGTATAATACTATTAATAGTAGTTTTAGTACTTACCTGATAGCATCTCATGCAACGAATTCTCACACCTGGACAATCACAGCTGGACACGGAGCTAAGCTCAAAGCTAGTTCAGCTCTACCGTAAAGAGCAAACTCGCTCGTGCGAAATGTGCCGATTTTATTCGCATTGGGCAAAGTTGGTATCGCCAGTTGTTGCTAATATTCTGTAAAAATTGGACAATGTCTATCAAACGCAGCCAATCACATGGCTGGCATTTATACCTATACTTTCCGCTTCGCGGAAAAATTCACCAATCACCCACGGTACGTTCAGAAATATCCGCCGCCAAATGGTGTCGCATAGGTTGACAAAATGCAATCTGAAAAGCCATTATTGTACTAGTACTAGTACGTGTCATTATTGCTATCACCATGTTCATCCCATCCTTGTTCACCACCAAATCAACGCAGCCATGCTGCCGAGAACGGACTCGCAAGCGCGGCCTTCTCTTCTTCCGCAAGTCACCGCCATCTCCATGCGTGTCCATGACCACAGAAGCCATCGACAAGAGCGTGGCCAAGTGCGCTACGATCGTGGGAGGGCGTTGCGTGCCTTTCGAGTCCCACGACGTTGTGCGGCTCAAACGACTTCGCAAGCTGTGGCAAACGCTAAGTCCAGTCGACGAGTCGTGCTGCAGTCGTAGCCATCAAGTTAGACGTGGTGTGCCAACCACCTTGGAGCTATGTGAAGACTGCCAGGGACACCAGTTTACCAAGTCGGCGCCCGACGTCACAGTACTTGTCACAGACGTTGCATTAACATACTATAAGCCCCCGACCGCACAGTGGATAGCATGAATTTAATGAACTCTTCCGTAGAATCAATGTATGACTGACTACATTTTCCATGACCATGCGTCACTTGAACTACATGAGTACTTTAAAGTAAAGTTGTATCTAGTTGGACAAATGGATATCTCTTGGCATGTTGTACCCTCTAATTACCAGGAGTCAGCTATCGATAAGACCACCTTGCTCGTTGAGACCATTGCAAATCCCTACTCTCCACATCACAACCAAACGGTTGGCTGGGGTGATATCGTAGTTGGCGAGTGCGAAATGGTCTAAAAGTTGCCTAGCCAACGACAGAGTGCACATGTTTTCCCTCGCCCGTAGCCACCAAATGGAAACCAGGTTGTGAAGTTACGCATTGGAAATTGGGGCCCCAACGCCATGGACAAAGTGTGGGTAGACTTGGTGACAGCCAAGATATTCGCCAAAGCGTATAAGCAAAACTGTATACAAGTACTAGTAGGCGATAGACTTGCTAGGCGTGTATTCTGGGTCCGGCCCTATGGGATAGGGTTATACCGAGGGGGGAAAGCAATAGCCTAAAAGGCTACAAATATGTAAAGGGCTACGTGTGTCAGCCCTGTGGTGTGCGTCCCGCGTTAGGTATAATTAGCTTACCAATAGACCTTCCTCACGGTGGAGACGGTAGATCTTGGGGGTCCTAAAAATAGCATTTGCATTATCTTGGTATCCAAGTCGGTAGTACCAGTGCATGCTGCGCCAGCTACGGTTGCCACATGCAAGTGCTAAGGGCGTTATCGACGATGGGGGTGGAAGCGTTTTTCCAAGATCGTTTGTTCGGTGACGCACCTCCGTCGCCGACGCCCTTGATTACGTCCACTTGTTTGCCTTCGCCCTCGCCCCTCATGACGCCACGTGGTGGGGGGGGCACCCGCGAAGACAAACTGTTTGACCTGTTTACGACCTATGCGATGCTCATTACATGCGAAGACCCGACGAGCATTCGCATGGGCTATGTGATCAAAATGCTGCAGGATTGTCAAGTTGTCATCGACTCGGTCGCGACGTCGTCGTCGTCTACGATCGATCCGCTTCACGCTCCACATTGCCTCAACCAAGTACGTGGCACCTACTCAGTGCTTCTGTTGAATGTACTTCTACACTCAGCATCAAAAAGGATCATCGTTCGTTATGACGTTCGTATCGATAGACATTGACCATTCGCGACATTGAAATCATTGCGTCCAAGCTTTTGCATACGTCCACAACGTGCACCAAACTCACATATGACCTGTTCTTAAAGCTCCTGTGGGACATTGCACTTCACGTACGACCGATCGTGTGAATACTAGTCACTTACTCTTTGTGGTTGGGGGTTGACTGGATTCAGGCCCATCCAGAAACATCGCCACCGTTGGCGTTTAAACTACTCGTCGATCAATGTGTGCAGTATTCCCCCAAGCACAAGACAAGGTACGTACAGACAGTAGTCGCCATCACGTGTCCTCGATAATACTCATCGAACGTCAACTTGCTGGCAGGATACGCTGCCACGTGGACGACGTGTACACCCGTGCAGAAAAAGTGATTTCGTTCTTTGAACCGAGCTTGGTCGAGGTAAATAAACCATAGTGTGTATTGAAGATAGCAATGCGCGAACAAAAGTATAAACTAGCTTCATGTGTATTCGACTACGGGTAGATTTTCAAGGGGTATGCCGATGCCACCCACAGAACGACCGCGTCGCACCGCAACAAACTGAAAGCCAAGACACATGCCGTTCACGGTGGGGTCAACGCCCCAACTACGACAGCCAAGAAAAAAGCGTGCCCTCTCCTTCACCACATGGCTATGTACTTGAACTACCACGACTCGGTGGCATTTGCAAGGCAATTTGGCCTCGTGAGCCACGGGGGGGTAACCATCGCCGAATTTGCCGCCGCGTACATCGACAGTGTCGAGAAAGCCAAGGGCTCCACGCGGCGCCAGCTCACGTTTCTCGGGTTTTGTCACTTGTTGTTGCGGTTGGCTCTCAAACTGTACAGCCACGCCCCCGTATCTGTTTCCGTGCAGCTGAAGTACGTACTGTTTTCTGAAATCTATATATCATGTCGTCGATCTGATTCTAATATATATCATTTTGTGGCGTCGGATGGTCCTAGGGCGTTGTTTCAGTTCATGTGGCTCAACTCGCGCCCTGACACGACCAAATTATGTGGACATCGGGACCTTGGCACGTCTGGTCTTCACGCATCGGTAGGTCGTCTGTGATATTGAACCCCCGTACCACACGATGGACATTTGAAACATGTAAAACAGCTCCAATGTGAGGCTTACTGTCGTGGAACGAACTTGTAGGGCACGGCGGCGTTCCACGCGACGTTTCTCAAGCAATGGAAAAAGGACCAATTCGTGTACGCATGTTGTAATTATATCCATTGTATCTACTGCGTTGGTCGGGCGACTCGTAGTTCACATTGCCTCTGATAATACCTATACATAACAATCAAAATATGGTAGGGACTACGCGGCGCAAATTCACGCCACGGCGCCACATCAAGTCGTTCGGAACGTAGCTATTCGACAGGTACTCACTTTGTGATTTCGTAGAAAAATTTTTTTTGTGCCGGTTTGGTCTTGTTGCATTATAATTCGAATTTCATCATTTGACGTTGTCATTTAGGCGTTGCTGGAGCCCATGGCTGGCTTTGCGTGGTCTCCATAACGTTAGCGTCGTGTTGCATCGTATCGGCTGAATAAAGCACGACATTTCAAACTGTTATCATCCCATGAAAACTGCAAAGTCGACGGCTGAATGATTGCCCGCCCTGTGATGCTGTAATGGCATCATACTGTACAATGTAGTGGACTTCATTTGGAGCGTTATGCGACGGCATGGCTAGGGATAGAGCGAAGCACATAGGGCAGGGGGATCCTGACAGTGTACAGCACATGTACGTACGACCGCCTAACACGGGTGCGATTGCAATGTGTAAAATTGCAACCAATATGTGTAAAATTGCAACTAGTATATTAATATTATATATAGTACGGCTCTGTCCAAGAAGAAATACAGTATTGGGTTTAGTTTGGCATAAACAAGTATGTCCAAGGACCTTGGATACCTCTAGTTCGAAGTATATTCTTGAGTGCTGCTTTAGCGCAAAGGTTTGTAAGATGATTTTCCTTTCTGTTGTATTTCAGAGGTTCGCTCTAACCTTATGGCTGGTGTATATACATACATAAATATGTATATTCTCTGTACGATCTATGATTAAAGCGTTTGCATACGACCTAAATTGGCATACCAGTACTATATATCCCACAACAAGAATAGGTCAAACACAATCTAGATTATATAAAGAGTCATCGTAGTGGTGGCCCTCGCTGTAGTCGTACTCGTATTCCGCGTCTACGACTGTAGGTTCCGACTCGTTAGAGCGAGATGGGGGTCAAGAGCGAAAAACTGCCAGTGCCTAGCTTCACGGGTTGGCCCAGCACGAGGCGCGCCGACGGACCGTCCATGTCGTCTGCCAAATTGCCGGTCGCCGCCGCCGTGAGGAACTTCATGGACGTTTCAAACGTAATCTGCTGGAAACTCGATCCTTTGCGCATCATGCCGGATCGGTTGAGGGGCATGTAGTCGCCGTGGTGGGTCATATAGTCGGCGAGCAAGTTCAAGTGGCGCGGGTCCACCGAGATGCCATACACGCCAAACACGTCTTGGATTTGCTTGGAGATGGACGCGCGCGTGGCTTCTACGCCGTAGTGTCGCAGCACCTGGTAAATGTCGTTGGTCGCGAGGCGGTTCACATCGAGCACGTCGTCCAGTTCCCAGATCGCTTGAAAGTTGAGCCCCGCCGTTTGAATGCACTGCTCTTCGACGTCGGAGCCGTTGAAACGCTGTTTTACTTGGTAGCAGCGCGAAATGCCTGGACACGACCGAACCAGCACTTGGTTGGCCACCTTTTCAATCAACGGCACCAAGAGCAGCGTCTTGAAGTTGGCAGGAAACCGAAGTTTGAGTTCGCCGAATTGCTCCTTCGAGTTGAAGCCAGCGCCGGCAAAGTATGGACTCTTGCGAACAGTTTCAGACACGGCAACCGGGTCGAGCTCCCCCGCAACAGGTTTGAGGGGCGCGGCGTCGTCGGCGTCGTCATCGCTCGAGTTTTCCGTATCCGAGCCGCCGCTGGGTGTGGCGACTGCCGGTTGGTCGTCAAGTTGCTGCGCCAGGATCTGCTGGTCTTCGTCGTCCATGTCACCGTACCCTGATGCTTCCTTTTTAGCGCCAAAGCGCATCGTGCCTTGGGCTTCTTCGTCGTCCTCGTTGTCGTCGTTGCCTTGCTTGCTGAATCGGCCAACGTGGCTCGGGGAGGCGTTGTCCATATCGTTGTCGATTGTGCGAGACACGCTAAGAGCCACGCCGCTCTTTCGAATCTCATGCTTGAGCAACGTGAGCAACCGCGACACGAACACGCGCCCAAAGCTGCGGTGCACCTCCTTCATCGAAATCCCAAACGCCGACCGAATCGCCTTGGCTTTGAAAAACGATAGCCGGATCGTGTACTCGCGCACCCACAGCACTCGCGTCGCGCTTTCTTTGAACTCGTCCGTCACCCGGATGCCCTTGACGTTCCGGATGAGTTCGGATAAGGGCACTTGGTTCAGGCGTTGCTCGACCTGTTGCGCCGCCGCGGGGGACGTGGTCGCCAGCAACGGCACTGTCATCATGGGCGTCGACATCTTTTGACTCGCAGTCATGATGATTTCACGCAGTCGCGGAATCCCGAGCGTGACGTTGGCGGCGCCGTGCCCGGCCAAGTGGAACGTGTTGAGTGTCATCTGCGTCGACGGTTCCCCAATACTTTGTGCACAAATCGTGCCAACGTTCTCGCCCGGTTGACACAGTGACCGCATATATTTGACCCACACCATGAGGCGAAACCCCAACGGCGATAGCATCATGGGCGACTGCGCTTCCACGGGCAACGCCTTTGTTTTTTTAGACTCGAGAAGGCCCGCGGGGTTGGTCTTGGCGTACGATTCAATCTCGAGCTGGGTCTTCTCGGAAATAACCCCAATGTGCGCGTTCAGCGGCAGCTGGTGCATGACCGGATCTGGCACGATGGGGCGCAGCAGCTGCACCGTGCCGCTCAGGTACGATAGCTCGGGCGTGATGGTTTCACTCGCCTTGAACCGCTTGTACTGCGGCACCTTGTACGCCGTCATGCCCGTGTCCACGTACAGAATGTCATAGACAGGGTACTCGCCCGTCGTGTCGACATGTTCAATCACGGCGGTGTGCCAGCCCAGCTCGAACGAGCCCTTCTTCCACTTGGACGCCCCGGCCTTGAGCCGCCGAGCTTGGATCGTCAGGCCCGCCTTCATCGAGTGCATTTCCAGCCCCACGGACGCGCTCACGCGGTCGTACCCGTAGCGCTTGGCGTCCTTGATGCGTTGGTGGACATGGGCTGGCTCTACGAGATCCAGGCCCGAATTTTCGAGGAATTCGCCCGAGATGCCAAACTTGTGTGTGAGCGAAGCATGGTTCATAGCCAGGAACGACAGCTGGTCGGGTTTGCCGCTCAAGAAGGCGGCTTGCATCGGGTCGATGCCATCTTCGCCGTACAAAAACTGCACCACCGTGCCTTCGCCGTTGCGCACCGTGTGGTCATACCCGACATGCAAATCCTCCAAATGTTTGATTAAACATCGCTGGAGGTACCCCGACCGACTGGTTTTCACGGCCGTGTCCACCAACCCTTCGCGCCCCGCCATGCAATGATGGTAGTACTCTTGCGGCCGCAACCCCGTCAAGAATCGGTCGGTAATATACCCGCCGGCACGAGGGTTCGGATCATACGCTTCAAATGACGGGAGTGACTTGCCGCTCACGAGCACGGGCACGCGGCGCCCTTCGAGCGCCTGCTGGCCCAACCCACACGAGATCTGCGAGTGGTTGACCATGCTTCCCTTGGCCCCCGTGAGCACCATGAGACTAAAGCAGTTGGCTGGAAATGATTTATTTTGGCCGTGGGGTAGGCACGCCTTGATAATATCCGAGCTCGATCCGTGCACAAACCCCATCATGTGCGAATCCAGCCCCGCCGATGTTTGGTCCAAGTCTTCGGCCATTTTTTTCTGCATCGTGTCGCGGATTTGGGCGCGCTCGTCGTCGTTCATGAGCCGGACCGAGTCGTGTTTGGCGTCAGCCTCGGCCTTGCGCGCCGCCGCTACGTCCGTCAATCCGGCAAACTCTGAATATGCGATTTCACCGTGCACGACGGCATGCTGTACGAGGCGACGGCGCTCGGCTTCTGCCGCCTCGGTCAATGTCAAGTCTTCCAATGCACACGTATGTCCGGCGTATTGGAGGTAGCACGTGAGTACCCGCCCCAGCGCTGTGAGCAGCTTAGCGGCGGTGCCGCTACCGTACAGTTCGTACACGGCGTGCACCCACCCAAACTCGGTAGCCCCAAATTGACCCTTGTCCAACACCCCCTGGAGCAACTCGCCGTCGCGAAACACGACCACGTGCTCGGCGTTCTGGGGGCCGTACAAGTCGGCCTTGATTTTGGCCTTGGCGTTCAGGTTCAGTTTGGGTTTACCCGCCGTGAGCAGGTTCAAAATCGTCGACATGACTTGCTTGCCAGTCCACAGCGGCGTCGGCTTCCAAATCGTAGGGGGCAACACGACGATTTCCGCGCCGCGCTCGTGATCCATACACGCCCATGCGCTGTAAACGAGCTGGATGTACATTTCCTTGGTCAAGAACGTGTCACGCTGGGTGAGCTTGACACCAGAGTCGACGTGATCTTGAATGAGCCCTCGGAGGGGGGAGCCATCGGTCGGGACAATGTACTGGTTGTCGTTGTTGGCAATCGTATAGGCTTCGGCCCGGGCTAGCTCGTTTTGCGGGAAATGCATGTTCATCTCGTCGCCGTCGAAATCGGCATTGTACGTGTTGCAGTTGGCGTAATGCATGCGGATGGTTTGCATGGCAGGGTTGGTCAAAACACGGGTGACGTGCGCCATCATACTTGGCTTGTGCAATGTCGGCTGGCGGTTCATTAGCACCACATCCCCCGAGTGCAAATGGCGCCATACGCGCTTCACTTTGTGCTCCTGGTGGGCTCCATGCGCCGACGCCGATCGGGTCAAGAGCGTCTTGCCGATCGCTACACGCTGGTGGTGCGTTCGTTTGCTCAAATCGATCAGTTGGCCTAGTCAATCTGGAGTCAGGTACATGTGACATGGTGTGAAAGCGTCAGTAGCTAGCTAGCTTGCGATGCCGGGGCTACTATTGCAGGGGAACGAATGGTGGCAGAGAACTTACCTCGCTCGTTTTCGACAAAGTTGGCGCCGGGGTGGATGTCGGGGCCATTTTCAACCAGCTGGCGCATCTCTTCGACGTTCCACGGTGTCACAGCTTGGGGCAACGTGAGCGTTTTCGCAAACTTCAACGGCACCCCAATTTCACTCGTGCTGCAAAATCACACACATATTACAAACATTGTACTACATTTCAACGATAAACACACGGGTGTATCGTACCTGATGTACGGATCGGGGGAGATGACGGAGCGGGCGGCGTAGTTGACGCGCTTCCCCATCATGTGTTTGCGGAACAGCCCTTCCTTCTTCTCAATCAGCTGCTTGATACCTTGGGGCACTTCGTCCGGGCGTTTGGCCTTGGAGCTGTCGATCAAACAGTTGACTTGGGTCTGGAGTTCGGTCCAGAGGTAGATTTTCTCCGACAAGTCGACGCCCGAGTTGGTATCACTGGTGGCGTCGTTGGTGGTGGCGCCGCGGCGCATGCCCGATACATTCACGAGTTGATCGCTGAGCGTAATGATCTTGGCAAGGTAAATGTTTTGCGCATGTTCAAACAGTGAGTCGCCCATGATCACGGGCGGACGAAAGCGCGACGGCGCGACTGGGATCACCTGCAGGAAAAACTTGCGCCAGCCGTCCAGAGGGGCGGCAGAGTCGGGGCTGCGGCCGTTGGCGACCAACCGGTTGCCCCACATGAGCTCCAGCAACCCTTCTTCATGCTTCCAAAGCAACTGAATCTGCGACATCACTTCCAACGGGGCCAGGTACTGATTGGCTCCGCCTTGGTGATCCGCCGTCGTTACCTTGTCGCCGTCTTCATCGTCCGAGTCGATAATGCCTTCGTCGTCCGAGTCGTCGTCGTTATCGTTGGTGTTGCTGCCCCCCCCCTTGGTGCTGAATTTCGACAACGAATCAAAGGCCGAGCTCAGCCGCACGGCGCGGCTCTGGTTGTGCTTGATCGATCGAAGACTGAGCGGTTTCAAGAAGATTTTCGCGTTTGAGTCTTGCCGCAGCGACGGCGAATGTGCCTCGCAGTTTTCGCACTTGTTGGTCATGCCTTTAAGGAACGACGCGATGATCCCGTCGCGTTCGACTTCGACGCTGCGCGCGTTACGAGGCAGCGATTTCGACGACCCAGACAGCGCGAGCCGCTCGAACTCGTCCAGAATCGCCTGCTGGCGCTGCACAGTCTGGGTGGAGCTCTCGTCAAAGTTGCCGTCCTTTTGGTCCAGCAGCTGCAACAGCGACGCTGCTTCCTCCACGTAGCCATTGTCCAGGAGAAGTATACGCACGCGGAAAACGCGCGAGTTGGCCGACGACCGACGAAACTTGTGGCAACTCAAGCACTTGCGCTTGAGAATGTTGATCAGCGTCGTGAACAGCACCGGCGAGTACACGGGCACGGGCAGTTCAATGTGGCCCAGATGACCCGGGCACTCCTTTTGCGTCAAGTGACACGTCGGGCAGATCATGTTAAAGTCCACCGGACCGAGCGCAGGGTCATACAGACCGCCGAGCACGGGGTTCTTGAGTGTATCAAACGAAATGCGACTGGTGATCTGCTTCACAGACAAATCTCGGATCTCATCGTCGCTGTAGAAACCGAACGACACTTCCGACACCTCGTGCCGCAAGATCGATTGATCCGTCGCAGCATCCATGTTATCTCGCGGAGGTTGGTGGTCGAGGCTAAATAAATCGGAACTTGAAGCTACAGGTTTTGGCCAGTGAAATGAATGGCCTCTTGGGACACCAAAAATGTAACATGTTATAACATTCTCCATGGTTTAGTAACCTATAAAAAACACAGCAACGCGTTTGTTATAACAATCGACCCAGCGTTGTTGTAGGTTTGAAACCCGCCGTTACAAAAGTTGCAACGTGATTCCATTGGCTCCCAAGAAAGCGAATTTGATTGGTCCATTCTTATGCCCAGCAAAATGGAATGTGGTCTTTGCGGGAGGAAGCGTGCGTAGTTGAGGGCAAAATGCACAATGAATTAACTGAAGATCTACAAAGATCGTCGTCGACGCTGTTGGCGGTGAAAGCCAGTGAGTACCGGTATCATGGTGACCGAAGCATGATGTCATGATGTCACCGAATGACCTAAATTAGCGAGTGGGAGTTGACTTCCACTTCATCAGCCTCCTTAGCCAAGCGAGCCAGTCGCTCGGCCCGACGTTTGATGCGCCGATGCCGCCTCTCGTCGTCTTTCTTGAGACCAGCGACAAACTCGTCGATGCGATCCAGCACTTCGCCTTGGTCTTCTATCCTGGCGTACAGCCCTGGTGTGAACCCATTGATGTCTTCCGCCTCCAAATCTGCATGGCCTAAGTACATAGGGTCGATGCTGTGAATAAATGAGTTCATCGCACATATTAACTCCAATCGCTTGCTTCGATCCATGCACTACCTACCCGTGTGCAGTAAGAAGTCGACGAGGTCTGTATAGCCTTTGAAGCACGCCACATGTAATGCTGTCATGCCTTCGTTATCCTTTCCATTGACGTCGGCGCCGTGATGCAGCAGCAAACCGACCACTTCGAGGAACCCACGCACGGTGGCCCAGATCAACGGGGTCATTCCTTGTGCATCCCTCAATTCGACGTTGGCTCCACTTTCCACGAGTCGCCGTCTATATGTATTTCATCAAGTTAGAGATATCACAGGCATCGGTAGAAGGCTAATGGTTGAAGCAACGATTTTCAGGTCGTGCTGCAGGTGATAGTTGTGTCGCATCAATCAATCAACTTCCACGTTCGCATATCAAATAGTGTCACTCACGTCATTGCCTTGTTGCCCATTCTATGCAAGATGTTTTCCACGTGAGGAACCGTTACGGATCAACCGTTTAAGCATCACAAAACGTAAAGGCTGCAAATACATCGTCGCTGATGAAAAATACTAACGTTAATATCAAGATCGTTCAAATTGAAAGAAACGTACATACACACACAAAATGGCAAACAATTCATATCGTCAACTGTACATGATACACATGTGCAGGGCGCCATGCAATGTCCCTTGGTCTTGCAAGTCAGGTTTCGCGTGTTTGTCGATCAAAAACTTGGCGATTGCACTGTGCTTGAGCTGGATCGCAATAGACAGCGCAAGTCGGCCGTCCTTGTCACGGGAGTCGGGGGGAATACGCAGCACGAGTAACCTCGCGACATTGACGAGGTCGCCGTCCCACACCGCGTCGGGGAGGGTGGTCTTGACGAACGGCAAAAAGTACAAGTTGCATCGTGTGTACTTCTCCGCCGCGGTCCGCAGCGTTCGCTTTCTCGTTGGAAAGTGCTCACACCCTGGCAAACTCTACACGTACATAACATCAACCCAACAAAAGTGTACACACAACGTACGTTGACACGCATACGCTCCCGAAGCGCCGCCACCACGCCCTTCCGACGAACGTAATCGGCAGCGGTGAACTCGTAATGGTCCACGTCGATGGCTGGACCGTTGGGCCACGCGCGTCCGATGGCAATTTGGCACCCTCCTCGTCGCGTGGGGCTGTTGTTGGCTGGCTCGGGTTTTGGCTGCAAATCCTCGTCGTCGTCCCCTACTGCTGGGCCATTCAAGTCTTCCATGACGGCCGCGGCGAGCCGTTTCGATTCGGTTACAAGGACTTTTCTCGCTATCAAAAGCCCTGCAAGTACTACCGATCGGGGGATGGAATATGAAAGTGGCACGTCTTGACTGTAGTGCTTGTAATGTTGTGTGAAAGGGTCTGACAAAGTGCTAGATCATCATGGTTGCCTGTCAGAATGGAAGCACGTACGAACGAGCGGGAGCCAAGGTTGACGGCATTCTCATTACATTTCTTATAACGCCCCCCCTGCCCATGGTTATTACATGTGACTTCAAGCGCACTCATAAACGCTAGGCCTGGACAAGGGGTGTGCAGATGGTAAGGGCGGTGATATTAATACAAAACTTGACAAAACAACTACGACATCACGCGTCAACGTAAAATCGACTCAGCGACGACGGCGGGTCAAATGTCATGTTGGGTCCTGCAGTATGGTACATGTCGTCTTCGTGTTTGATTATATCCAGTCCATGGTCGCCGTAGATGGCTTGGGTGTACGGGCCGACCGTGGCGTTTGTTGCTGGTATCGGCGATGACTCGGTCATGCAGTCTTCTTCCCACAAGTCAAAGTACGATGCCGGATCGTCCCCATTGGTGTGTTTGGTGGTGCTACTGCACAGGATGGTATTGGTGGAGAGGGTGGCGTTGTGTGGTTGCTGCGACGGGTCGGCGGTCCCAAGACTGAGCACATCCCCCCAGCAGTCTGTGGAGGACGGACCCAACGCATCGCCGACGTGGATCTGAGTCGACAAGATTTGCATCGGCATAATATTGTGGTATGCCGTTGTGTCAGGATGAATCGTGGGTCGCTTGTCCAGAAACGTGGTGTTATCGTACAGGAACACGTCATACGGCTGTTGTGGAAGCAACGTCGATGTGGACAAGATGGGCATGGACGGAAAGGACCAGTTGTAGGCGGGGGGAGGGGGCGCTCGAAGTGACGATGTCGATGAGGATGTGATTTTGTTGTGCTTGACTGGGGCGGACAATCCACTGCCACCCTCGTTCAGCCCTCGCTCCTTTCGCTTGATCAGTTTAATGTTGTCGGGCTTGTGGTGGACAAAGTTTGGGTGGCTAAACGTGCACACGACCGTCTGGGTTTTGGTCCACTTTTTGAACCCAAAATAGTTGAGCTGGCGTTGAAAGCTCGACACTTTGTTGTGCTTAAAGTACCGCGGCAGGATGCCCTTGGAGAGCGCGTCGGGGCGGCGAATTTGGAACGCAGTGCCCTTGTGCGACCAACAAATGATACTTTTGTCCTCCTTCTCCAGGATTTCATACAAGAACCGTAGGAACTTTGGCACACCGACATTGCGTTTCTTGACGGGGGACTTGGGGCTCTGGGGGAGGCTGCGGTCTTTGACTACAGACTTTGGAGTGGGAAGGAGGAGAGGCACAGGCAAGTCAAACGTCGGTGCGATGATCGTCGATGATGACGATGGCCCGAGCAAGGGTGTGGGTTTTGGCGTGCCTGCCATCATTTGAAAAGTGTGCGATGGACTGCGAGGCCAACGCCAGAAAAAAACGAAGGTTTGCCGACATGCAATCCAACCCACTGTCAAGTCAAGTGAATTGTATCCACAGCAAACTATACGTGGGAAGTCTGTCGATGACACCATGATGTCGCCAACACACGAAAGTGCCCTTTCGAAATCCGAACGTTTGGGTGGGACGACGGAAAGTGCCGTGGTATTGGTCGACGTTTCGACAAGATATATCGAAAGGACACCCTGAGATACGATATTTATAGCAAATCGAGAATCCTTCTTTGCAAGTCAGAGGGCACAGTCACCATTTATCACGGTGCAATAGCACATGCACACTCTATATGAGCTTCCTTGGTTGACCTGTGGAAGGTTTATGCTTGCCCCTATTCCGTGCATGTTCTCTTGTTTCCCCATGCATGCATGGCATTCGTGAACTGGGGTCACACCGTCGAAACCAGTGGTGCTAAACCAGGTCCATAGATTCGACTTCCAGTTAACGTTTGAGGAAATCGTGTCAACAAGTTTTGCATTAGAAGATGCTGCAGTGCCCAACCAACCAAGGATTCGTCCATGTGGGGCATGCCGAAAGGCCATTGGCTGCGAAATGTCGTGCGGCGGTTTCAGTTTTTTTAATATTCCAAATTGTCAAGCGGCGGCATCCGATTGGTAGCACGAGTATTGGCACTGACAAAATAAGCATGTTGAACTTTCCAAAACAGGAAGGTTGTTGTTGCCTTCCCATGCCACCACTGCCACCACGTACGTCCCCATGGCGTGATTACTGTACCTGTGTTCATTACGCCAGCAAAATTCAATCGAGGTACCAGTTTACCGTGATACCAGTAACGTTTACGTTATGGCCATAACGTTAGGAGTGTTATTACATACTGTGTACTGTACCAGTATGGCCGACCAATCCTCAGCATGTTGGACTCCATGGCCATGACTTCACCGACAAGTTGACAACTTGGCTTGCTGACATCGATGCATGTTTAACTTGTTAGATCAATGACGTTACGTTAGAACACTGTAAAGTCGAAAACGTCAAAGATTACCAGACAGAAGATCCGCCGTGCATTGGACTCCTCTGACATATGCACAAGCGACGTCATGGAGAGGAGTCCAACGCAAGGTGCACGGCGGATGTGCACACAGGCAGAAAACCTCTCTATAGAACGACGTACGGCAACGTTAATAAAGGAATTCCTATGAGACACAGACATGTCAGAGACACATGCAAGGGCAGCATTGATGCAGTATGGTGCGACAGGTGCTTACCTCATGTTGTGCAAGACGTCGACGTTTGGCGGGGGTGGCGCAGTGCTGCCTGCTCCTTTCTGAATGAAGCGCGCGAAAACGAAACCGTCGCTTGAGAGCCAGCAGAGAACATCATTGGTCGAAATATATCGGATGCTGGGTGAAATATATTGGCGAAAAGTGTTATTAACTGTAAACGATAGGTGGTCGAATTATATCGCTGGCTTGGTGAAATATAAACGTGAAGTTTGAGGTCGCCACGGAATTAAATTACTGTCGATTTTCTTCAAATTTCCCAGCTTTCCTTGGTTGGTTCAATCGAGCACAATATCCGACTCCGCATTCTGCCTTCAACTACAAACCTCTTCCAGACGACATAAAAAGCAATATGTTGTTCACCCGTGCCGAAACACAAGCAAAACTACTGCAATTTAGCCTTCTTTCAAAAGTTGTGCAATTTCAACACAAAACATTCGAAATCAGAATCATATAGACCTTTGTACAATGTACTTGAACAGCTAGCTATACATAGTACACTTAATATACTCGGAGTAATACAGTAGAGCTGAGACATGTGATTGGCCATTATCCACTCCGCCCTTTCCAGTAGAGATCGAAAATGGATTGTAGCCAATCAGCCACAAGTAGTATCGGATTGACCAATGGGAGAGAGTGGTGGTCGATTCGGTTGGCGAGATTGGATTGAACGGGGTGGGTCCGTACTGAAATTTATCGGTGGCCAAATACTAGTATACAGTACTAGTATTTGGCCACCGATATATTTCGGTTATTATTGGAGATTCGGTATGAATTTCCGGCTTGCAGTACTATTAAACTATTAATAGTACTGCAAGTTAAAAACCGAGCGGGTTAAGCGAAATATAGTGAAAAACACTGAAATTAACCAGCAAAAATGTGTAGTAACGTTATTTGACACATACTTCGTATAAGCCTGATTTCGTCGGTACCTATACGAATAGTTATAGTTATACTGTATCCTGTCCCGTCACTATTCTCACGAAACACCTTGCAAACTGGTTTTGCAGCGTAATGTATCTGCCGAGTCTACAGTACAGCTGTAATGTGTGTGCCACTTCAGAGACGCAAAGGAAGGCGAATTCTTCTCTTGCCTCATTTGTTTCGTAGAACTTCCACGATGCCAACACCATACATGCGTCATCGTGGTAAGTTGAGATGTGGAACTACACGGTGGCGCAAGAAGCAGGATATTCTTACGTAACGGCAAATGGCCACAAATGGTGATGGTCCTAAGAATTGACGAGGGGATGGCATAACTGAAGCCCTGTGGGCATTGCTTGGTACCCGATGGATATACAGAGCCATGGTTAGCTTGAGGAAATGATCTGAAGGCATTAAGAGGCGGCGCTAATATCGTATCACGCCCCAAATGTCCCATCCTTAGTATCCTATTTAGAGTGAAAGGACGACTCTGCCCTTATATATATGGTGCAATCCCTAAATTTGCAACGAATCTTTGAAAATGCAAGAATATTTTATTTTATGCCTTTGCAATTTGTATGTAGTGGGGTAATTTAATAAAGAGCATTACAGGTGCCCTATCCCACTTCAACTTGCTTGGCAAGGTTTGAGACAGAAGGATCATTCTACCTTCTCGCACATCAACGCCAGGACATACGAGTATGACGGACTTGGCGACTCAATTGGCTATGGAACAGGAGAAGAACCGCCGCCTCCAGGCTGAAGTCGATCGCTTGCGCAAGGCTGTCGTTACCGCGGTACGTGGCACGTCCTCGTTGTCGTTTCGTGCTCATGTTTATGTGGTAGTCGCTCGAAGCCGAGAAAGAAGAGGAGTTCATCGTGAACTCGTTCATCCGTCGCATGGAACAAAAGCAAAAAGCGATGGCGGCGGCGGCTGCAGCGAAGGCGTCAAGGACACAACCCGCTCTGCACGTCCAGCGCCTGGCACCGCCTCATCGCGACTCGTACTACGAGGCGGAGATGAAGCGGCTTCGCGATGACAAGGTTGCACTGGGCGTTCGCTTCGAGCAGGAACAAGAGTCCATGTTGAATCGATTGATGCGGCAGTTCAAATCGACAAGCGCAAAGCAGAAGCGACTGAACCGAGGTCCTGTGGCCGCCGTTGCATGCTAGCACCACGCCTCCCATGTATGTAACCAAGTACAGAACCGTCGGGCACAATAATTATATTTCCTTATTACATGTTTATGACTGTGGCCAGCCTTTCGACCCGACTACCCAGCCCCATTTCGAGTCGACGTTTCAAGTGTGTGTGCAATATGTACTGCATTGTGTCAACCTGAAATATTACAATATTCTGGTCCAAAACGCCATTTTGGGGCCGAAATCAATAAATCTTATCAAAAGTGAAACATGTCTTGCTTGAAGAGTTTTAACCCAAATCGAATACTTCGAAGTAATTCCAAGTGGAATTTACTCCTTGAGGTGGTCCAAAACGCCGCAAAATCGACCTTTTACCTCCATTTTGAAACTGGCATTTTTCGTTTATCCCATTTTGCCAAAAAATAGAATATATTTTTGAAAAGTAACCACACGGGCCCTTAGTATTGTGAATATTTCACCCAAACTTGGACTTGTGTGTGTCATGTCGCCAAATATTAATAGCATTCGAAACCACTTGATCTCATTTAAGCTGGCACAAACTATACAATACAACGATTAGTATGTATGTGGTTGTGCCCAATGCGGAGGGGTTTGGATTGGCAGAAACTAGACAGGGTGTGGTTTGATTGGCTTAGGCGGTTCTTCAATCCATTCTCTTAGGATATTCGATACTGCTTCAGTTTCGAATCGATTTGACAATAATACCTTCGCGTGGTAAGTTCTACTTGTAATTTATAGACATAGATGCACGATATATTATGTCCCATGGCCGTTGTCGGAAAACCCAAACAGTCGTCGAAAGTGCACACTTGGGTCGTCGTCGTTGCTACTGCCATTGATCTGCAACTCCTTATCAGATGGAGTACACAAGTGCTCGGGGAACGTGCACTCGTAGCTCAACTGGGACCGGCCTCGGTCGTCTCGCACCAGCGCTGCCGGGGCAAACGTGCACAGAAACACGTACAGCGCATACAAATACTGTCTTGCTTGTACGTTGCTTTGGTCACATGTGACAGCGTCCGGTGATGGCGTGGACGCAGCTGGTCCATTTAAGACCAAATGTGGGTTGATGTGATGGTTGTTGGTGTCAAGGGGCATGTCGATGGTGGGGGGGGTGGTTGTACCTACGAAACAACATGTGACGACGTTGCCTTGGACACATATCTATTTATATCCTTTACGGATAAAAGGTACGACATTGCTCTTTCGAACCAAAAAGAGTACCGAATCTGGCTTTACGTATACTGTACCTTTGGTGGCGACTGCAACCACTTGATCGAAAAACCACTTGGGGGAATGCGAGATGTGCTTTTTGCTCGACGCGTATCGTAGTGTTAACCGCAGGGCGAGCGTCACCTACATATATATATCATATATCAATGATTCCATCAGGTTGTACAGTACTAGTACTACATACATGGCCATCCCGCAAAAACAGTCGCACGAGGTCGTCCACAGCCCCCAAACGATGGTACATGTCCATCGCGACTTGATGCATTGCAGGGACGACTCCTTCCTACCCACAGCAAATATCACAAAATCAACAAATAACAACAAATAACAACAAATGCCATACGTTTTCACTGGAAAAAAACGATCGCATGTCTCGAACAATACCATTATCATCCAAACGACATTGTTTTGAATCGATAGATTCTGAATATATATATATGTATATCCCAAACATTGCATTGCCGCAAAAAAATGTCATGAGGCTTTTTCCGATTCCGCAGAAAACACGGAGTAATAATCATGTAGCCAATCAGCGATAAGCATTTTCAGATTGACCAATCAGAGCGAATCGTAATCGGGTTGGTCAATTAAAGTAGGTCCGAAAATTCGTTACCACTTCAATAATCTTGGGGAAAGAGATGCAATTTCCATGTCGACGTACGTGGAGCTCCAATTCATGCGCAACTTCTACCGAATCGTCCATGGGGAACGCCACCAATTCTGCACAACGATGTTGCGTGGCCATGGATTGAATGTACAGCACTAGTCTACAGATAATACATAAATCAGCTCTAAAACACGAAAAGTACAGGGCAACGAAAGCCCTAGAACACAACCGCATATCTATCGGCACGATGCACCACGTACAAGTCGGAGCTGACGGTAAATGCATGTTGCCGCAGGCTGTCAAGGAAGATGACAAGGAACATGCTCAGGCGAGGCGGAGGTAGGACCTACAACCATGTCACACATATGCCAAGAGTTGTGTTGTCTCACGAAAACCAAAGCCACAGCATTGGCACTAAGGCACCACATTCAACAATATATATATATATAAAACATGCAAACGCACAAGTCTCGACAGACCAGCAACGAGACGACCGTATACTGTATTTGTCGGTAAAGCTGCGTCATGCAAATCTTAAACGTGCATATATCCATAGAATCCCAAATCAATTAATATACAATTGTAGATTCAGTGCACAATGAATATTTCCGGCCCCGTTCATTCATCGAATCTATCGAACCACGCACCAATCTCTCCCATTGGTCAATCAAACATGACTTGTCGCTGATTGGCTACAATATCACTCTGGATTTCTACCACTAAACAATGACCACGGATTATTATCCCACTCATGTTCGTACATGTTGAAGGGGTTGCCAAAAATACACAAACCAGTCGTGTTGGGAAACGTGCATCAACAGATGTGCCGACGTCGTGGCTGATGCCATTGCCTTGGAGATTGGCAATATATTTGATTGCATTTTCATCGCGTCCGTTGCTTCGTGGTGATGCAGCATGTGCACACATGCGCGAAAGTCTGCTTCGGGCCATCGCCCTTCATGGAGCCGCGTGCGGAACGACGCAAACAGCGCTTCCTTCACATCCTTATCGTCGCCGCCAACATCACCATGGGCCGTCCCCCCTCGGCGGCGCAAGAGGAAGCGGGCCACCGACAGCATCGGGCGCGCACTCGCTGTCGCACACGCGGCGATCGCATGCAAGTTCAAGCGAATGGCGTGAAAAAGCACTCTTGTCATGTCATCATCGTTTGTTGGTCGGGAAGCAAGGGCAAAATGGGGCGACATGAACGCCGTCTCCACCTTGTCGCAGGTGGTAGTGTTATTTGTTGGCATGGGCATGTGCAACGGCAACGGATGTAAAAACGGATCGGCATCTGCGAGTGCCACGTCATAGAAACTCGACACGCCATACGTGGCACTGTGTACAACGAGCAGATTGTCCACAACTGACAAGGCGACAGGGTCGGGAAATCCTACTCGCAGCGCCCTCACGCACACTGTGTCGACCGATGGATGGACGCGGTAGAGCAGCAATTGCTGGTTCGATGTGGACGAGTAGACCAAGTAGAGCGTCGAGTAGAGATATGCAAGTCCGACTTGGGCTGTAGTTAACAAGGGCGCACTCACGACAACCTTGGAGATCTTGGCGAGGTTGCCGCCATCGACAAAGAACGGGCGGAGCTCCGTGGCCTTGGAACCTGTGGCTAGCACGACGACGTGTTGCTGGGGGTGCCACCAGAACAAGTGGGTGGAGTACGCAAGCACGCGATGGAACTTGCACTACGATTATGGTCGACGACGGGAAGATGGATGTTTAAGGAGCACAGTATGATATGCAGAAGGTGAGGTGTTGTGTGGTCGAGAAGACAGACTGCGTACCTTGGACGAGGTAAGTTTGAATACCTCCAAGCCACCAGTGGTCACCAAGGTCAGGTATTGAGACGGTACTTTTGTACTGCCGGCACTGGCGTCGATGTCCTGTTGTGGTGGCATGTCATTCATGCCCAGGAGAGTAAGTACGGTCGGTAGGCATGCTCACCTTGGCGTTCCAGTAGAGGCCAAGAAGACGCGAAGTCCGCTTGCACATGACGCTGTACCGGAGTGAAATGCTTGCATCATCGTCGGAAGTAGCGGTGGCCCACACGTCAACCTCGATGTCGTTGCGTTGCACGGCAAAGAACTGGCAATCAATCGATAGCTTGACGTCAACGAAGGATGCGCCGTGGGAGAACGATCCATGCGACGAGTGGGTGGTTGCAGCAATCGGTGAAGCGCTACCATGTGACGCACCAGGCAGCATGTCCACACAGAGTCCGAGCTTGTCCGTGGACGATCCTTCCGCGTCGAGGATGGGCCGAAGGGAGATGACACAGTCGTGCGCCTCATCGTGCCACCACGAAGCAGTACCCATGTTGCGCTCTCGAACGGCAGCCGAGCTCAAATACACATGCGCACCGCCGGACTCGTCCATACTAGCTGGCATTCCTCCCATATCAAAGGATCCCAGCGCGAACTGTTCGGATGACTATTTATCCGGTTCATCGCGAAAATGTGCTTCTTTTCTCAAAAATGCGATTCTCGTTTATCCGGATAATATTTGAACCAATCACAGAATCAACCGGGAATTGCATGAGTTTGCCGTTCGCGGACTTCTGCGATCCTCGTAATTGTGGCCAGCATTGGCGGTTTGGGCGTGGGAATGAAGCGCGTGCGTCGGAAGAACGAAGATGAGGGCAAGGAAGAAGAGTCCAAGGAAGAGAGACCTGCGCAACGACCCCGACAGGATGAAGGAGGCACCGGAGGTGTAGCGCGCGGTCGTGGCGCCGTGACGGCGGACCGCGCGTCGTACTTTGCTCGAGGCGACACAGCGGGTGTCGAAGCCGAGGACATTACACCAGCTGTGGCACCGGCCAAGGAGGAATGGCCAGGAATGTTTCACACCGGGGCCGTGTTGCAGAAGGGCCGATCGGCGGCGCAAGCCAAGCGGCAAGAGGAACTCGACAACAAAGACGCCGACGCGGACGACGCGGTCACGCCGTGGGAGCCGCGGTATCCGTTGCGCGCCCTGATCAAGACCCAAGACATCCCGTCCTTGCGCGACCTCGTGTGCGACACGATCGCCAAGCACATCCACCACTTTCACGACTTGGGCCACGAATACCTCGGCGAACGTTCGTTGGTCGAGGCCCGTGGTCGGATCGCCACGTTGGTGGCACAACGCCGCCGTCTCGACAGTGCAGGTACGTCTCCTAGTAATACTAGCGCTCACCACGTACTAGTCCTGCCGTTCTTTGTCTACCCCGGCGTGATGGAAATCGACATCCCCGACTGCTCCATGCTCGATGAAAACTCATTAGTTCAAGCATTGCTGACCGCACAAACGGTGGAGAAAGAGCTCCACATGTCGACCAAGTTTGCCTCGCTCAAGCTAGGCATGAGCGGGCGGTGCATTTCAGACAGAGTGCTGGAAAACCTATCGTACGTTGTTGCCACCTCCAAAGACTGTATCTGTCGTTAGGTTTGAGGCTTGAAACATGGAGTGATGGTGATGTTCTCGTCTTGGTTGGTTGGGGTATATATATATATATATATATTGTGGATTCGGCCAATTTTCCACATCGATATTGTGCCGCCGAATCGAATCACGAATCGATGCTATTGGCTAATCCAATTTTGAGTGGATCTGATTGGCTCTTACATATACATATTCAGCCAATCAGAAATTCCAGCGTGAGTCAACATGGACTAGAAAACCACGTGATCTTTTTGCAAATTCACATTATTATTGGCATTTGAGTATCGATAGAAGGTACTAGGAGTATATTTTAAGACTACCGTGTTGGTCGTCGTGCCATTTTTTGCACCCTGTAATTGTATTTAACATTGTATGTACAAATAAATATTCCCCAATTGTATCCTACTGTATTTTTGAGCTTGTATTGATTGATACAACGATATACTAACTAGTACACGTTTGATATGATTGCCTGGGGTACATCGCTCAACGTCAAGTATATATATATATATATCCATATGTTTGCAACGAATAAAGTGAGCACATGGCACTTGTGGTTGATCCAGATCGACGATATACATATGATCATATGCCGTTACGTAGCACGGCGCTATCGACAGTCGAAGACCTCCGTCTCGACGGATGCTACCGACTGTCGGACCGGGGTATCCAGTACTTGCAAGCCAAATGCTCTCCGACTCTGGAAACGTTTGAGCTGAGCAGCAACCAGCGCATCACCGCGACGTCCATCTCATACATCCAAGGGTGGACACACCTGCATACGCTGAGTCTGGCCGAGTGTCCGCAGTTGGTTGACCAAGACTTTGTGCCGCTCAGGCAGCTTGTGACCACGTCGTTGCGCAAGCTATCGCTTGTGCAGCTGGACAAGGCCACGGATCGGCTGCTGGAGCTCTTGTTTGCCGACGCCACCGATACCCTCGTGGAGGAATTGAGTGTCGCGCGGTGTTCCCGACTTACGGACGTGGGCGTGCAAGTTGCTCTGCAAGCTTGTCCTCGTCTCATTAGCCTCGATGTTGCCGACGTTCTCTTGCTCACCGACGACACCTTGGCCACGGTATGTATGTACTGTATGCACTGAATATAGTGTGGATAATTTCTGGCAATGTTTTTGATGCAAACGTATGGGAACCATTTTGTGTGTGTGTGATGTCCTGACGACTACGAGTACACAGTACACCATCATCATGAATCCCTTTGCATAGTTGGGACGACTTTTGATATATATATCAAAAGTCGTCTGTATATATTTGATATATATATGTATGTACATCAAAAGTCGTCCCAACGAAAGCACAATACATATATATATATATATATGTATGTATTGTGCTTATATATATATATATATACTAGTATATATGAATTGTGCTTATATATATAAATATATATTGTGCTTTCGTTGGGACATAAACCAAAAGTATGGCTGAAGCACAATACATATATATATATATATATATATATATATTGTGCTTATACATATATTGTGCTTATACATATATATATATATATATTGTGCTTTCAGCCATACTTTTGGTTTTTGTGACCTGATTCACGCAATCCATAGATCGATGTCATATAGTGACTGTAAATGGTGTATATAAGAACGTCTAGTGTCGCACTGATTTTAAAGTAAGTTACATTTATTTAGTAATTGATGTTTTGGATGGTTGAAGAGAGGATTTGATTGGCCAGTTTGATTGGGCTTCTCGGTTTTGATTGGTCGATCGATTTAATTCTCCTTCGATCACTCCAAAATTCGAACCGAATGGACAATATATTTATATATTTACGAAGTTGAGCTTGACGATAATATTAAACACTTTATATTGTAGGTCCGCGCATCCAACTTAACGCTGCAACGCGTGAACTTGAGACGATGCACCAACATCACGGACAAGGGAATCGAAGACCTCGTCGTGAGTTGTGCTGGTCATTTAGAGCGACTCGAAATCTCCAGTATTCCTGTACGTATATATATATACATATATATATCCTTACCAACCTCATCTTATCATTGCACTGTATCACATGCGCATGGTTGTTCGCATCCTCTCAATCATTCTTGTGAAGAGAATGTGAGATATTGTCATGAAGCACACCACTTGTATTTGTTTTTTCACGGTGGACATGCGACATTGTATAGTGAGAATTCCGTAAATAATTATATTATCATCATACTTATGCTAAATAACCGGGTACATTCGTAATTGTGTTGTATTTCCGTGTATTATCTTAGCCACCTATATTCTACCAATCGTATTCATTCTTAGCGACCTATATACAACCAATCACAGCCATTGAACCTGCCGTGTGTTTACACCATTTCCCATCGAATATTTATTGATTCGATATGTGATATACTACACCATTTTCCGTTTAAGTTCAGGTTATTTCCGGTATATTTCGTCCGACGCACAACTGATTCACGCCTTGTGCGTTATGTTCGCCCAACATTCGATATATTTCGTCTAGACCCTACGTCGTTGCAGTATATTTCGAGTATTGTCCGGTATATGTCATTCCACAGCCGGTATATTTTACACGTTGTTTAATATATTTCAAATGATGTTCCATGTGACTTTCCATATATATTCATGGATTGGATATGTCATATACTACTGTAGCTGCTCACGGGCAAGTCGATGGTGCTGCTGGCGACCCATTGTGCCACGTCATTGAAACATTTGGACATTTCATTCTGTCGACATATCCGAGACAACGACGTCGGACATCTGACCGTGTCGTGCCCCAACTTGACGCGTCTGGGGCTGTACGGATGCACGCAGATCTCGAGTTTGTTTCTGCAAGGCCAGGCCCTAGACGACCTCGTGTGTTATGGCCACCCGTTGCTCACGGGGCTCAAGCTGCGGTCTTGAGTTACAGTCTTCTCACAGCCATCCATCCTGTAGTTTTTTTCACTCTTTTGACCATATATCGGAAGTATGGACATATATATATATCCCATCGTGTTGCAACCCCTCGCGCCCCCTACGGTACTCGACTCTGTAGTCCACACTACCTGTACACATGCAATTTATACGCAGACTATGGGGTAGTACCCAAACCTACTACGGTTTCCCTCAACCTAACGGTCGAATTGCTGTATTTTACGTACTTAGCAGCCACTTGTGCGCTAAAAATTCCGCGATTTTCATGTGAGGTTGGTTGGTTCACTTGCCAAGTACAGTGTGAAATTCAGAAAACCTCACATGAGAATCAAAGAATTTTAGATTTAAAGTTGCAGGTAAAATAATGCAGTCTTCAATCTAATTATCGTCGTTCCCCCTTCCGAAAGAGTTTAGAATGATCTAGCCAATCAAAGTGCGCTAACTGTGCATTTCAACCAATGAGCCCAACCGTTTGGCCCAGATGTATTCAATACATTGAATAAGCTTAAAACAGTGATAATGTACTGATTAGATGAATGTTATAGACAGTGGGAGATAGATATACGTATAATATATGACAACTTGGTTTCGTATGATTGGTGGAAGACAATCACTCGGAAAATTTCAACCAATCACCTGCAACTACTTTTGAATTTGAGAGGTAATTGGATAAAATCAAGTGGCTCGGAACTGTCTTCAGCCTATGGATATTTTCACTCTTTTAGTTCATTTTTCATCACCACCAATACGAATTTCGACATGATTTCAATTCCTACGAACTATATTAATTCTCCTCTTTAAGAGATACTATTATAATAGCAATTTGGAACCCAAAAATTGCCACGCAACCGTGCCCATACGTAGGGGCGGCGCACTACTGTATTTATTCCTGTGAATGCAAAGATAGACTTTCACTACCCTTGATATTCAAGTCCCCTACATGAACGACCACACAATAATACTCACTTGGTGGCGTGCAATGTTAAATATTACCGTGTACGTATATTAATCATATCGTCACGTAAACACAAAATTGAGCTGGTGAAACTCCAACTTGCGCATCTGCGCTCGGACTCCTGGCAACATGTCTAGAATCGCGGCAAATGTCGGCCGGTCCGCCGGGTTCTGGTGCCAGCATCGGTTCACGAGGGTCCGTAGACACGAGGGCGTCACATCTGGAAAAGCCGGACGGAGGCTCTGGCGGGCGACCGCGAACGCCGCCTGGATCGGCGTCATGCCCTTGAACGGCTGGTCCTTGCCGATCATTTCCCACAAAATGACCCCAAAACTGTACACGTCCGCCTTGGCCGAGTACGGCTCGTGGCCAATCACTTCGGGCGCCATCCACCGATATGTACCCGTCTCTGCGGTCAGATCCGACGATGTGCCCGCCTCCAGCACGCAACTCAAGCCAAAGTCGGAGATCTTGACCGTGCCAAACACATCCAGAAGTACGTTGGCCGATTTGAGGTCTCGGTGCATAATGTTGCACAAATGCAAGTAGTTCATGCCCTATATACAAAAACAATGAATATATGGTCGATTGATTATATTTTCATTTGAAATTGCATTTTCCATATGTCCACTACATATATACATACACACCAGGTTTACAGTCGACTCGGTCGCATGCATATCAAGTGGCATGAATATTATATATATTATTTTAGATACGTTATTTTAGATAAATGTATATATTCCTTTATATATATATATATATATATATATATATTTACCATGGCGATTTCACGGGCAACGCGAAAAAAGTCGATGGGAGTGCGACGGCGTCGAATGAGGTCTGTGAGGGCGCCATTTTCCATGTATTCAAACACTACATGGATAGAATATCGTTAGTGTATACATATATTAATAATAATGTATAATAAATATATATTATTCAAAGCAAGCAATCCATTAAAAAAAACCATCATGATATATATATATATATATCACGCAAGACTGTAAAGCAAAAAGCAAAACAAACTAAAACATACACGAGAGGATACATCGCCGTTCCAATGGTACGAGGCGTATAAGCTATAACCCCGAAACCCTATGTACACCCATCCACGACACACACTATTTAAAATACCATCCAAATACCAATCACTCTGCAGCCACATCCGTCCAAATTAGTCCATCGGTAAACAAGTAATAATCCCCCAAAGGGTAGCTAGCTAGCTAGCGCAACTCGAGTCATTCCTTACCAAGGCAGTACTTGGGTGGTTCAATCGACGCGCCTAGGAACAAGACAATGTTCGGGTGGCGCAACCGACTCACGACGGCCACTTCGCGGTGGAATTCCTGCAGAATCTCCTCGCTCACGCTATGGTTGTGGTGGGAAACGTTGATCACTTTCACAGCCACCCGCGTCCCCCGCCAAGAGCCAGCGTACGTCTGCCCAGACCGACCCGTGCCCACTGCTTCCCTACACACATCCCCCCATGGGGTCAAAGCAATCGTCCAAAGCAGCAGCTGCAAAATGTATCACAGTTCAGAAGATATAGCAGAAGCATGTATCCCTTGATATATATATATATATAGCGAGCGTTCTCTCGTCGTACACTACACTTGTGGAGGAAGAATCACCCCCCCGTCGTCCTTTAAAGATTCAGTCCAATCACTGCATATATATATATATATATATCGTCATGATGATGGTGTTCCTCTGGGGTATACATATATATAGGTAACAAGGCATCTACCGTATAACGATGTCGTTGCGATCGGCACCATGCAATGTAAAATATATAATTATATTCATATAATTCAATCGAATCTTCAATCAGTTATTACACGATATGATGTTTAAAAATACTTTTTTCCGATTGAAGTCCATAATGCAAAGATATGACATTTACGGTTGTGACATTTTCGTTCAAGCAACAACCATATATTATCAAAAGCAATTGAGTTATTATTATTCTCACTCTTGTCGACGACGAGCACTAGGGTCACACGAGAGATCGAAGTATTGTCCTTTTAGCCAAAATTTGGACTTTTGAACTGATTTTTGCCAAATCCATCGTCCATGTTTGTTTGGAATTTTATATGCAAAAAACGGTCAGCGGAAATGCCAGTCACACTAATTGAAGTCACACACTAATTAGCTGTTGATTGGTCGACCAGATGATTTCCTGGAATCGGATGGGCTAAATTCTTCTTTATATTTGGTAGTGTCGTCGGTAGATACACATTCGCTCCCGTTTGAATACACACACAACAATATATATATATATATCGGCCATGATGATGATATACCTCAACACGAGCTCGGAAAAGTCTAGTCGCCATTCGGGTTTGATGGTAGTTGTGTTGAGCGAGAGACGGAGGGCCGAGTGCGGGTCGAGGTCGGGGGAGGTCGGGGGGGGGGCTGGGGGGGGGGTTGGTTGGCGCGCCTTGTCGCTGTGCTCTGCCGCGAGGGTACTTCGCGCGAGGTTTTCGAGGATCCGTCGGCGCAGCTCGGCCAGCCGTTCGGGGGGGACAAACGATCCCTTGACCACGAACCGGTCGAGCGTAACGCCATCTTTAGTAGTCATCACGTCGGCGTCCTGGATGCTGCCCTTCAAGCTGGATAGTCCCCTCGTGATTGCATCGAGGAGCGAGTCGCGGTCTTGGGCCACGAGCACCACTTCGCAGCACGTGGCGTTGATGCTGCCGTCGTCGTGTTTTAATAGGTGCGCGTGCAGGTAAATGTCATCGGGGCGGCGCTTTTGATTGGCCAGTAAGCGCATGTGCATGGGCACGTCGTCTGGGTCCACGGACAAGGCATACCGCGCAGGAAGTTGCTTGAAGTGGGTCTATGTATGTGTATTTATATATATGTATCAACTTAAGATCAAGTTAGGTGGGACATTTCGCCAACAAGGTAAAGGACAAGTAGTAGTACTAGTAGCAGTAGGTGCAAGATACAAGGGGGGTAGTCGAAAGGGCAAAGTGAAGTTTTATGTTGGAGTAGGCCAAAGGGGGTTGGTATATATATATACCTGGACGGACGCCAAGACGGGAGCGTACAAGTGGTTGGTGGCTGGGTGGTGGGGGGGTGCAGCACTACTGGGACGGTTGCCACCGTCTGCACCGGGTGCAGCAGACGACGAGATGGCATCGCCAACCATTTGCTTGACCACTGCATGACACATGTCGTGCATCACAGAGTCTTTCAGTCCTCGCTGGACCCCGGACGCCGACAACTAGGATAGTGTGTGTATACGTGCACGACAATTCGATTAGCATCCACGCACGGACATATAAACCCAACCACCACCAACGACAAATCACCGACTTGTTGCTTTGGTGGCTACCTAGTTGGCTGGCTATGTATACATCTACGAACAGGAAAAGCGGCGTACCTTGGGAGGGTTTACAGTCGTCGCCCGCTCTAAATCCGACAGCCCTTGGTGGGACCGGGACTTTTTCATTTCAACGTACTGCGTCGACGACACTTGCTTGCCAACGGATCCGCTGAGCGCTTCAACCGTCGACGACTTGGGAAACTGGTCTTCTTCTTCTTGGAGGAACAACTTGGAGAGGACGCGGGCGCGGCGGTCAAGTTCGTCCTTGTGTGTCGTGGCGGAGAGGAGGGTGTTGTTGGGTGCAGAGGACGGTGGCGGCAGGGTAAGGGTCGTGGCGGCGGCAATAGCCGTGTGGCCGTGAATTTGATGATCGTTCGAAGGCGACAGCAGCTGTGCGTCCGCCGAGTACAACGGCGACGTGTGGATCGGAATCATAGACAGAGACGCAGCCGACGACGGAGCGCGGCGTGGGGTGATCGTGGAATTCTCGTCGTCCAGAGTCGTCTCAATGATAGACAACGACGCGCCGCGGTGTGAACCCGTGCGCCATTTCCTGTAGAGGAGTCGCTTATCTGAAAGCGCTCTGGTGCGTTGTCGGTCAGCCGTGGACGGGGTCGTGCTGGCGGTGGTCAGCGACTGCGAGTGATCGAGGGTGAAGCGTGCATCCGTCGACCACGACCGTTCTGTTGGGGGTTCATGGAGCGGAGACGGAGGTAAGAATGGTTCGGATCTCCTTAGCGGTAGTGTTTGGCTCGATGGATGCTGCTGTGCGATCATCATACACGGTGTGGAGGTCGTCGGTCGGGCTTGGTGGTCACGACGTCGTGTGCTGGCTACCACGTCCCCTGCTTTGCTTGGAAGTGCGGGGATACTGCAGGTATTTAATTGTCATACAATCTTCCAGGTATTAAAATAATACGATATAAAGACCGGTGATTGGTCCACTCAAAATAGACAGCACTGACACTACGAGTTGAAGTTTCAAAAAGGCAAGAAGCCCAGTATCCGGATGCGACTGTCACATGTCAACGAGGTTGTCAAGCAGGGTAGAAAGCAGCGTTCATGTTGGCCGCGATGAAGGGGGGATGGAGCTTCAGCTCACGACACAGTGAAATGTAAGAACGTGTACGGAAGTTCCCCCTCTAAGGGTGAACGTGATGGATAGGTGAGCCCATGCTGTATGTACAGTACAGTGTACCGGCACGGAATCTCAATCCAAGTTGAACATTCGTCACAGTTGAAATTAGCTGCAACAACAAAACCTCTGGGGGGGGGACAAACCGGTACTTTTTGTGCGAAGTATGTGCGGATGAATACCAAGGGGCCAAACGACATCGAAGTATTGTGAGGAAGTCAGTAGTTGTAGTTACCCAAAAAGTTAACCTTAAGGTAGTTCGTAACTGAAATATCTCCACGACTTTAGGCATCCAATCCAGCCCTTTATTCAGCATCACTTTGATTTTTCTAGAGCATGCGGGGATGTAATTCAGCGACAGTGCAGTAGTCGCGTTCGTCAATCCATAAACCAGGACTTAATTACTAAGTCGACTTCAGGGTCGGCAGAAACATATATCTCGTCCCGCGTTTGTCTACCGGTAGCGAAACGTGATGCTCACAGAGGGCGTGCGCCAGGAGAGCTTGTGCTGGATGGATGTTTCGCATTTAGACGGGGCTTCCTCGTCGATGGTGTCCAAGGCAGTTCCGCGCAATGATCGATGGTGCTCGTTGTGAATAAAGGGAAGATTCGGCACTCGCTCGCAGCCAAAGATGGTTGTGTGTTTCCTCATGCTGGCCCAGCCTACGACCTTATACGCGATCGTCAAAGAGGACGACGGCTGGTGCTTGGCAACGGTGCCGCAGCTCCGGGGCAACCTTTCGACGTCCCGAGCACACAACTTGGCACAGATAACTGGAAGCGTTGGTTCCACGAACGCTGAATTTGTTGTGGGTCAGTTTTGTAGCGGCTTAGCACTGAAATCGCGGCAGCATATGAAGGCGAATGGATGGAGGCTACGAATTGCCATCTAAAGTTGTTACATGGTTCTTGGTATCTCAGGCAGTTGATAATTGACATATTGTGTGTCAAATTTAGCTCCAACGAAAAGGAGTTCACGAATAAGCTTCGGTTGGCCATTTCCACGCGTTCGTGACTCCCCCTCGTGCTCGGGGTTACGAGTTTCATGTTGGCGATGGGGTGTGTGGGTCCTGTTTGAAAGCATGTATTCACCTCAATAAACGCGAATGGATTCGATTTCGAAACACTCGTTGGCTCGTCCTTGATTTATCCAGACAGTTACGAGAAAGCGAGGTCACACTCAACAAAGTCATAGAATGACATTTGAATTCGAAAGGCCACAACGGAGACACGCTTGGATACAATAAAATCGGCGGCACTTCCCCCGTCAGCAGCAGTTGTCCAATGGATCAAGAACCAACGTACGTCTCTATTGACGTGTGCAAATCTGACTCAAACATGGGCTTTCTGAAGCATTAACTGTAAAGAGGTGTGCAAGACTGTCTCAAATTTGGGCTTTTGGAAGCATAGAAAGTGGAGCTGTAAACTAACTTTGCCCCACGCTAAGGAACAACTGAAGATGTACTTTATCCCCCCAGTACATCATCCATCTCTCGTAACGAGTTGTTTTGCGTGTTGCCGAGACTATCGACCGCCCCCCAGATCGGCCACCAATAAATTGGCCAGCTCGAATTTCCCGAACACTTTTGTACTCTACATTAAACCTCCGCAGCAAGATAAGTTGGCTTGGACCGTACGGCGTACAGTGTAGTTCGATGGACTTTATTACTTTTTCAACTGTCGCGGCCATTGCAAGTCGTCACTGTCGGCATCTGACCACGAACACAACGATGGGGATTGCTCGTCAAGGGTCCCGATCATGATGTCCCTGTCCTCGTCAAGCAACCCTGCCAATTCGACTTCCAGCATCTCCCGCTCCGTGGCGGTCAACAGGACATGTGCTTGTTGGCCGTGTTCGAACGGCACAGGCTCGATGGTGCCCAGCAGTTTTTGCACGAGATTGACTTGCCTTTCAGATCGCCGCTCCTGTCGCCGTCGTGTCGCATAGATCTTTTGCACGGCGTTGGCCTTGTCCCGGTGAAATTCGCACAATCGATGGAGGTCACCGTCTTTCTTGGCCACTCGGGGGTTTGTGCACGGCTTGTACGCGTATTTGCACACCTCCGAGTCGTTCATTTGTTGATTCACTTTGAACAATGAAGGAATGGGGCTGCATTTTGCATCACAAGTGTACGCTCTCAAGTACACCATACTACTGCTGCATACGTGAGTTTCCTGAATTCTCGCCCCGCTAGGCTCGCCAACGCTTGTGTCGTAGGTCCAGCAGCGTCACACTTCAAGTCGACACTGTTGGTTTGCTCGGGTTTTTGTCGTACTTTTATGCAAATCCTTCCTAAAGTTCCCCAACATTGCAAGAATGTATGGACGTTTCGCTTGGAAGTCTGCTGGTCAGTCAAACTCGATGACGCAAGTATGGTCAGTGGACTTTACACGTTCCCCCGAATTGCCACCACCTCTGCGACACCCAAACAATGGAATACTCAACTGGGTAGTGATAATGAAGTTTGAGTCCGGCAGTGATGCAGGGAGACTCGAGGGCGTACAGCCACAGTCATCGAACCTATCGATGGCCATCGAAACGTAGACATGCCGTACCGCTTTGACTTGTGAAGTCCAAGGAACAGTCAGGTAAGTTGCATCGCAGTTGCCCAAATAATTAATTGTCCATGCCCAGGGTATCGGCCTTAAGATGCGAGGACACGCATGCTTCACTCTTCGTGTGCTGATGTTTGGTAGTTTGATCAAACGTATACAGTACTATTAATACTGGGACTAGTATAGCTTGTCCTAGTATATTGCCCTACTGGTACAGACTATGACGGGGGCCCTGGATAACGTCATGTTCTGACCACAACCCACCGCCCATGCACAGTTCAGCAACAATTGGAATGGATGGTTATGGTCATTATGTCTTTGTCCAAAGTGCTGATGTTGTCGTTACTGCTCTGGCTTTTTTTTGCATTACAGTATCGCTAATATGATGCGACAGGAGCCCAAACTGTGGGACGTACTCAGATGCAATTATAGGGCAGTAATGTGATTCCTTGCAAACAAGATCCGATGTACTACGTAGTACTAGTACAAGGTACAGTATGTATGTAGTATGAAGGACGAGTCTTTGCTTTGTCTACGTTTCTGGATGCTACAGCACTGATTTGTCCCCCCCCCCCGACTTGCGTGGTGATGGAGTACAGATTCGATGCCATTGTCACCGATTGGGGGGTGATTTTTCTACTTTATACAGTGCTGGACCGGACCTGCCATCATCACGACAACTCTTGTGCCTCTATTCTTGAATCAGTCTATATGATATGCGCTTTCTATAACTATCCGACGGCCACAAGCCAACGCGCTTTGGTACATGCTATATAAAACTCAAACGTACGTGGTGGGTCCAACGCTGCGTGAGCCATTCAATCTTAACGTGGCTCAAATATATAATAGTAGTATGTCTACGAAGCTACCGCCTTGCCTGCCGCGGGCACGCTCCGTTGTTTTCGTCTGATGATAAGGATGACGAGGACATCTCGCCATCGTCTTCGATCATGGTGTTGACTTGGTTGTCGTCCCAGTCGAATAAACCTGCCAATTCCGCGTCTAGAACGTCCTGATCATAGTCGTCGGTGGTTCTTCGCTTCGGGGTTTGCACACTGTGGGGATCAAACGGCACAGGCTCGATGTTGCCCAGCAGCTTTTGCATGAGGACGCGTCGCCGCTCGGCTCGACGCTCCCGTCTCCGTCGTGTGGCGTAAATCTTTTGGATGGCATTGGCCTTGTCACGGTGGAACTCGCAAAGGCGATGTAGGTCCCCGTCTTTCTTGACTACACGAAGGTTTGTGCACGGCTTGTACGCATATTTGCACAGGTGGGGTTGTTCACTCATCATGTCTGATGGAAATTGCAAAATGCACAAACCCTCACAAGCGAAAACCAACACTTCAAACCGTACATTTGTATGTTGTACGTACACGAAAAATGTTGAAAGGCTTGTTTATTTGTCCGAGAATCGTACGTACAGTACATTGTGTAAATGTACTGTTCGAGTTCTGAACCGTTCGGCAATCTCGCCATTGTAGACCCATAAATTGAAGTAGAAGGGACCATACACTGTATGCTCTGTCGACTGCAAGCAGACTGGAAGGAGCAAGCAAGACGGGAGCAATAAAATAGTGGTCGTGAGATATTGAGCGCGTTAGGCGAGCAGTTATGGCAATAGACACTTGAAAGGTGTGAGTGGAATCAGGCGGAAAAGGCACCACCTCTTGCATACCACTGTCAAGGGTGATCGGAGAAACCAATGGACTGTGTGACCGTTGCTGAACGCCAGTGAGTCCAGCGCAGCCACGTCAGGGACACTTGATGTCTATACGTATACTTTATTCAAGATAATAGCAACAGCAAGTTTTACACTGTATATATTTACCCCGATAAGTTCCCTTTAGTTGCAATGGTAATACTGTATCTCAAAGATATACATGCCAAATGTCCCAAGTTCGAAAGAGACAAGCCGAACACGACTTTCAGTTAGCATTATTCACAACGTGAACAAAGGTACTAGTACTCCGCAGTACTAGCTGTTGATAGTAGTACTAAACCGATGTAGTACTGCTAATACACGGTAGGGCACTGCGGGACAATGGCCCCAGTCGACGAAAGATCTTATGCGCTACTTCTTCAGACAGCGAGGTACATAGCTTACCGGTAGTTTACAGTTCTCGTACAGAATTCAGCCGACCGAGGAATCCCAAGCATGGAATGCCATAACGTTACTGTACCGAATTGGTGGCAAAGAGAGAATAGATTACTGAATCCTAACGTTCACGTTACACGTTCGCAAGACTGAATGACAGCGTTACCGAATCGCAAATCGTTTTTACGAATGAACTACATACCAGTACGTACATACTACCTAGTAATACACAAGTACTACATGTACACCATTACCCGATCCAGTTAGACTTTTTCCTAGCAAGGCGGTACAGACCGAGGTGAGTCGATTATATATTAGAAACTACCGGTGTACTGTACCTAAAATAGCATAACATGTAGGAATGACTGATCAATCGACAAACTTGACACCATTTGTTGGCGGTATAGTTTGATGACTGCGTCGCATAACAGTCGCAAACGTATTTACGTCAGCAACATATACTGTAAATCGGCCAAGCGAAAACACAATACTCGACTAATCCTGACACCTCACACGTCGTACATGACCTGGAAAGTATCACACACCAAGGGGCTGAAGGAGCAAAGCTCGCTGTTTGTTGAGGGGTTCACTCGACCTCGCGATGGAACCTGTCAATGCGATTTGGCATTCCTGTCGACTATCGCAACAACTCACCACGATGACGCGACGAATGGCAAAACAGTGGTATTTACGGTGGTCGACCAACTTGAGTGCCACTGTTTTGCATGCGTACATGTATTATGGAACTGGGGAGGGGTACAACTGCCACCAACCACCGAACTCCATGGGGACAAGATCTCCCCAACGCTCGAAGCCAAAGGTCGAGATCTTCCGAGCATTTCAGTCACGCTTGTGATACTGTACCTCCCTGGCCTCTGCTCGGGGCCAGAAACAACCGTGGGGTCGTAAATGCGGACTATAATTCTGCGACACAGTCTAAAACGTTGTGCACATGGACAATTTCGCCAGTGTACTGTAGTGGTTTCGTTGTTATGCAAAGGATATATGCCTGTATGTATGTGGCCGTACATACAGCTGATAGAAGGCAAGGTAGGGGATCACTCCGATGAAGGATTGTGGGGGCACCATTGTACACATATCAGTCAATCAAAATTCCAAGTGCATATTGCGCACAGACTCTTGGATTGACTTCGTAGTATGATGGTGCTCTTTGTTCCAAAACAAGCCGCCGCAATACGACCCCCATGATGCGAATAATGATATATGTACCGTGGTGTTGAGCTTTCGATTTGGATTGACAGTTTACATATGTATTGTTTTGATTGGGTCTGTAGCCTCCGTAACAAACAGCCTTGCTTCGTTGTCCTCGACGTCTTCTTCCTCTGCAGACGACGACGAGCTATGGTCTTCTCCGCCGTCAAGGTCGTCACCATCGTCACCGACCTTGTCTTGTTCTTCGTCGTCGAGCAATCCTGCCAGCTCGGCTTCCAGCAAGTCACGTTGGTCGGTGTTGGCCTTCTGTTGGCCTACTTGTTGTCCCTGCGCGGCTTCGAATGGGACGGGCTCAATCGTGCCTAGGAGTTTCTGCATGAGGACCTGCCGCCGCTCAGATCGGCGCTCCCGTCGCCGCCGTGTGGCGTATATCTTCTGGACCGCATTGGCCTTGTTGCGGTGGAACTCGCACAGCCGATGAAGGTCGCCATCTTTCTTGGCCACACGAAGGTTTTTGCATGGCTTGTACGCATACTTGCACGCGTGGGGGTCACTCATCGTACGTTGGATTGTTGTTTGGTTTGGCGGAGCCGATTGATTGCAAAGTGTCCGACATGGTGGTTGGTTGTTTGTTTGGTTGAAAGTGCATATCAACCCTCCTCGTCATACATTCAATGTCAAACAATAGTACTACGTACTTTAGTATGTAGTAGTACGTTCTTCAATGCCTTGGAATGCTGAAAACTTATTCATGCAAGTGTGTACATATCATCGTACATATAGCGGCGCCGTGCCACGCCGAACCGTGTTTGGAGCAATATCTCGCCTCGCCCAACTCGATAACGTACTCCTGAGGCCTTGATATTCAAAGCGATTCCTCCGCCCTCCCCTTTGAGTTACTGTGGTAGCAAATATACAGCGGACATCGACCTTTCGCCAGTAACGTTAAGGTACCTTCGGTACCTCCAATTGCGTCATAGGTATGACGTTTGAGACCTGTGAAAAACTGATGCATTTCTACGTCCTATAGAATTACAGACCAGAACAACGCCTCGAATGAATACGTTTTGAAATCGAAAACCTAATCATAAATGCGAGTAAATAAGGCCAGCTTGATTGGTCTTGTGTGCAGTTAGCGGAGTTAAGTTGAGCAATCCCTTGCATACACTACGGTATTTTCTTTGATACTCCGGAGTACCTACTTGAAGTATACTAATACGGAGTACTATTAATAGTACAGTATTACGACCTTTTGCGTGCTGAATGGACGCAGTACATGTACAATTAACAGTTACTGTACTGTTACTTATAGTAACAGTTAGCTGCAAAGCCTCTACTATGAATATTAACACAGTAACTCGTACCGGTACTCCGGAGTATGTCGTAATAAGTCTACACGCAGATAACTCAAGGACTGGTGATCAGTACCGGTACTGTACAAGTACTGTAGTACGACTTGCTTAATTGATCGATCTAATTATCACCATGAGTCACAACAGTACATTGGCCGGTTTGGAGGGAGCTGCCTCACAGTGAATGTACTAGTACTACTGTTAGTACTACTACTAGTCCAGTGTAGTACTTTCTACATAGTATAATAATAGTATAATAGTAGTACGTAGCTTCACACGTTACTATTACTACGTAGGAATATAAAGTACTACGGTACATTTTTCAAATATGGACTGAAACGGAAGTTTTGATTGGCAGAATGTGAAATTCTAGCGAATCAAAAAGTGATGCTCCCGACACATATCGGTTTAACGGATTAACCCGCTAGGTTATCCGGTTCAGTTGCAAAGAAAAGTGTATGTACAGTAGTGTGCAAACACTTGCATTGGAAAGCACAAAAGGGGTTGATTAACTGTAAGGTTCACCGTACACCATACTGTAAGTGCATCCTAGTGGTTAGCAATAGCTAACAACTGCACTGAACCCAGGAAGTACCATTATGGAGTAGCGCGAATATTAGTACTAGTACTACCCGGTAAGTTGTGTTCGGTCTTATCAGGGCAAAGAACTGGGTTGGCCGGACAGGGTATTTTTGGGTATCACCTACCCTCGTGGAAGTTTGGACACGGCATTGTGTTGATGGACCACCTCTTACAGATTACTATAACATATGGGCCGTAATGCATGGTCAGAACTCTTTACGTGATGTATCGTTCGTTCGTTTCTGATTCGGACACCTACGTCGCATATATGGCTCGTCCAATTTACGATACCTTTGCAATGTGCCTCGTACTCACAGGTAATATGTAACTTTCTGTATGGTACAATGCCCTTTCCGTATGCGAAGTCCGCAAGCTGTAGGCGCAAAAGATTCCTTAGCTTGCTGATAAACGCGAATAAACGTCAATCAATATACATGCATACTAAGAATGCCCTTTCCGCAATAGTTTTCCTTCGCGCGTCCATGAGACCGGTACTCGATGAATGAAAGTTGCTGATGGTATGATCAGCAAGCGAAAAGCAGCACACTCAACTCGCTGATAAATACGACGTGCTACAACTGTTACTCCATAATGGGGTCGCTACAGCACGCCATTCAAGTAGGCCACTTCGTCGTCAGAGAAAGCTTCGACGTCCGACTGGCTGTCAATGAGCTCCATGTCGCAGTTGTCGCCGAAGAACAAGTAGTCCCAATCAGCATAAACGAACGTACGTCGTTGCGTTCGCAGCTTGTCGTCCTTGTCCACGCTGGCAGTGATCGCCAAACCGCCGGGATAAGCAATTGGAATTGGCTGGATCGTCCCCAGCTTGGAGCTGACCACGTGGCGCTTCTGCGCTCGCAGTTCCCTGCGTCGTTTGGTCGCGTAGGTCTTTTGTAAAGCATTTGCTTTGTTGCGGTGGGCTTCACACAGGCGATGGAGGCCCCCATCTCGCTTCTGGGTGCGGTCGTTGTAGCATTCCTTGTACGCGTATTTGCATTGCATATCGCTAAGGGGCATGGTCGAGGATTTTCAACGGGGGAAGCAAATTACACAATGATTTCATACTCTAGTGCGTCTAAAATCGTACTTCATGGCCATGACATGGAAACGAAACCAAGCGGTGGCATTTATTCAGTTGTATTATTTGATGTCAGAATCTCCCTCTTCGAGGTTCAGCCCTGACTACAAAACGTGACAAGTACGTACACATGGCTGTACGTTGTTTCATACATAACCGAAGTCAAACTTACAGCAAACGTACATTGATACATGTACAGTACATTTGCTGAATTTCAACCAGAGAACTGGCAGCGTGATGGGTGCGACGTACAGCAGCTTGGCGGTACAGTAGCTTGGCGGTGCCCCGACTACACTACTGTAACACCATGCTTATCGATACGGATGGTTGAATTTACGTTGGGCTGGTGCCGGTTGAGCTGGCAAGAGTGGGAAGTGGATTCATTTTTATACTCACGGGGATGTCACAAGTTCGTCTGAATCACGAGGACAGTATTGTGAAGATAACATTATTTCGCACTTGCTCAAAGTCTCAAAAAAAAGAGACTAATACTTTGAAGTACATACTTTTAGCAAGTGCGAAATGTGAGTACTGTAGTTTACATATTAATACTTTGTACTTCGATTTTAGCGATGTCTGAAGTTGGAAGTTTAAAGAATTCAGATTTAGCAAGTCTGAAAAGTAAATCCCGACTCACGAATCCAACACCATCCATTATTATTCCCTCTCACGTTCTTAGCCGGTGCGAACCAGTATGGCTTCATTGCGCGCAATTCAACGAGAGACTCATGAGGGCGCGTAGAATGTGGATTTGTATATCATGCGACATTATGAAACGACAGTCATCGAACGCTATGGACTATAGGGACTCAGTAGTCCTAATGCCCGCTGCTTTCGAAGTTTGAGGATCTTGAGTCAACATTCTCCCTCTGGCCGTCAAGTATCGTGGCGGCCAAACAGAGGTTTACGTACAGTCAGGACCGAGCTCGCCGCCCGTCGTCCATGCCTTGGCATAGGGCAATCATCGGAGGCTTGGTGCGCGGCGGCGGGGAGTACACTGTGATGTACTGCCCTGAGCTACAACTTCAGACAAGCGTCCTGCATCATTGCATATACCCGCGCCTGTGCACTATTCTAGCACTAGATAGTCTTAACCTGCTCGGACGGGGATGATGTGTAAGTCAAGTATACTTAAGGATACACTTGGGTAGAGTATGAAAAATGCTGTGTGATAGATTTTATCACACAGAACTTCAACTTCCTTAGCTTCTTGTCCCATCTTTGCAACCAGTTGCAAAATATTTCGCTTGAAAAAAGCTGTGTGATAAAATTTAGCACAGAGGGTAGCCAATCGTGCCCTCGTATTTGCCTAAAAGTGCCGGATAATTTTGTAAATTGTATAAAATTGGAGTGGTACATTCTTCCCATACCTGTACAGTGCAGAAGAAATGACCAATAAGATTCATTCATGAGGGTGTTACAACCTGACCATGTTCCTTGTTTCAGTACTCAATTCTCTCTAAAACAAGTACACAGCCACCACTCACGCATCGAAGCGCTATTGGTCGACGTTTGAAATTTTAAACAAATAACCTATCACAAGGCTTCACTTCACACATGTCATGCAACCCCTTATGTCATTTGCAAATTTGCGCTGTAGTACAGACTGGGGACCTTTTGATCCTGAGTTGATTGCACCACAGGACAACAACGGCAGATACCACAATCTGCAGCCGCCACCTTGCTCCACCAGTGGAACCTCAAGAAAAGGTCAGACAGCGTCAACACTGCCGCGAAACGTCGACACCTTCCAGCCCAGTAACGCGTGCCGCCAACCCACCAACGACTGTTGCCACTGTCCAACAAACTTGCCGCGATCAGCCGACCAACGACTGCCGCCATCGTCCAAGGAACCTCTGTCGCAACTGCTTTGTAAGAGGCATGAAGGAATGTGTGCACTGTAACGACAACTTTGGACAAGCGAACCATTGTGGGTTTTGCGACAACTACATCCATCACCTCTGTGCAATCGAACTGGCCATGCAGCAAGGATGGGAAGAAGCACCTCAATGCCGCGAGGTAAACATTTCATGTTCATTTCATTGATTTATATTTTAGTGTGTTAGATATGCAGTGTTGAATGCCACGAACGTGCAACAGGTATGTTGTCGCAGCTTTCCGATCGGTCATTGCCGTCATTGGGCTCGTTACTTTTTGTGACTCCACAATCAACTCCATCAACATCATTTCCTTCGCTTGGTTCGATGATGTGTCCAAGCCCGCTATCATTCGAAGACGCAGCTACAGTGGACACTCCAGTGAAGTCCGCCTCTGTTGGAGTCTGTTCCCTCAGTCGAAACATGCTGCGTATACCGCCTGACCTTTGTGCACTGTGTGGTTTGACAACGCGTGACGAAGAAGAGCTGCCGGTGTCATGTCGGGCTATACGAAATCGATGCCACGAGTACGTTCATCCATCGTGCTCGATGGCGCTAGCGTCCAAGGAAGGAAAAACATTGAAGGACGAATATGTAAGTGCGTACCAACGTCAATTCACCTCGCACATTATTATTGTAGGTTTGCAGTCGAGCTTGTCTCGACTATTGCGTGCAACGAGCGTTGGATGTGGAAGCCAGAAAGAAGAAGCCCCAAGAGGAGTGCGATGCGGCAGAGAAGCCGGCAGCGTTGGTTTCAGTCCGCAATCCAATATCAACGAAAAAACCAGCGTTCGCGAAGGCGGCAAGCACCAAGGCAACAAGTAACAAAGCGACAAGTACCAAGGCCAGTACCAAGGCCAGTCGTCCTAAGTCGTCCATGAAGGTCATGACACTCCAAGAGTCTCGCCAGAGAGTTGCAGCCCTCCCCGCTACCCCTGCGACACCATCAACGTTCAAAGCAGCGACGGAGATGCGCTATGTTGCGTTTCGTCCTCTCGAAGAACCAGAAATTGTTGGCAGCGATGCAAAGCTCGCAAAATTCTATGCTCCATGCTCGGGGTTTTGGTTGCGTGCTGTAGTTCGATCAACGGAGCTGAAGAAGGTGACTATCGCGGTGGCTGCTCCTGCCCAAGCAAGTGGAAGGAAGCAGAAAGCAGTGAAGTCGGTTACAGACTTGGTCCCTATCAGCACAATCAACTGGGTCGATACGCGATTTGCTCGACACGAACCAAGGATTAGCATGACAACCATGATCAGAGGTACGAACGTGTTCAAAACACTGTTCACGTATTGTTACATGTAGGAATCGAAAACTTCGCTCGCGTCAAGGCTGCACAGGCACTGAGCAAATCAAGAACCTACTTGTCCATCTCGGCGTACCAACACGAAGACCACGACATGACGTTCTCGGATATGGTGGCATTGAACGAAGACGCCAACATCGACGAAGAAGCGAAGGGTGACGGCTGCGAGGACGTGTCGGCGAATGATGCTATTGACAGCAGCTCAGACGATGACATGGAGGAATACGTGGACCGCGCGTGGAAGAAGGCCGAAGTACTTGACGTGCGGGACGTTGAAGGCCTGGAAAATGTTCGATGGGAACAGGGCCTTCAAGTTCAAGGGCCAACAGATCTCTTTGTGCACGCAAACCATGCCGCGTCGCACGACCAAACTATCATATTACCCCAACACGAAGACTTGTTCGTGGACCCAGTGAAGGGTACACCTCAACACATGTGATGCACTCATGACATTTTAGGCTTCGTTGCCGTAATGCCATTGGACTTTTGGCGCAGTGTTGGCCAAGACAAACGCGAACGCTCACAAGCAAAGGGAAGCGAGCACGCGCGCACTTGTGGCGGGGAGACCTTTCGTAGCTGACTTCCGTCTCGAGGAATTGATGAAGTTCTTGGGTATCTTGGTTCTCATGGGGGTAGTTCGTGCTGGTGAATACCGATTGTATTGGCAAAGCCCCAACACAACTTCCTTCATGATGCCAGGTAAGTTGAGCACTCTATTCGTGTATTTCATGGTACTACATGCTCATAGATGGCAAGTCTGTTCGAAGTGTCATGTCTATCGATCGATTCAAGGCCTTGCGGGCTTGTGTGACGTTCAACGATGTCGAGGTCAAGGAGGATCCTTTGTGGCGCTTGCGACCCCTGATCAACTTGCTCAAAGCAAGTTTCAAGTTGTTCGTGACTGCTGGGCGTGAGATCTCCGTCGACGAAGCCTCGATTCCGTGTCGGTCCTCGCACGCCAGGGCCTTGATTGTGTACAACCCGATGAAACCCCTCGGCAAATACCACTTCCGAATGTATACGGCGGCTTGTGCGACGTCGTGGTACGTGCATGCCTTCAAGATTCATTCCAAGGCAACAGGAAACTTCGACGCCGACGATGGGGGCCAGGATAGCGATGGCAGCAATGACGGCAATGGCAGCGATGGTGGCTCGAATCGCCCGCGTGGATCGTTACGTCCAAGCACACTACGACAGCATGTGCTGGACATCACAAAACAGTGGAAAGGTACAACATGTCACCGATGATGTACACTGAAGTACGAATAGGTTCAAAACGCGTCATGAACATGGACAACTGGTACACTTCTGTCCAGTTGTGCATGACGTTGTCTTCCATCGGTCTGTATTGCCGAGGAACTGTTCGCGCAAATCGCGCGCACAATCCGCGCTTTGCACTATTTGGAAAGAACGAGGTACAACTGCATCCACGCGGCCACAGTCGAGTGTCACACGCCCCGGATCATGGTATTGTTGCTGTGTCGTGGATGGATGGCAACGTAGTCAACTTCTTGTCGACGGCTGATGGAAGCGAGGAAACATTCGTACTACGCAGAGTGGGGAAGTATGCACGCAGTTTACCAAAGTTTGAGTTACTAAATTACGACTATGTTCCGTAGTAAGCGGCGCAAGCAACCGTGTCTGCGCATTGTCCAAATGTACAACAAGTACATGCAAGGTGTTGATAGACACGACAACTTGCGGGAGCGCTTTTCGATTGCGAAGGGGTCGACGTTCAAGAAATGGTACCGAAAGCTTGCTTTGGCGTTGGTCGACATCGCGATCTCGAACGTGTACGTGCTGTGGTGTAAGTGCGACGAAAAGAATCGACGAGACGCGCACATGCACTTTCACCAGAAGTTGGCGATTCAGATGATGTTTGACACCGACTGGAACAGGTTTAAAATCGTTGAAACTCGTTGATAACACATTGCCAATGCGGTGACTTGTAGCCTCACCAACGACGTTCCTGTACCATTCTCCGATGCACCGATGCCCGAGGATGTTCAAGTTGACACTTCTTCCTTGCACCTAACACCATCATCGTTACCTCCAACACCTTGTACGCCAGAACAACCATCGACCCCCGTTCGGCTACGACTTCCCCACAGTGCAGCATGCGCACGAGGTGTCTTTAGTAAGTCTGTCTTTCCATCAGCGGTGGCGAAGCGGTTGTGCTGCATTTGCTTGTGGGAACGTAGTGCGAAGGTCGTCGTTACGCAAACTTGCCTTGTGCACCAAGTGAACTTGTGCACCCATGTGCACCCTCCTCAAGATGGCCCATGCCCTCAGTACAACTGCCCCCAAACTGCCTTGGACTGCTGGGACAAGTTCCATCAATTCTACCAACCCCAGGGCCTTTTCAAGCTTGGTGGCCGAATGAACAAGTCTTGCGAACTGTACAAGTTGAAGTCTGAGGACGTTGGCCCAAGAACCCAAGCGCGAGGATCCAAACGGGCAAGGACTTTGTTACTGTAGCACATCAACATCAATACACATGCCAAATGACTTTCACTAGTCTCGCGTTTGCCATCGATTGCTTTAGAGTATTTATTGGCTAGTATAGATTCCCCGCAATCCAAGTAACACAATAAAACGTATCAAGAAGGAAATTATCATTAGTAGCGAGTAAAACCATGCTCTTTCGCCATCCAAGTTCCTTGGGTGCGCGTCAGGTGGGCTGCTGCTTGTGCTGCCATGTCCAAGCACGCAAAATACATTTCTTGGTGTCCTCGATGGTCGCCAACAAACTCCACCAAACTGACTACACGCAACATGAGCCTTTCGAGTTCGTCCAGAAAACCTGACAACAAGTCAATGCAGCGGTCGTTCGCCAACACAGTCAGCGCGTCGAAGATTTCATTGAATTCCTTGTTGACATCAACACGCGACCGTGTCAACAGATTCCCCGCAGCTTCGCTGTCCTCATCGGAGCAGACGCTTCTAACACCGTCGCCAGGCGACACTGGGGAATACAACGGGGAATGAATGTAGCTGTCCACGGAGCCAAAGCCTGTCGCCGACTCTGTTCTTGCCTTCTTGACTGGCATATAACGGTCGAGATCACCATCGCGGTCTTCCCACCACGAGCGTTTCTTGCCGGGGCGCGCGCTGGCACTTCTACGAGCTACGATGTCCTTGTATTCGCTGCCGTCTGAGCTCGGTGATGGACTCATGACAAGTGTGTGGTACATGGCAAATTAGAAAATGAGCAGTAGATGCCATGCGGGTTGGAATGTTTGGTGTGCCAGTGCGTGCACTTGAAACTTCACATTCATGATTAGCACAAATGTTACTTTATGCCTTCATGTGTAAAAAAGATCGTCTTTCGTGAGGTGTTGAAACGGGGAAGCCAGGTGCGAGTTTAGCATCTATAACCACTTGGCCAAGTACCGACAATTCTTCAACAGTAGCAAAACCAACTATACAATTGTACAACACATCATTTTGAAGAAAGCCACGGTTCTTTATCCTTCTAGTAAGTCAGTACTGTCAGCACTGTTATATTTACCACGCACATGGACAAGACATTCATCTATCACGCCGTCGCACCAAGCGAATTGCAGCATCCCGTACGTCATACGAAGTACTAGTACTACGTAGCACTCGAGTGGAAGGACTTCCATGGAAGTTGTACAGCCACGTGGATTCTTTAATTCTTGATTCTAGTACCACAATTCACGACCAGTGCTGAACACAGATCAAATCCAAGTACGTATGTAACCAGTCTCCCCCTGCGAATACACGATTTTGATTGGTAACTATCCGGCTTCAACATACCACAAATGTTCTTAAAAAAATATTGCGATTACTGACTACATTGTTGTAATTGGCCAATACATGTGCATTACTGCCCATTTCAAGAGATTCTATTGGTCTGACCTGTGTGATAAAATTTATCACACAGAAATCCTTCCCGTCCTAGCAGGTTAACACCTATGCGTCGGCTGAAGCGAGTCGGAGGATGTGGCGATTTCGCAAGCAAACTACAGCAGTGCATTTTGATTGGCTCGGAAAGTTGTCACATGTCCACGGACTTCGAGGCCAAAAGTGTGATGACAAGCTTCGAAGTTCGAATTTCGAAGTTTCAGTCTGGAAAGTCAAGATTTCTCTATTGTGAAGATAATATTAAAATATTATTGTGAAGAAAATCGTCCAATGAATTCGTAGTTTTTATGCTACGTGCCAACTTCACAGACAACTCAAATACAGACAACTCAAATGGATATCGTAGGTCGAATAATATGACTGGCTCGGCTGGGGATGCAAGTACATGTACAGCCAAGCCAGATTCCATGAGCTGTCACAGACCTGAAAGCACAAAGACGGTTGACTGCATTGGTTGGTTTAAAAAGTTCTATGGGCAGCGATCGTCCACATCAGTAGGCAGTCATGCTGACAATGGCCGGTGTGAGTTGAAGCTGATGGTTGTGGCACGTATCGCAGATATCCGTATCTTCGTCGATGCACGCGAGTACCGAGCCCTTTGAACGCGCGATTCGATGGTGGGCGTTATGCACTGGAAAGTACGGGACCCGCTGCCCCCCCACAATGGCCGTTTGTTTGCGAAGGAGTCTTCGGTTCACAAATTTATACAGGACTGCGGCTTGCGAGGGGGGCTGGTCGTGGGGGGAAAGGTCGAGATTTCCTAAACTGGTTGTGTTTTGTCGACGCTTTTCACAGCAAGCCGGCAACGACGATGGCGCGGGGTGGCATTTTTGGCGGGAGAGCCCGAAGGGACTCCCCCAAGCTGACAGAATGCGTCGTTTGCCAGTACATCCATTTGATTTTGCCATCGAGGTGGAGGACACGAACGGTAGGACGTGCGAGATGGAGTTGTTTGGGGACATGGGGATATGTACTCTGTGGAGAGTTTGACAATGGGGATTGCGAAATACAAGTATGACCAACTCAACTTGGAGACACACTGAATTTTGATCTGAACTTACGATATGTCTCCTTTGACTACAAACCCGTCGCTGGTCGAGCAAATCCCCCTCGATTAGTTTACTACAAGAGTGCAACGCACTTTATGTGACAAACTCGGTCGATGAATTCCCTCCTGCTTAATGGTAGGACTGTTTCCATCACCAAGCTGTTCCCATGGCGGAACGATGACATGTTTCCACCCCGCATGCAGTATTCCATCGGGGGGGGGCAGCACCTCGATGGAATACATTCATTGGTTATTCCCCAGATGAGTTAGTTTATCATCCCTTAGTACTAATTTACACTACCAAGTACCAAATGCCAGCTCCGCGTTCTCATCGGCGTCAACTACCCGCGCCACATCTCAAACACGGCGCTGTACACCCGTTGCACCGCCGAGTCACTGCGTTGCCGCCTGCTCCGCTCCCGCTGGGGCCTCCTTGGCCACATCCTCCGGTGCCCCGTCGACACCCGGCCTACAAGTCCATGCTCCGGTACTTCAGCTTTTCCGTCGCTGATCTTTGGCCCGGCCGCCCCATCACGTCGCTGCCTCGCATCCTCAACTCTGATCCCAAGACCGTCCCCGACGAGCTCCAGCGCCTCACCTCGCGTCCTCAACTCTGATCCCAAGACCGTCCCCGACGAGCTCCAGCGCCTCACGTGCCTCGCCGACCTGCAGACCCTTCGCTCCACCCCACGAACAGGATCCGGTGGAAAGTACTGACCGAGCAGATCGGTCAGTCGTCGCTGCATGCCCCACTATCTCCCCCAGCACTCAGGCTCTAACGGTCGACGTATGCGAAGTCCGCTAGGTGTAGGCGCAAAAGATTCCTTAGCTAGCTGATAAACGCGAATAAACGTCATTTTACATACATATACCAAATACCAACCAAACTAACTACTCCTGAGTAGTACAAGTTAAGAAAGGGTTTCACTGACTTTGTGAGGGACTTGGTCACAATTACTGCCATCGCGTAAACCGTTCAAGATCCACCTCATGTTTAAAATGACGTGGCACAATTTCCAGCAAGTACATCTTTCCACGACTAAAAATACTGTGCATATCACTGCGATTAGGTCCGTACGAATGCGACATTCGGCCTTGTGCGGTTGCTAGCAATCAGTCAGTCCAAGGTCGACTAAGAGTGAGGTATGATGTGGGCCGAGCTTGGGTCTCTTGGGGGATAGAATAGGCCGCCGCAACTGGTGAACAACAACAGTACAAGTGTATTCTCGTGTCAATAATGTGTGAGTTGTGCCGTTATGTGAGAAGCGTTTATGCTTACAACTATGAAACAAACCAACCACAACTGTACTAGAAGACATCTGATGATATTACATCTTGGTCAGCATGGGCTGATCTTGGTGTTGGTTTGCTGAGGTATACTCGTTGTCCAACTGTGGCTAGCGTGCTCGTGGTGTAGGATGCACCTGTCACAAGTAACTCATTGCATTCGACCACGTCGAAGTTAACGTTACTCGTATAGGTGCAACATTATTGTTGGTGCCATGTGAAATACTAGTACAATGGTCTACGTAGTCCTTGACATCGTGGGACAATGCAAATTGTAATCCAATACCTGCAATATATACAACGTCGGTCATTTTGCTTGCAAGGCACAACATCGCCGCATTAGACACTCTTGGATTCATAGTCGTACACCCTTAAACATCGCCGCATTAGACACTCTTGGATTCATAGTCGTACACCCTTAAATAGGATGTCGGTACTACGTATCCATTGTTGTACGTCGAACGATGACACCAGCATGCTTTTTGAGTGGCATCATGGCGATGTACGATTAAATAGGAATATGCTACACCGAAATGAGTTCTACAGCACACGGCTAAGGTAGCTGCACTCTTCGTCTGACAGGGCCTCTATATCGGTCAGGCATTCAATGGGCTCCAGTTCATCGGTCTCGGGAAGGATACTGCACCAGTCAATGTCGTCGAGGTCTCCAACGGTGAAGTCGGTGAAGCTGCTGCCGTGCGTTGTCCATTCGTGGGCAAAAGTCAGTGCCAACGGCTCGGCTTTGACAACTAGCTTTTCAGCGAGGAGCTGGCGCTTTTGGGCTCGCAATTCGCCGCGACGTTTCGTGGCATAGATCTTTTGCAGCGCGTTGGCCTTGCTGCGGTGGTACTCGCAAAGTCGATGGAGCCCGCCGTCCCGCTTGTACGTGCGTACGTTGTTGCATTCCTTGTATGCGTATTTGCACTGCACTTCGGTGGTGGTGGTGGCGGTCATTGGGTTGTTGGACGTTTGTGGCAATTGCAATAATGGCACTTGGCACACTGACCACCTTGTATCGCTCGCTGTGCGACATTTCAGGTTACAGTCCACTTATTCCAGTGGAAGTTCTGTATGTACTATGTATGTATTGTGCTGTACTGAATTCCAAGTGTACTGTATTACTGTAGTTAACATCAAAATGTTGTACGACATACGTACATTGTATGTACTTGCTCGTATCAGATTGAATTTGCTGTGTATTGTCGCGGTCGGCAGCATAAAAACCCACAACGCCACCACCACCACCAACCACCACACGTTCAGAGTTGATTGGCATTTATACTAACGTTAGTATAAAAAGTTTGATCACTCGATAGAACGATGAAAGTAGTACAGTATTTATTGTGCACGAGATCTCGTACTGTGTACGCCCATGGGGAAGTTCAGCAAATCGCTCAATAACCCAATTGTTACTCGAGTTGGAGGCTACAGTACCGAACACTATTCGGGGGTTCATGTCTTCAATCGATAATCGATGGCTTTGAATATATATATATGTAGTATGCAGTCACGATTGCTTGTTCATGTCGCGTTTGTACTCATGTGGTGGGGTGCGGCTGTCACATGTAAATTAAGTAGTACTAGTACTGTACTACAGTACTGTAGTACTTGGAAGTACCGGTAGTACTCCTTGTGAAGGATTCCCGTTTTTGGACCGTGGGACTCTATCTTTGCAGGTTCTAGGGCAGGCATACTGTAATTCGATCCGTCCGAAGCATAATGTTAGCATTAACTGTACAGTACTACCGGTGGTAAGTTACTGTACAATGACCGTTCCCCCGGTTTATCCATATATTGCCAGTAAGTTACAGTTTGCAGGTGAGGCAAAACAATGTGTACCACTATTTTATTGGGGAATTGGTCGGAAGTCGACTCGTTAGTTTGCAAACACATTACTCCAATTTTGTGGTGCGAAAGTGTGTGATTGGTCAGAAAATGAGATTTCAACGCTAACGTACTGTAACTCAAAACGTTGTCTGCAGTCAGTCTTGTTGGAGATTCAGTACCACTACATCTCAGACCCCTTCGGCATACAATAGAGAGATTTTGCAAACCATCCGACCATGATTGATTGTGCGACCCACTACAATCGTACCGGTAACTGTTAGTGTCTACCGATATTATATGGTCGTGATGGCAGTCTGTGGCTATTGTTTCACGCGTCGGGGTGGTAGTTGAAAGTGACAGGCGCGAATTCGTACAATACAGGTCGGAGCCTGTGGTGGACCGGCGCATGGGGTGATGTTGATGTGATTGTTGTTGGTTTTCATGTACACATTTCGACCGAGGTTTGTTGGCCTCGCGACGGGGGAAGAACCAGCACAATCGACCAGGATGTAGAATTCAAATTTTGAATATGACTTTACTTCAACATGAAGTACTTCAATCGGGTCGATCAATGTTGCAACGTCATCAGTGAAGTTGCCCGAACAGGGCACAGTACTGTACACGCGTTCGTTGTACTAGTGACTACTAGTATACAGAGTAGACTAGGACAAATACTACGTCGTACTGGCTAAACCTTTTTACCACGTGCACGTCACGTCGTTCGTGAATTCATTGTGGATTGTCAGATGCATCGACCAACTACTCTCTTGCTTACAGATGCAACCGAACGTCAATCTACCGGTAGTTTAACGTTATCTCGTCGATATGAGCCCAAGGGCATCACGTTATGAATGGCACCAACCTGACGCAATCGGCTTGGAGCTTGTCAATTATTGGTATTCGCGACAGCGCCGCCCTAGGTTAAATCTCCAAAGATTCCACTTGAAGAACAACTAACCCCACAATACCATTGCACTTTTCATTTTTGCTTTCATTTTGTACTTCACACGACTCAAGTATCGTTAATCTTACAAATGTAATGTCCACATCCAAGCGCATTGGATGTGGACATTACATTTGTAAGATTAACGATACTTGAGTCGTGTGAAGTTTGGTCGGTCAAAGCTTGACTGCCATGGAAGGAAGTGCTTTACTCAGCAGAGGCCGTGAGCTTGGCTTGTATAAAGTTGCATGGATATCAAACAAAAGCACGTGGTGGTTGTGAGGTGGCTCGTTCCCGTCGTCGGCGATGCACTAGAATATTGTGGGATGCGATGTGTGCATGAGACGTCGTCGTGTTGGGACTCCGCGCGCAGCGAAATAACGTGAGCGTAAGAACCTTGTCAGCCATTTATTTCACCCTCGTTGAGCACAGTGGAAGGGGGGTTCTAACACGACCATAACTTGGCTTCCTGGTGCCGATGCCAAGGAGCCTGAGGAAACCTGGGACTCAACCAGCGACCATGGGTGTGTCTTGTCCTACTTAGATCAGGTGAAAAGTGATCTGTAAGTATACGCGCTCTCAACTGAGCCAAAAGAACTGGTCAATATGGACATGAGATTGTACTACGAGAATGACTCCTCTCGACTAGCACTTCATACGCACCCACGGTAGTACGTACGTAGGTAACAATCGAACGGTAATGTTTGAGCGAAACTCGAACATCCCGTAGCGGTCGAATGTTTATGCGGCCGCGTGATGGTCGATTATGGACGTATCGTCGAAGGAGTTTATATTGCCGTCCTATCGTTTGAATCATTCTCCAATTAGCACCTTCGAATGCATCGGTTTCTTGTGCCTGGTTTGTTGACGGTGGGGATGTTGCCCTCGACGCGCGCCACGGTCGAATGGGCGTCGACGGCGGATCGCAACCAACTGGTTGGCGAGCGCTTGGCGCTGGCCGAGTCGGCGTACGACGTCGTGCCTGGGACCGCGTCCGAGACAAGGCGCCCCGACAATTACGGCCAGTGTGTGTGGGTCCGTCGGGATCGTACAAGTATGACTTTTTGATCACCAAGGACAACAAGGACAGCGACGGGGAAACGTCTCGTACCGAGTGCTTTGCCAACGTTGTCGAGACGGGCAAGGCGCTGGCGTACCCGTTCCCCCGAAGCAGCTACCACTACGACACGGACCCTAACCACGCGGTCAAGGAGGATTCGCTGGACAAGCCGCACATTGCACTGGACATCGAGTTCGACGTGTCCAAGAACAACGCAGTCTCGGTGGTCGACACGCAGTACTTTGACTTTGAGAACTTTGAAACGAACGCCGCGTCCATCCTGTACAAGTCAACGGGGCACTCGGCGGGGCGGTACAACCCCGAAACTTTGAAGGGGTCGACTCGAAAGACTGCTCGACGTGCTTGTCGGTGACCGACCTTTACCGCCCCACAGGGGTGAAAGGGTCGTGCCAAAATGCCAACAAGGACGGGTTCACCAAGGCCAACGTGGACGAATTGAAGTTCCAAGTCGACAAACTGGTGGAATACCGGCAAAAAGCCGACAACAACAAGTGCAGCGATGACCGGAGCGACACAATGGGTCTGCACCAACTTTTTCGGTGTCGAGTCCGAGCGCGACAGCAAGGCCGACACCAAAGTCGACGACGCCCTCCAAAGCTGGAAGTCGTGCTTGAGTGACGCGTTGACCGACGCCGAGTGGGCCAAACTCACCACGTCCGTCTTTACGACGTCGCCTAGCTTCCCCTCAGTGTTCACATGCGCCCGATCGTGAAATTCTACACGCCGTACTCGTGCGCCGCTGACTACGGGGTGGAAGGTCTGGACCGGCGCCAGTGCGCCGGGGATGCGACGCAATTTTGCAACTTTACGCAAACCGTGACGGCCAGGGCGTCGGATTTGGTGTCGAAAGTCCAAGTCGGGCTGAAACCGTCGCCGGTGAAACCGCCAATTCTAGACCCGAAAACGGAGTTTCCAGGCTCCAACTACAATGCCCCGAGCACGACATCCAAGGAACTGCACTTTGACGTGACGTGTGACAACAACGCGCCAGAGTTTGCCACGTATTGCACGTCGCATTTGCAAGTAAAAGTCAGCGACTTGTTCAAGTTGGAAGCCACGCTCAACACTGACAACGACGCGGTCAAGGCGCTGCTGGCGAACCGCCCCACGACGACGACCAACCCGATTGTGTTTTGGCGCGTCAAAAACACGCTCGCCGGCACATGGCAGGAAATTTCCGCGGCCACCGGCGATTTGAAGGACTCGACGGCTGTGCTGACGTTTCCCCAGTTCAAATCCGAGCTCGTCTTTGAAGCGTACACGGCATGCGGAAAGGTGGGCGACTCGATCACGTGGACCATCTATGTGCATCGTGCATCGCACTGAGGTGGTACACATTGACGACTGGTGGTACTCGATGTGGGACTGCGGCGCGGCGGGAAAGTGTAATGTCGAACACACCGACTTTCGCGTGTGCAAGTTCAAGTTTGACCCGCAGTGCGACACGTACTTAAGCATGTTAAACCCGTCCGACGACCCCAAGACCAACGACGCGTACAAGATGTGCGAGTACAAGGACGACAAGAAGGACAAGAAAACGTGCTCGGAAGGGTGCTGGTGGCACTATGCCAGCTGCGACACGGCCTCATCCGAGGAAGCGTGCGCTGACCGCATCCGCGAGGAAGGCAGTCGGTTCGTCTACTGCGGCAAGGACGGACGCCCCGCAGGTGATCGAACAAGAGACGCTGGCCATGCAAATGCTGCTGCAAGACACCGTGACCACCGCCGCACCTGTTAGCCCCACCGCCGCCCCTGTTAGCACTACCCCCTTGGAAGTGCGCATCCAGTGGCAGTTTTTCGGCATGACGTGCTCGTGGAAGTATCAAAACTCGAAAGCCGCGGCCCCAGTTTTGAGCACGGCGTCACTGGGCGCGGCGCAACCGGCGTTCGACAAGGAGGTCGCGATCAAGATGCAAAACGTCGACGTGACCGAAGTCACAGTCTCGTGCGACTTTTTCTTCAAGTCCAACGCCGCCGGGGCTGACGTCAAGCCCACCAAGCGGTCGCGGTCCAAGACTGTGCTCATTCAAAACTGCGACCACCCCCGCTGGAATGCCGAACGCCCGACCGACCAGGGCCGGTACATCAAGGACACGTGCGACGTTGTGTCCTGGTACAGTGACATCAGCGGCCCAAAGCCGAGGCAACCGGCGCCGTTCCAAGCGTGCAAGGGCGCCCTGTTATACCCGAGCGATCCGTCTATCGAAGAAGGCAAGTCCAGCACCATCTACGTCGAGACCGGATCGACCGGTCTCGCGTGCTGCAACCCTAAAAGCCCGACCACCGTGGCTACATTTACATGCCAAAACTTGCCTGGAACGACTTCGATTGGCCTTTGCACCGACTCCAAGGACCCGAGCATCTACTACACCCGAAGTGTTAAGTTCTTTGGCGAATCGGTGATCGATGCCGCGCAGTCGTACGTTCGCGAGCTGGTCGTAGCGGGAGGGCTTCTTGCTGCCGTGGCGGTCGTGGCCGCTGTGTCAGCCAAGACGAGCTCCGTCGCGGGTGTCAAAATGGACGATGCGTACTTGCAGCTTTTGGCCTAAATCAACCAGCACACTATCCTTCCCACGACATAGCGGATACGTGTGGCTTCTTGTATGTTTTTGATATATTTCATAATAATACCTGACACCTCTTGCATCGTACGGTTGGGGTTTACTGATTCTTAATAGTTCAAGGATTCATTTATTGTTAAATATGTTGGCTGTGGTGAGTGTCCGTGCCCGTCAATGATGGTGTTGTGATGGGCTTGGTTTGAAAGGCTAGGATTACTTGAGCGGCAAGGTCAACAACGTAATGCACTTTGTCTTGGAAAGGCGGCTGAACGTGTTCGAGTGGCAGCTTTCGCATGTTGACGTGGCCTCTTCTTCGATGGGGCTTAGGGCTACGTTCAGGTCTAGTTTTCGTCGCAACAACTTTACTTGGGCCAAGCCAAACACGACGCGATGACCACCCACCGTAGTGGACAAACGATGGAGCAACGATCCGTCGACAAATTGGTAGCTGATGCCATCGTACGAGCTGTAGCGTTGGTGGTGATTGTTCGATGACGCCGCCAATGCTGCTTTGGATTGTCGGCGACAGCAGTCCGGGACGCTGTCGGATTTCTTTGTCAAGTGTGGCAGCCACTGAGATGGCGATCGAGGCATACGGAGCATGCTTGTGAACATGGCGATGTGAAATAGAAAATGGGGTGTGCACGAGATATATGTGCCACGAAAAGTCCCAAAATTTAAGAAACGGTCAAATTTGTATAGGCCTATCAAAGCCTCGATTTCATGGCAACTTCAACATGCCAACTGCAATGTGCCGTTTGTTACTTAATTCATCACCATATGGCGTACGTACTAGTACCAACTCTAATTTTCATAAAATTATCTTGCTGCTATTTCCTTTAATTTCTCGAAATTTTAGCAAATAGAGACGCAGAATCGAGAGATCTTGACGTGGTGAAGAAATTCTACGTCTCAGATTTAAATTTGGTGATGAATTGGTCAAGAAATAGACATTTAACCAAGCGGTATTTTGCATGGGTGAATTGACCACTGATATATATATTGATCTTTGTATGAGACCACCTCTAAAGTAATAAAACGCATGGAATCGGGATTTAACCTATGTAGTTTTTTGGGTTTAACTACATTTAATTTTAACAATGGCGCTTCCATTCTAACGACGACTGGGCATGACTACACCCACACACCACGAGGTGATTCAATCCACGAACGATTATGAAGCCAATTTTAACGGCATAGTGTTCACGTTACATCGTAGCATGAGTCTACTACTAGAGGTTCGGGGGGGGGGTTGATCCTGCTGTTGTTGTTGCTGTAACAACCGCGTCACATCCACGGCCACATGTTTCATGGCATCTCTCCTAGTTCCAGTACCACTGTACGTAGTATACATTAAATAATATAAACTCCGGTCTTGGATTTGGCCAGCTGGAAGGTATACTGTAGATGATGTGCACCATACCGGTACGAGCCAAGTTTGTAAGTTTGTGGGACGAGGACAATTCTAGGATGCAAACATTCAACCGAGAATGCTGTTCAAAAGGCGGCCGGATCACCTTGAGCGATTTCATAGTGTACAATGTCGCCCCGTTGAGGGATAGGCGGACTAAGGTGGAAACACTGAGGGATAATACAAGCGAACCATGCAAATTTCACTTGGGTAGTAAGATTTGCAGCACCACCAACAAGCGCCCGCACATCAGTAGACTACACCAGAGACGCAGCGGAAGCAGCAACGAACCAACGATTGAATACCATATGCGCAGACACAAACGGCAGGATGATGGAGGGGTACACTGTGGTCGCTTGGCACACGGGGTGCATGGTACAATAGAGCACAATATATAATATTGAGAGGAGTGGTAGGTAGCAGAGAGGTTGGAGGTGGCGCACGCGCACACCTCCGCTGGCAAAAATTGCACTGTGGAAATACCCGAAGGTACTCCTGAGCCCTTACAGCACCGGAGTGCGTGAAGGCCTGCTCCGGCTCATGTCAACCGCCTTGTTGATCACGGTCGAGCACCAGTCAGGTAAGTATGATTAATACAAACGAAAGCGGATTTTACTACTTGAACTGCGTACTCCCATGTGTGAAAATGTTTTCATATCAGATCTTGATTGGCTTATGTGATCTTACGCTGGTTTGATTGGATATTTTTTGAAACTCAAAACAAACTCTATTGAGTCTAAATTGAAGTTTTTTAGAGTTTCCAGCAACCAACTTTTACTTGTTTATGTATGTACTGTACATGAAGCGCCAGGAGCTCCTGGTACATCAATATATGCCATTCTGTCACGCACTAGCCCGTGAAAAGCACGCATGAGGGTGTGAAGGGTCGCTCTGCAGTGGTAGCAAGCCAACCAAGTAATTGAATGAATACGCAGGGTTGAGTCTACAGTACCTGCTAACTTTTGAATCATGATGCTTGGTCAGCATTTCGATGGCGTTCATGTCGAACCAACCCATGTACTAGTTAGTACGTTCAATCATCATGGCTTTAGGGTGTAATTTATTATTGCCTCTATTTAGTGCATTTACAGTTAGTTCACTGGACGATTGCACGTGGCAGGTCCTATATGTGGTAAAATCTTACGATCAACATCCCCCATACTATAGTAGTTTCGACAACAGCCTGCGGTCATCAACGATAGATGATGTTGGTCCCCATACTGTAGTAGTTTCGACAACAGCCTGCGGTCATCAACGATAGATGATGTTTGTGTTGGTTAAGCTTCCCCCCCTTCAAGGCCCCTTTGCAATCAACTTGAATTGACCTTCTAGTCATTAACCATGCAATCTTATGGCTTACAATCGTTGGCATATGTACTGAACAGTGCTTGTAGATAGCAAAATATTTCATATAGCAACGTTTATTCGCCCCAGGTCGTCATCGATGTGGCTGCTCGTACTATGCCAAAGTCCTATTCTTCGGGCATGCTTCAAGCACAGGTCACGTCGGCACCGGCAGGTACGCTCTCGGTTTGCAGAGGTACAATTTTTTCAACGACATTGGTAGCTTTGGTCGGTGTTTTTCGCGTCTTGGGCGCACTTGTCAGTGTAATGCACTTGGTGTTGGAGAGTCGGCTGTACGAGTTCGAATGACAGCTTTCGCACATGGCCAGCTTTTCTTCCTCGATGGAGCTGAGTCCGGTCAAGAAATCTCGTTTTCGTCGAAGCGACTGCACTTGGGCCACCTCAAACGGCACGCGCTGCCCCCCCACAGTTGACGACAGTCGGCGTTGTACCGTGCCATCCACAAATCGATAGCTAATGCCGTCGTACAAGTTGAAGAGGGTAGAGGTGGTCTTGATCGGTGGGGCCTTGGCCTGTCGGCGGCAACACTCTGGCACCTTCTCCCTGTGTGACTTAATCAGCCATCGTGTCGAGGGCGAAGGCGGTTCATTATTGGACGGAGCGGGCGCGACGGCCGAGCGAAACACGCTGGCAAACATAAATTCCTTCGAAGGCGAGATTCGGAATCTGACTTTGGGCCGATTCCCGTTTTCGAACTGGTCAGCAACAGCACGAGGTGCACCAATCAAATTGCGCCAACTTACCAACTTCACCTTGAAACCGTCGAAACATTTATAGAGGGTGTAACCGAAACAACACGTAACTGAGAAGACTCAAATCTGGTGGTTTGACGCTTTGCTACAACTCATTTGGCCATTCATGACGAGGAGTACTTCATGTAGCTTGGATCATCGTCGACCCAAGCGAGGAGGGCATGTGTTTGTACAGTGCATAATTATTACTACCTAGGACTTCGAAGTGTACTGCGTAATGTATACTCATGTACACTGCAGTGGTGTGGTTGGTTTGGTTGGCTGCAGACACACACCAGTACACAGTATACTGTATGTCTACAGTACAGAGGGTCACGCTTTCTTGATTGAGTCGAAGATGAGAAGGCTATGTACAGCCCGTGCAATGCAGAAGTCGAACCCGAAGCGCGAAGTTGGATTCGTGCGACGGCTTACTACTGGTAGATACATGTATACAGTACATAGTAGTAATCACCTTGCCTTAAGTGGCGTCGTCGATGGAATGAACAGCATGAAGAATACATGTACAGTATTACATCTTTTGTGTATTTGACTGTGAACAATAATACTATACATAGTATGCAAGCAAATTAATACACTTGTAGTATTAATACTATACTATTAATAGTATTAATACATAGTATGCAAGCAAATTAATACACTTGTAATACTATACATAGTACCGTATGCAAGCAAATTGATACACTTGTAACGAACGTTAAGCAAGTCAACAGTGTTTTGCTGATTTTCCAAAATTCAGCAAATTTTCAGAAATCCATCAAAATGGTCCAAGGCAAAATAAATCCAGGGCAAGAGTAATTCTAGCGCTGCCACAACGACCTCTGAAGACATGAGAGCATGAGGTCGACGTATTATCAACTACAGGAACAGAAATTAATAAATTAACATTGAAATTCTACATCGAACACGGAGGTGTTTCCACCGACATCTCGACGGGCTGGTCATGATTAGGACGAGCCGCCAAGCGTCGAACGACACGGGACAAAGCGACGCAAGTGGTTCGGGGGTCGTGGCTATATTGAAACGAATGGCAGTTCTCGCACAATTTCGCGGCGGAGTCTTCCTCGATGGGCGTCAAAGCCCTCATCTTGGTCCGCTCTTGCCGCAACTTGGTCACATGGGATGTCAGGAAGGGCACGCGATGGCCACCCACGACGGAGCATTGGGCCAGCAAGACTGACCGATCCAAGTACTTGTATTGAATGCCAGCCGATCGGGGGTGGTGTTGTTTCGACGCGAAGGCTGCTTTGGCAAAGCGCCGGCAACAGTCTGGGATTCCTGCGTCGTGGCCAGTGAGGCGGCTGCTGGGTTTGGCGGATGGCTTGGCCGCGAGCGTGGTTGTGGGTTTTTGGTTTATTTTCGTTGGGTTGGCTGTGGTCGACGCAAATCGGTTCGTGAACGACGACAGCCATGATGAGAACTTGCGCGAAGGAGGGGACGGCGGTGGCTTCACCTTGACCAACGTCGCTTGTTTGTAGCTGTCGTCGCTCTTTCTTTGCTTCGAGGACGACAATGGGCGCCAAGTCGACATCATGTGGTGCTAAGCTTACTACTGTACTGGGCCGTTGGGTACCAAATTGCAAATGAACAAGATGCACGTCAAGCGTGCGTGAAAACAATTGCGTAACAGAAAGTAGAAATTGAGATTCGGTACCGAGTGGTTGAGGTCTAGCCAATCACATGTCGACTTGACCCAACTTGGAGGATTTGATTGGTCCGACAAATTTGTGTCCTACGACAGAAACGTGTCGCAGACACCGCCGCGTCACCGCGATAGAAGGGCGATGCGATGAAGGATACAGGTATGTTGTCGAATTGAATGCAAGGGAATGGTCGCGTGGAGCGACATGGTTAGAATGAGATCACCCAAGGCCTTGCGGTTCTAGCTAGCTAGCTTGGTGCGGTGCGAATATGCCACGTATCTATGGCGTGGCCAAATTATTGGGGCCGCATGTCCACGACAGCTGGCTCGAAAAAGTGACCTTTCACAAAGATCTGTTTACTTTGAAAACGTATGAAATTGAGGCAGTGAGCAAGTATGTAGACAACGACATGACAATCGAACTACTATGTATAGCAGGAGCGGGGCTGGCTACATACAACACAAGGCCACCCGTCATATGCAGCACTGGCGATTCAGGCTCCTGGCCGTTGGAGGAGAACGAAGGATGCGATTACAGTGTCAGTTGTTTGTTTGGTCCACAACGCATAGGAGATTTGCTCCAGACATGGAGCAAGCACGGTCATAACGTTCGGTGAGAACCTTGACGAGATGGGAGATAGGTTCGGAAGTGTAAATTTGTCGACGGTGATGATTCATGGGTACATACATACATATAGGTAGGTAGGTAGGTAGCTTATTGCTGTCTGTCTCCATGACGAAAACATGAATCAACAAGGAACTTTCCCCTTTCGCGCCCACAAAGCGCCGAAACCTTTCACTTTTCGTCGCCTTGTTCTACTGTCGGCGACGCAATACATAACCATCAACGTCCACTCGACATATTGAACATGCTTGTGCACGTTACAGGTACCGGTATTGCTTTTCTGGGGCATTGGGGCGAGGACATAGGTGCCCACGCTTCAATGCTTGCGCGGGTGTACGTACGGTACCTATGACGAGATGAGATATACATGCGATGCTAGATATCGCCGTGATGATCGAAGGCTTGTCCGAAGTGTACACACCTCAGACTAACGTTATATACTCTCGATGCAAGGAGATGCACTAATAAACAACACCCTTGTCGCCTACGTAAAGACCAAGGAATCAAGTACATAACGGATCACAAGTCCTAGCCAGGATGGGCCTCGTCCACGGCGCTGTACCAAGGCCAATCATTGGGATTTTGCGAGTTTGCTAACGTTAGGTTAGGCTGGACTGTACTATACCGAGTACATACACTGTACTACTAGGTAGCGACTTTATCCTCACTTGTCCAAAACGACCATGTACTCTCAAGTATGTCGCAGTTAGTAGTTAGTAGTATGACGAACGCAAGTGTGTATTAGTCGTTCGTGATGCTTAGGCGTCGAGGGTGGATGCAGCAGACGAAGTAAATAAAGACCGGAACAGCTCGTCCACGTTGATGTCTGTGCGTCGGAATGCGCTCGGGTCGGGAAACATAAAGTGCTGGAGCTTGGGAAGCACCGTGTACTTGATCACGCGGCCTTTGCTGGCCTTTCGGTTGATCTTTTTGTTCACTTTGCGCTTGAGTTTGAGCTGCGCGGCGGCGGCGGCGGCCGCATCATCGACGGTCGTTCCCGACTCAATGTACTCTTTGAGCAGGTGGTGGTAAAAGTCCTTGTCATCGTACGTGGTTTCGTCGAGGATGTCGTCGTGGTCGGTAGAGTTAGCGTCGTCGTCGTCTGTCACGACCGGGTGCGCTTTGCGGCGGACGCGCTGCGCGTCGGCGAGCACCGCGTCCACTTGCACGAGAATGTCTTGGTTCACGGCTTTGAATTTCTTGCCTTGGGTGTCGGCTTGCACCGACTGTTTGTTCAAAATGGGTTCGTACACTCCGAGGGCAGCGGTTGATTCGGCATCGATGGCGGCCCAGCAGTTTTGCACAGTGTCATCGAACGCCCGCTTCTTCGTCGACGGGCGTGATGTCGTCGTTGTCGCCGCCATGTCGGGGAGTGTGTACAGCTGTTGTTGCATAACGCTCAAGGACGCCATGGACGTGCGGATGGACGCGGCCAGCGCGGCGGTGGTGTTTGGGTTGTCGTTGTTGGAGGACACGTCGTGTACTGCCGTGAGGATCTGCTTGATGGAGATTTGAAGCTCCAAGCAACGTTCGTAGATGAGCTTTTGATGATACACGTGTTTGGCACGGTCGTGCTGGCCTGCGTCGGCGCCACGCATCAGAATCGCAGCGTCATCCTCGTCCTCCAAGTTGCGAATCACGTCGTCGACGTCGTCGTTGTCGTCGAGAGGACCGCGGGACACGGAGCGGGGGTGATCCTCGTCACTGTCTTCTTCGACAACCTCGTCGAGTGGGGCATTGTCCGACTCGGTGCCTGATTCCTCGGCATCTTCGTCGTCGGACGCAGCGAACGGTTCGCCTTCGGACCACTCTTCCTCCATGTTGCGCTCCACAGCATCCTCGTCATCCTCATCGTTGTCCCCGTCGTCACGCAAGTCCGCGCGCTTGACAACCTTCCCTTCGTATGTCGGGTCAGTGTCGTCAAACCGACTCGCGCGGATGCGAAGGGCAGACGGGCCGCGGTTGTAGTTAGCATGATGATCGTTGTCGTCGTCGTCCGAGGGCGACCCACCACCGTCCGAGTGCTGAACATTCGCAGATGTTCCATCGTCATACTCATCGTCGTCGACCGTGAACACGCGCTTGGCCTTGGCCATTCCCTTGAGAGCTCGCCCCATCGTCGACGTTGCAGCGACAAAGATTGAACCAAACAAATCTCAAGTTGGCGCCGCCTCTCGATGATGGATGGACCAACCAATTCATTCGAAACGATTGGTTTGATATTATTATTGTCAAGTCCTGAATTTGTCAATATAAACAGTATGCTAAATATTCAAGGAATTAAAATGTGTGTTTTTATTTCCGATTTAGCATGATTGAAATTGCTTTGTATCCATTCTCGACGAGGCCAAGGCTGCGACCAGGTTCGAGAGAGAGGTACCGTCTAGCATATGCAACCTTACCGGCATGCTGTACTTACTAGTATACGAAGGGGACACTTACACCAGATCGATCAGACATGACGGCTACCGAGCCCGCTGAGGCATTGACGGCAGGTCGGGAAAGGACCTGAACGCAACTCCCTCGGGTCTCCAGGGAGCAGGGTCATACACGCTACTGGTGCTGGCAACACAGATTGACAAAGACCAGTGCGAGAAGAGACGAAATGTCCGTTTGTTCTCTTATTTTCGTGTTCCAATCGATCAAACCAACGAACGCTACACGTCGCATCGTATCACCCCAGAGTCGTCGTGTTCCTTACTTGTCGGCGTTGGCCTTTTCGTCGGCCTTCTTCTTGCGGAGGCCAACGAGACGGGCGTCGGCGCGGGCCAAGCGGAGGGTCTTGACGACCGACGTGTTCTTCAACGCGTCGGTGATCGTGGCGGTGGGCACTTCCTTGGACGGGCGGGCGATGGGGAGCACGGCGCCGACCAATTGGGTGGCGTTCTTGGTTTCGTCGACCTTGGAGTCGCCGGCCTTGGGCTTGGACGCGCGCTTGCGGGGGAACAAGACCAACTTGGACTTGTACGTCTTCAAGCGTTGGACGTTCGCCTGCAGCGATTCCACCGACTTGTTGGTGCGGCGGTAGTCGACCGACACGCCGATGGACAAGGCTTGCTTGCGGGAGATGCCAGCTTCCTTCAATTCGTCCAAGGTGAAACCACGGCCAGCGCGCACCTTGGAGCCGTACTTGATCGTAGGGCAGTGCACGGCAGGGCGCAAGAGGCCGGCCGCCGGGCGAGGGGCGATGGCGGCAGCCTTGGCCTTGCGAGTCAAGCGGCGCGACTTCTTCTTCGAGGCTTGGTCAAACCACGTCTTGATGCGGTTTTGCCAATCCTTGTGGAAATGACCGTTCGGGATTACGTTGTTGTGCTTCATTGGGACTACAATGGGACACACATGAGGATCGTGGAACGGCCAATACGAGTGGAGAAGGATGATGATGGCTGGATGATTCGATGGTTGAGCGTAGCGGTAGGTAGGGAGGTGGTGGGGCGGATGGTCGCAGCGTACATACATGGTGCTTTGAGCACACGCGTTTGCCGTCCAGTTCCTAGATTCGTCGACACATTCCTGTTCGAAAACGTTGGTGGTCTTGATCATGCCTTGACCATTACCGCCACCACCACCACTACCTCTCCGTCGTAGGCTGGTTGCATCATCCATCGCAGCCATGCCATCATCTCCATCATATTCGTCGTTCTTACCTGATCACAAGTTAAATTGGAACTTACTGCCGCATTAAAAAGCCAAAAGGCCTGCCCCAACCAGTCATCCCTGCCTGCCAGTAAAACAAACCGACCAATCACAACCCGTCATTGCCCTACTCCTCCTTATCCGTATAATTTACCTTGTATCCGGCGAAAACCTCCGACATTGGTTGTCGTAGCATTACATAACCTTTAAAATCAATTAACCAGGTATGCTATTTGACAGACCTCGCCACCATTTTGAAAACTCCCGCGCCACGTTTGAGATTCGAGCCTGTCGTCGATGGACAAACCTCGACGATCTGTGCCCCGTAAGCCTAAGAAGCATGACGCGCGCAAGGTTTATAGCTATGTCCTCTCGATGTGATTGTGTATACACCATCATCGCCCATGCAGTCATTGCATGCGCATGAATCTGGTTCGAAATCGACTTGTGTGCCAATACGATACTTGTAGAGCAACTGCAAGTGAACGTTATACTGGTAAGTAGTACATGGGGTGCATCTAATCAATGAGTAAGCACTGGATCCTCTATGTACTGACATGCGATTTCGACGATGTGGTGGAGGAGGGCATGAATGCGATGGTCGAATAAGCGTGGGTCACTTGGACTAATGTTAATACTTACACTTGTCGACATGGCGGACATGGGAGTCACTTAGTGCGTCACAACCATACCCACACAATGGAACACTCCATCGTTGCGTTAAGCACTACACCATCGCACATTGACGCTAGGCCAAAGCAGCGGCATTTTGACGTAAACATGGTGAGGACAGTGTTGTTGCCTCCGGTATGACTACTATGAGCAAGTGCATTTCCATTGCCACGCAAATCATTTGTAGGTATGCAAGTAGTAGTGGGTAGTTCTTGCATGGGGGCAATCGTGACGTGTGATCAAGACACGTATCTACCAGTCCGAAAACGATGCCACCGTCCATGCAAAGTGCATTGCAAAGTTCACACAGATGAATTCGCAACGGAGGTTCACATCGCTGCGACGGAATTGCTTGATGTACAGTACAGTACACAAAGCCACACGAATCTATCGAGCTGATGACATAACGTTAGGTGCAGACATTTACTTGCCATCAGCTGCTGAAGCCAACCAAGTGGATCATTCGGGACGGCTGTGTACATGGCAGCACTGCTCTCCAAGCATGCCAGGAAGGTTTAAGGGTCACCTAAAGAAGGCAACCCCCCGAATTCGCCTTGTCCTACTACCGGTAGCCTGCACATGCGAATTGTACATCTGATTGGAGAAGATATGTAGCAAGCAATCGCAAGGACTCCAATCTGGTTTGAGTCATCTGGCATCGTGAATCGTGCTTGAAATGCAAGGCTTAGTGGTCAAAACAGCTTTGGAGCGGCGACGTTGCCTGTAAGTAGTATGTGTGATACGTTCCTAAGCGCGTGAAGTCCTGCATATCGGAACACTACACACAGAAATCATGTCGTGGTGGAAGGAGCAACATGCTGGTGGGTGGCTTTGTCATGTACAGGTTGATTTTTGGGCAAGTTGAAGTTGAAATCCATCATTGGACGACTTGAAGTTCAGAATTGTCAAAAAATCGTGAGAGTGAGTGGGATCTGAGAGTACTCACAGCGTGGAATTCCACCGGTTCACCAACACCAAGATGCGCCGAGTCCTGATTGCCGCGGCGAAGAACGGTGTGGCGTTCCCGTATGAGAAGGACAGCTCTGCGCTAGTGTTGTCGTGCCCTCAAGGTACATTCCATCGACGGTGTGCAACTTGACCCAATCCAATCGATCCATGTAGGCGTGTATAGCGCCGCCCGCACCGTCAATTCCAAGTTTGTGTTTGCTCTCGACAGCCACTTGAAGCGACTCGGTACTTATCCTCCATCTTGCAAAGGACATGCCTAACGGTTTTTATAGTTCAACCGACAAAAGCTATTGTGAAGGATGCCAGCGACGACGAACTCGCCCGACGTACGATGCGTGCTATTCCATTGGATTGCCTCCTGACGACTTGGTGGTAGGAGTGGCACCTCGTGTGCTAGCGACTCTTCGTGCAGCCATGGACGATTTGAAGAGCCACCATACCCTTCCCGACGATCAGGAGTTTAAATTGACCATGATCATGCAACCTTTTCCTACGGCAACCAAGATGACCGATGTTGTGGGGGTAGGACTTGTTGTTATGCATATTCAAGTCGAATAACGCTAACTGGTAGGACCATGGCGATGTGTTTTGCCATGTTGGATTGCTCCATCCAAAGGAATCGTCGAATGTCAAGGTCGAAGTGGCAGGTCAACCTCGAAGCAACCCCCTCGTACGATCATGCGGCTGCAATCCATCGTCGTCTTACATGGCGCTATAGGTGAAGGACTTGCAATGGGCAAAGGACCGCCAAGCGCTTTATGATGCAATGACTCCTGGCACGGAAGAGATCATATTGATGGACCCCACGACACGACGACTGTACGAAGGCTCACAAACAAATTTCTTTGTTGTCCAGGTAAGATAATCGCACTTCGATCTCGTCTTCATTGCGTGGCTGGACGGACATAACTGAGTGTTCTTGATGTGTCTACCCATGTGCCTCCATGATGCAATGAAGCGATCGTAGAACAATGCAGTGGTGACGGCAGAAGAGGGGATTCTCAAGGGTACCATGCGAGACCTAGTCTTGGAGAGCTGCGCGACACTGAAGATTCCGGTGGAACTGCGGTCCCCTAGCTTGGACGAAGTGGACGAATGGAGCGGCGCATTCGTCACGAGCACGTCCCGGGTGCTCATGCCGATCCAATCCTTTGTGTATCCTGCCCGAACGGAAGATGGAGGAAGCATCACTCGCGAAAAGACGTGGGCTAGTTGCTCCATTGTCGACAGGCTCCATCGCCACATGTTTGAAACCGTGCAATCGCATTCGACCAAAGTGTTTGACTAGATTAGCCAATCAAATGGTAGAAAAAGTAAATCCATCCAATCAAAAAAGCGGAAATCAAACCAGCCAATCAAAATCAAGTGAAACCGTTTTTTTCGCGCACTTTTCTTACTTTTGAATTGCACCCTTCGAGCACAAGCGCGATGACAAAGCGAACCAAGCGCGGGCAGCGTGATGGAAGGATGGACAGATACATTCCGAACCGCTCGGCGATGAACATGGATGTATCCGCGATGCACGTGTGTGAGCATGCCACCCCGTCGATGGGCAAATCGACCCCATACCACCAAGCGTTGACGTTGACCATGTTTGGGGTGCCGGATCTTTCTGCTGTACCCGTCTACAAGCTCACGAAGAATGCTGCGAATCGGATGGAACAAGGCTCGACTCCATCCTCCGTCCGTCGCGTTGAGACAGGAGTGGTCAAGACAGTGTCCGCCTTACGAATTATGGATGCACCAATGGTGGAAAACGATTTCTACTTGAACCTGCTGGATTGGGGTGAAATGGATGTCCTTGCGATTGCGTTGGGCAAGTCAGTCCACCTTTGGGACCATCGAAAAAAGTCCCACAGCCAACTCGTGTCGTACCGGAACAACATTGTCACTTCTTTGAAATGGGGGATATCGTCGAACCGACACTTGCTCGCGGTTGGGATCGACAATGGAACAGCGCAAGTGTGGGACACCCAGACTAAACAATGCATTACGCGAATTGGTGGACACATTGCGCGAGTTGGTAGCATGGCGTGGAGAGGCCCTACGCTGACAACCGGGTCTCTGGACAACACCATTGCCCACCACGACCCACGGATGCCAAACCATCAGATCACGATGCTGCGTCATCACACGGGTGAAATATGCGGCCTGGAATGGTCCCCTGACGAGCGCATGCTCGTGTCAGGCGGAAGCGACCACGTTGCCTGCGTTTGGTCCAAAGATTTCTCCCGCACGACGCCGTTGCATGTCATCACCGCCCATACGGCCGCAGTGAAGGCTCTCCGATGGAGTCCTTGGGATGTTGGCATTTTAGCGACTGGCGGCGGTTCGAGCGACAAAACCATTAAACGTTGGCGTATCACCGAACGCACCTGCAAACTTCAGCACTCCGTCGACACAATGTCCCAAGTATCTGGACTCGTGTGGTCCCAGCCCGAGCTCCACCACAGCAAACAGCTGCTATCGTCACATGGACCGGTGTCGAACACAATCAAGTTGTGGGACGTTGGCGGGATGGCATTAATCAAGGAATATGGGGGCCACGCTCGTCGCATCTTGAACATGGCGGCATCTCCCGACGGCAGTGCCGTAGCCACGTTAAGTGCCGACGAAACGCTTCACTTTTGGCCTGGGTTCGACGCCAAACTAGCCACCAAGAAACGACCCCGGGACGACTCGTCCTTGTTGACGGGATTGCTTCGGTAGTTAAGTCGGCCGCGTCCACGATACGTCAAAAGTCTTCTCGTTGAAGTAGAACGTCTTGCCTGTGTTGGTGTCGTCGATTTGGACCCATTGACGCAGTTCTGCGGTCGACGTGTACTTGACGCGTGGCCGCCGCATGCGTTTTTTGCGTGCTTTTGCGAGTGGTTTGCGTTTTCGTTTGAGCGGTGGAGTCGCCGTGGCCCGCTACGACCAACGACATCGTCTTCACAGTCCTCCCTCCTTAGCATTATGGTGTGTTGATTGCGTACCTTTGGCACGACCCCCGTCGAGTCTTGTTGTTCCCACGCTGGAACAACCACCCCCATGGAGGTCCACTTTTCCCGCGGCCACGCTTTGCATCTTGCCATGACACGATCGGCATATGGTACCGCCTCTAGCCAATGCGCCACGGTTTGTCCTGCGGGAACATACTCATGGAGCATGATTTGGCATTGGGCCAAGTGAAACCAGTCCAAATCGCGCTCCTGGTCAATATTATCCGACACCATCTCGATGCTTTCCAACAAAAATACCAACCTCTTGCCGGTGCTCGACCTGGACTTCGTCGTGTCGGCGCTTGATCACTTGCTGGTACAAGTCCTTTGCAACCAAATATTCATTGGCGGCCAATGCTTTGGCCCCGAAATGCCGCCACACGGCGGCGTCCCCCACCCACGCCTTCCACGACGGGTACTGAAAATGGAACCCATGGACCCGATACCGTCGAAACGCATCGTCATAGGCAAACGTCGCGTGCGCTTTATTTTCATCCAACAGGTATAACCTCGCAATCAAAAACATCAGGTCCAGGTCTGTCCACGGCGCCGGCGGCGACTCCAACAGGTGCAGCAGGTAGTCTGTGCTTTGCTCGTACAAGCCCAAGTGCCACATGAGCATGGCCGCGCGGAAAATCACCGTCGGCATCCGCACATACGTGGGAAAGCTGTAAATGATCTACAACCATCCCCCCCCAACCATCAATTCAATATATATGTATATATGTATATTGGATAGATTACCCGGGCGAGAATTTCCGCGGCGTGCTGGAACCGACAGAGCAAGTACAATGCACGCGCCATCTCGTCCAAAAATGAAGGCGACGCTTGCAACGCCAAGTGCTCACACGCTTTGACATACCACGACCAGCCTGTGCTCAAATCATTGTCATGCAGATGCGCCTCGTACAACTTGACGTAACATTTGGCAATGTTACGAAGCAACGTCGGTCCTTTGTACCCATCGCGGAACGCCATGCGCAGCCACCGCAGCGCTACTCGCACCACACTCGTGACACAAGGAGGATGGGATTGGTTAGTTTACCTTGGGGCAAGTCTCCAGCGTATAACGCGTCGGCGCCAGCTTTGGCTTCGGTGGCAGCGACGGTTCGCTTGGCATATTTGTGTCTACCAACACACAAATGTGGCGGCGCTCCATTCAATATATACACAATAGTTGTCAGGTACCGAATACGACTCCACATGTCCCTCGCATGTGACTTGGCAACCTCATTTGCCGGCGTAGGGTCATCTACATATGTTTTGCACTTTCAAACGCATATAGGTTGCCCCTACTTACTACCCGACAGTGTCCACCGCACACCTTTCCAAGGCGGGTCGCGCTTTTGCCCCATAATGGAAGACATGAGCACAATGTTCGCCCGCAACATGTTGGGGAAGTGCTGGACATGGGCTGCCAGAGTTTTGAGCTCGCGGGCCGACCAAATCGCCTGTACCTGACCGTTCAAAAATCCAAACTGTTTGATCGCAACCACTCGTACCAGGCCCATACTAGTGGCTTGAGCTTCCAAGCTCTGCCACTGGTGGCTCCGTACATCCTCGACGGCCATCTCAACTCGGTGAGTTTTCTCCATTGTCCGTAGACGCAGCTTCTCGCGCTCGTCCAGGATACGTTGCATGTACATGTCTTCATTGTGCATCAAATGGCGTTCCTTGCGCTCGCGAAGTCGTTCACGGTGCAGCACTTCCGTGTACAACCGATGCAGTCGCATCTCTTCGTTGTGCATGAGCTTTCGACACCGTGCTTCAAACAGCTTTTCCGCTTGCTTGGCTCGGTACGCTACACACCCATAACGTTACCCCTCCCATCGTGAAAGTCAACATATATTATCGTGCTCTAGTAGATGAGACTTGCGTGGTGGTGGTACCTTCGTCGGCGGCTTGCATGCGCTTGAGCGTTTGATTGTACGCGATCTTGTTCGCGATCTTGCGGAGTCGTGTGATCTCATCTAGTTCTTCTCTTTCCATCGCCATCCGGGCTTTGGCTTCGGCTTTGTGGTCCAACTCGACCTGACGTTTTCGCAGTTTGCACTGGTGCAAGAATGTCGCCTTGGCCATGGCGTCTACATACACACGGGTACGACTCTCCTCCTCGGCCATGCTATAACCACCACAGACAATATACATATATCGTCAGGATATGACACAATATACCAAACGTCTACAATATCGACGATATAGCACACAAGTCCATGTTGTCGCGTGTGGTTGAACGTACGAAAGCTGCGCGTGACGCTCTCGTTCCACGGCTTGCCGCGCCGCCAACACATCAGGCGGGAGCGCCAACGGATCCGGCCTAGCTTTATTCGCTTCGATCCGCATCGCGTCCCACACTTTGGCCTCGTCGGCCTTTTTTTGTTGGCTCAACAGTGCCCGCATCAAGCTACGACGTACGTGTAATTGCCATATCGAAGCAAGAGAAGTCTATCGATGTTTCCTCTGTACACCCACCGGTCCTCTGCCTCGATGGCCAAGCGCTCGTCGTGCTGTCGATCCAGCTCCATCAATCGCGCGATGCGGGTCAGCTCCAACGCTGCCGCTCTATTTATTTAGCCCATACAACACCAACCATGATCCTCATCACCTTTAAACAATCGAATGTGAAGAATGGCCGCACCGGTCACGCGCTTGTTGCTGCCGAGCCCGCTTGAGCTCCTTGCGCTCGGCTTTAACCCGATCGTTCTCGATCTTACGAGCCTCCATCCGTTCAAACAACCCCACGAGCTCCTCCTATGGATCGGCCGCTCATGTGATGTTGATGTGTTTGTAGTGGTGGACGAGGATGGATTGCCTTGGTTTTCAGCTGCCACGCCTGGACGCGCTGGTGCTTTTGGTCCGTTTCCATCTGCACACGCAGTTCTTGCTGGCGTATCATCGTGTTGACGTATTCTTGCCGTCGTGCCGCCGCCGCGTCCGCCTCCATGTGCCGCATCGCCTCGAGTTTGTCCACTTCGCCCCTTCGTCGCCTCCGGTCAGCTTCTCTCCATCTCTACCCACAATTGAGACAAATCCCATCATATCTTGCTTCTTCATATTCGAAAGTACATACATGTTCGCTGATATAGTGCCGTGTCTGCAGCTCCTGCATGTGCATGGCCATACACGCGTCCTTCTCGCTCCGCTTGTCTCGAATTGCCGCGCGATGAACACAGTCGACCTCGGCCACACGTTGCGACCGCACCCACTCTATCGATTCACAGTCTTCCCGATACCTACATCATACATGTATTAGCATCCAACTAGAGTATTCCTATGGGATGATACAGTGTATATATATATATAGTCATGCTTTCAGGTACATAGATACACCATTCAGTACTCCTCATTACATGGCGATCAACTCGTTTGCCCGATGCACACGTGCAATGGCATCGGCTAACGCATGTGCTTTGTCCGCAGTATCCTGGGACCGCGCGGCCGCCGCGCGAAGGGCTCTATGGGCTTCATATTGCCGTTTCGCCTATGTTCGTTCCAGTGATAACATCACTCGACATTGCAATACGAGGTATATATGTACACTGTTCATATGAAGATGGATCTACTATCTATCTATACCTGATCGATTTCCATGTGGCGAGCGGCGATGAGCGCGTTGAGGTCGGCGATAGCGGTGTACCAAGCTGGAATCGACACGGCTTTCGACGACATGTGCAGGTCGTCTGGCATGTCCTGTTGATCTTGCTTGTCGGGCGACGGATTTCGCCGAAAACTCACGTGCACGTCCTCTACCAATGTCAACATGCGCTCCAGTGTACGTCGCATGTCCCCACGGTACATGGCAACGTCTCGCAGTCGATGGAGGGACCCCGTGGGGGACAAGTACCTGCATGGATAGAGAGAGGTAGGTCACTCAACATCATCATCATCGTGCAAGTCAAGGTGACAGAGTATATACCGAAGCCGCGTTCGAAGACGTTCTCTGAGCATGTGCTTAACCGTTGCGCGGCCCACGCGGCCCCGCCATATCTTTTGCAACAGCGTCGCCACTTTGGATTCACGCAACCGGTGGGTTTCATGTGTGGCCAGCAGTCGTCGCATCCACGATTGGACGCGAATCTATACCAAGCCCAGTCAGAGTACACACACACACATTAGCATTCGTTAGCAACAACCAAGGACTGAAGAACGGTATATAAAGTAGAGGCAGCAGCGACGGACACGTACAGCAGACGTCCATTCCGCGTGACGGAGTGCGGCGCGGTCGATAAACCCGGCGAGCCGCCCGCGGCGTCGTCGAAATGCACGCTGGATCCGCACTCCGAAATGTGTCAGTGCCTTGAGGCGGGCAGCTTCCTCTCGATGCCACGTCACAAACCTACCAAGTTGAACGGTCACGTGTGAGAACGTAGGTAGGTATCCATGAGACAGAGTCATGGAATCAGGTCTAGAATCACGGTCCAGAAGCCAACCACGTCACAATTCGCCTTGGAATCAGGTCCGGAATCAGACATACTAGTGCACATTCCAGCCTGATTCCGTTTCGTTTTGAATCAGAACAACAAATCGGTGCATCGTGTCTGGAATCAGACGTCTGATTCCAGGCATGAAGTGTCTGTCACCCCAACGTCAATCAAGTCGATCGAATGGTGTGTATTGATGATGGATGCCCCATTACATACCGCTGCCATCGCTCGATCGCCGACAATGTCTTGAACCTCGACCAAATGCGAAACGTCGGGGTGAATGTGTACATGCTGGCCACCGCATTGCGCACGTCGGCGAGCGCTTCTCGGACCTACATGCTCGTCACCATTACTGTATATATGCACATGGAAGGACTTGCCTTGGCCTCTTCTGTGGCAACGGCGGCGGAAGCACACGACTGCGCGGCATGGAGCTGTTGCATGTCGCGGTGTAGTTGGGCAGCATGCGATGCTTCGACCGTGTTGGCCGTGGGCTGCCACACGATGGGAGCTGCCGGGGTAAATGACATTTGAGACGGCAGCGGAAGAATCGTCGTCGATTTGTCGAGAGGACGAGGTTCTAACGACGCGGTGGGCGCGAGAATTTCTTGCACCACGACATCTCTCATGCGCATGAGAGCGCGTTTGCTGAGTTCCGTCCGGCGAAGGGCCAAGTAGTCGATCGGTTCATGACGCACCATGGTGGTCGTCTGCGCCATACGCGGCCTATGGCGGCGGCGGCGGCGCTGATCCAAAGTCCTCGTGTCATTCGAATGCAACACCTTCCCAGGCACTATGGACTGCTCCCGCCACCTCGAGTGTTGTTGCCGCTTGTGTGGAGACGGACTACCTGCCAAGTCGGCGTCGACGGCATCCCATTCCGTGCGCACGTCGACAAACTGCATCGTCTGGCGCGGCGAAACGGCACCGCTGATGAAAGTGAAACCGTGAAACGGTCGCGGCTCAAAGCAAGTAAGATCTCTGATAGATATGCGTGAAGAAGTTCATATCCACGCGGATATGTGGAAAAGTGGTGTGCACATATTGTATGAACCTTCGCCGATCAGATCGATCAATCGTGCCCCCGCCCATGGCCCATGATACAACGAGTCTCTCGCACATGAACATGTCAGCGAAAGTGGTCATCATGGTGGCACACGTATGGCTCAAAAGGCTTCCGTCGCTTCGTCGTGGTGTATGTCTATGTTGATGGAAGGAAATACAGGCCATTGCGACGTCCACAACACAATTCGGACTCGATTTCGCCCAGAATGGAAGACATGATCGTCTGATACGTTAGCATGCATGACGAGGAAGTCCCATGACTTGTGCTCGGCGACTGCCGTCACCACTTCGTCGGTAACCGACGAAGTGGGTTGGTACATGTCTACCGTCCCAAAACCCCCGGAGCATGTCCATGTCGGAATAAAACGACAGTCAGTTTCTATCACTAGTCCAAACATTTAAAGACCACACTGGGAGGGGTGAGACTTGTTTCCACTTGTCGGTTGCGTCAATCATCGTCAGGTATCTTCGAACCATGGCAGAGAGCGATAGCGACGATGAGTTGATGCGCGCGCTCCAAGGGCACGGCCAGCCCGAGGAATGTGCGTACTGCCAGACGGAAGGCGCGACCTTCCCATGCACCAAGTGCAATTCCGTCGTGTACTGCGACAATGTACGTTCGAGACCGTTGTTGACATGTCGTTGACGTCGTGCCATGTCCAGGGCTGCTTGCGTCGCCATTTCAAAGCCCATCGGGATCACTGCATCAAGGTATATCTAAAGGAGGAAAGCGAGAGCGAGAGCGAATACGAGGACGACGACGACGAGGAGGAGGAAGAGGAGAAGGCGGACGCGCTGAGCCGACGGAGGAGCGGCCGTGGCTCCGCGTTATTTCGCGGGTCGTCCCAAGTGTTTCAAAGTACACACACACACATGCATCTATCTGTGGAATGCTCATGAATCTGTAGATGGCAGCGGTAGCATGATGATTCCTGGCCTCACAGAGGAGCAAATTGCCCAACTCGTCAAGTTGAGCTCGAAATCCACCGACGTGCTCAAGTCGTCCAATGAAATCTCGGGACTCAAGGCGCAGCTCGAGGAAATGATGAAGTCCCAGGTGAACATGCAGGAGCTGGCCGGTCGCGTGACGACGATGCAGCAGACCCAAGAGACACAGCAGCAAGCGTCGTCCACGTCGTCGACGCTCCTTCAAAAGTCGGCGTCGCTCAAACAACATGAGCTGGAAAAACTCATGCACAAGCTGGAGGCGTTGGAACAGCGCGCCAACTTTAGCGGTGGCGGCGCACCTCCAACGTCGTCGTCGTCGTCGTCCACGATGCCGCCCATGATGATGATGATGCCGCCGCCGCCGCCGGTGGTGATTTATACGCCGCTGCTGGTGCAGAACGACGACAAGTTCAAAAAGTACTTTAAACTGCTCAAGATGGCCATGCCCGTGGACCAGATTAAGGCCAAAATGGAGGTCGAAGGCGTGCCGCCCGCGCTGCTCGACACCCCCACGGCGATCTCCCCCAACGACCCAGGGGTACAGTGAGTGCACTTTATGCTTTAGCTTTGAGAATCTGTGGATATTATATTGTGGACTCGTGGATTTCCAGACGTGGTCGAATCACGCCGACGCGAATGGCTAATTCATTTTTAAATGGATTATTTGATTGGCTCTTACAGAAAGAACAAAAGTATATTCAACCAATCAGAACTCTTGATTTTGGAAGTTTTATAATGGATTATTTGATTGGCTCTTACAGAAAGAACAAAAGTATATTCAACCAATCAGAACTCTTGATTTTGGGAGTTTTATAGATATAATTCACAATACGTTTTAGTTGTATTTTTCGAAAACAGCAGTCTCATCTCAGGAGTGTTGGTCCGTGTCCGACCGGATAATGAGAATATATATATTTTTATTTCGAAAAAAATATTTTGATTGTTGGACCAACAATTGATGCATGCCAAGAGTGTGAAACCAATATGTTTGCAATAATACTCGACGTACAGTAATAGATTCATGCATGCTCATTCTTTACTTTCAGAGTGAAATGTGTTGATGTCGATAACGATGAAATGGTATTTCGACGGTAGGCACCGCCAGGGGCGTACTTGCCGCTGACGGTGGGCGAGGACCCGAAATTCAAAAAGTACTTTAAGCTCCAAGAGATGCACATACCAGTGGACCAAATCAAAATGAAGATGGAAGCTGAAGGCCTCGACCCGGATCTGCTGGACCACCCCGAGAAAGTCTCCCCCCACGACCCCGGGGTTCGTACCCCCGACCAAATGTTCTGTGGAAAGTTCTTTGAAACCACAAACTGAATATCGTGTGTAGCCGCCAGCCGTGAACGGAGGGGGGTTTGCGTTTCCGGGAGCTGCCCCCGCCTTGTTGCAACCTGTGGCGGCCCCGTACATTCCGTTACTCGTCAAGGATGACCCGGCATTCAAAAAGTACTTTAAGTTGATGTCGATGGGCATGCCCGTGGAACAAGTGGAGCTCAAAATGAAAGCCGAAGGTTTCGATGCATCCGTGCTTGCTACTCCTGACGCCGTGTCCCCCAACGACCCTGGCGTACGTGTTGACCCTAGTTTATGTATGGCATTGATATTGCATCTGAAAGAAGGGATTGGAGCGCAGGTCGATATTTTTAAATCTGTGTTTGATCTATGTGACCAAAAGATCCTTTTGTAATTCAAAGAATGGTTTTATATTTTTGAATTTTTTTAAAAATCGTACTTGGGTGCTGATTTTCGCCAAATCTATCATCGATTCTTTGTACTGAATTTTGTATGTAAAACGGTGTCGGGTGGTGACTGTTATCACACTAATTGAAGTCACACACTAATTTGACGAGGGTGTCCTGCTATCTGATTGGCTCAATGCGATTCTTGTGTACATGTATATTTGGTTGTGTTGACAACACATTGTCCATAACGCTCCAGTTTAGAATCAATACATTACAATATTACCAGTTGTTTGTTACAAGTCCCCTCTTTTGCAGTGACCGGGGGAATTTATAAAGCCACCCCAAAGTTTGAATATTATTAACCAATCAGAATCCTCTTTTTCGGAATAGTTGTTTTGATTTGCCAAAATCATCCAAGGTGACAAATCACACTTCAACATGAAGAACAATTGTATATATATATATACCATGCAATGTATACAAAAATACGAAAAATGAATATAGTAAATCGTTCAACTGGGACAAAGCCTTGGACTACCATTGGTTGGAAGTTAGGATTGAAGACATTTCATTGGCTAGTCGATTGTCTGAGTTTGGCTTGCTCCTAGACTGCTCAGTTCGAATCGAATGCATAATATCTTTTTATCCCCGTTGAGCAACTCACAATGCTGTAGCCGCCGCCACCTCAAGCGCCGACCCCACCGGTGTCGGGTGGTCCGATGGGCGGCGTGTCGATGGAGCAAATGTTCGCCATGGTCATGCATCACCAGCAAATGATCCAATCTGGTATTGTCCCCTTACTCAACATTAGGACTTATGGTGATTTCCGCCAAATCCCTTATCAAGTCGTTGTCGTGAATGTTGTATGTAAAAACGTGTTCTGTGGTGTCACACTAATTTAGATTTCACACTAATTAAATGTATATGCGGGTGGTGCCCTGCAATCTGATTGGATCAATTCTTCTGCCGATATATTTTTATTTGGTTGTGTCGACTCTTTTCTCCACGTCGCTCCAGGTTTAGAATCAAAAATACACCAAGACTAGATCACAACGATATATTGCTAAATCACAATATATATATATATATATATATATATATGACATACGGATGTCGTAGGTGCCGCGGGTGGAAGTGGGATGCGGACCGCCCCCAACGGAGATGGAGGCGCGGCGCCCGTGCGGTCGGTAAAGGACCAGATGGCGGCGGAACTGGCGGCCGCGTCGGACGCCGTGCACGACATCTTTGGAGAGGACACGGTCAAGGCGACGGGCGGCGGCATGACCATGGTGGAACAGCTCGAGAAGAAGGCGCGAAAGGACTTGAACAAGAAACTTGTGGATAATATTGACGCCATCAACACGACCATCCAAGACCTCTTGACTGTCCAATTCACGACGGAAGCGGTATGTTGTCTAGTTTATATGTTGCTGTCTGGCTAAAAAGGATGTGGTCTATAATATGTGGTCTACAGTATTGTGGTCTATAATATGTGGTCTATAATATGTGGTCTATAATATGTGGTCTATAATATGTGGTCTACAGTATTGTGGTCTATAATATGTGGTCTACAGTATTGTGGTCGAGTCTGTTGTGTTTGCCGCTTGGGTGTGTGTGTGTGTTATTGAAGCGAGTGGCCACTGGGCTTGAATATGGATATCGTTATTACGTGGTCTTATTTCAGTTTATATATATATATATATATATATAAACTGAATATATGTGTACAGTATATATGTATATATATACTGTATCCTTCAGAAGTACACATATATTTCCATGGAGTGGCGAATTGACTGTTATATATATATATACCTATATCAATGGACTATATAATATTCATATACTACATGACTCGAGTTCGTATGATTTATGCCAAGGATATACGCTCGAATATATATATATATATTTATATCTCTGTTTGTAGCAAGCGGTGCAGTACGCCACGGACGCCGCCAAAAGGGTATTTAATATATATGAAAAATCATTGATATATATTTATTTATATGAACGCATTGTTGTACAGTTGGACGCGTTTGGGTTAACGTTGGGGGTGGATGCCAATCAAACGTGGTCAGCTCGGTACGGTCCCTTCTATATATATATACGAACTACTCGATCGAGCATTCTATGAGTATATATATATGAGTCGAATGACTTGATGCGTAGACTTTTGATCAAGAACAAGGATACTCGGGACTGGTACTTCAACGAGCAACAGCGCATGGACGCTGGACACGCGTACCTGCGTCTGTGGTCGCTGTCGACCCTTGCCAACGACGTATCCCAGCTGACACAAAAATACGACCAGATTGTCAACGCCCCCGTGGTGCTGTCGGCGCAGAACAAGAACAAGATTGAAGTGATTGACAAGTTTACCAACTTGCTCAAGGACGCGGTATATATATATACCCAAGAAATAAGGATATATGAACGACCACGTGGGATGGATCCGTAGGTGAAACTGAAACACAAGATCTTCAAGAACAAGACGTACGACGACGAACTGGCACGCATGGCGACGCTAAACATTCCCCAGGAATACGACAAGCACGGTATATATATATATATTGTCGGATATGGTGGTACAGTGTCATTTGATCTTTAATATATATATATATATGAAGTGATGATTTGGCAAATCGACTGTTCCTTTTTGTATGGTCGAAAGTTGGAGGGGTGACGACCTGTACGAGTGGAAAACGATTGAACGTGTTAAAGGAATCGTTTGGGGATTTGTCAACGTTGTTGAGGATGGAAGAATGCGATGATATATATATATATATATATGGAGGGGATGGTGGAATAATGCAATATATATACATATATATGGAGGGGATGATGGAAGAATGCAATATATATATATATATACATGTCGTTGCAATTTGTTTGAATCATCAAGCGCTGATGATTGTGATGTTGTGTCTGTAGGCGATGAATTGATTGATGCGGCGGCGATATTGGCGGCCGCCGCGCTGGACTTTGCAGACGAAGAGCTCCGTGTGTTGGACAAGACTGTGCGAGCCAAGAAGATTCGAGGTACACGAACTCGTGTATTGTTGCAATAGAATGAAATGTGTGCATGGGTTTTAGCGTCCGCAACGGTGCACGTGGGTGAAAAGGCGGTGCAGCTGGTGGGTATTGTCAACAAGTTGGGCGCGCGGGGGATGGATGCAGTCAACGCACGCATGGGGCCGCTGGACGAGCAGCTGAATGCGATCAAGGAGCAGTTTTTCGCTGACAAGGACGAAGAAGAGGAGGACGATGTGTTGTAATAATGGGACTAGTTGGACTTGCGACTAGTATTTAGAGCATCTCCAAGGGTAAATTCGAACCTATAATGCTAAAGCATGGTAGGTTAAACTTCGTTTTTACGGTTGCTATTTTGGCACTATCCGGACTTTTGAAAAATTATTTCGTCCCGCAGAATCTCTATTTTCTCGTGAAATAGCAACAAACCCTCCGGATAGAGCAAGAGTTTCTATTCTATATCCGTAACTTCGAATTGAAATACTGTAGAAATACAAACGCCGTTGGAGACGCTCGTAATAGTCGAGAATCGAATGAATTGGACCAATGGATATTTGAGAATGTTCTAGCCAATCAAAGTGCAAGAACAAGACGTTTCAACCAATCATCGTTTGATACAGTTTGGCCCGTCATTTGTTCATCTTGAACTTTGTATACTATCCATTGAAAATGCTTTAATTCAGACCCTCAAATCATGATTCTCGAATCAGCTGCCACGTCCAAATTTCAGCGAAAAGGACAATATCGTGCCACTCTTAGAATCCCCAATGGTGCGACGGTACTACGTATAATCAGACAATATTTTGACATTTGCCCTCACTGAATTTTACTGCACTTCTTTTCCCAAAGCTGAAAACGGGACATAATCCGCATAACAGGACCGTCCGGTTATGGTGATTTGGCTGATGGAAGCATGGAACAACGACATAGACAACGAATTGGGCCCTACGCTCAAGTAATCCCAACGTACATAGTGATACGGACTAGAGCTCATGTTGATGAGAACGAAACTGAGAATTTTAAGCTGCATGGAGAGTTAATTTGCCCTCTTGTTGACTTCGAATGGTACAAAAAACTGCTCACGAGCAGTGTCGCTCAACCCAGTCAGTAGGGTCTTCAAAGGAGGCAACTCCAATCTCAATTGCTCTGCATATGCTCTAAACCGTGCTTCTGAGAGGATATCTAACTAGTGAGATATCCATGCTTGCATTTGATTGGTGAATATACTTCAAGTAGTGTAGTCAATGATTGGCTCCTGTATTTTGCCATTCGGTGTTCTCAAAACGGTAAAAATGGCCGATTTGCCGTCTCGCGGTAAAAATATACCGTACTTGGGCGGTATTTTGGAAATGAGGCGGTGGCTGATCAGGTCAACAGATCCAGATCAGCAGGGATTACGCATTATAATTTCGAAATGTGCTCTCGGCTCTTTAATATGTCGCTGACCAACTGAAACCAACTCATTCTTCCGGAGATAAGACCTACTATTATTAATACGTAGTACTACGTAGTACGAAGTATTTATTAAGGGCCCGTCTGGTAACTTTTCAAAAATAGTATTCCATTTTTTGGCAAAATGGGATAAACGAAAAATGCCATTTTCAAAATGGAGGTAAAAGTCCATTTTGTAATATTGGCGTTTTTTTAGGACCACCTAAAGGAGTAAATCCCACTTGGAATTACTACGTAGTATTGGATTTGGGTTAAAACTCTTTGAACATGACATGTTTCAATATTGATCAGATTTGTTGAATTCGGCCCCAAAATGGGGTTTTGGGGCTGAATATTGCAATAGTTCCAGTTACCAGACAGGCTATACATAGATCAATACAGCTCGTTTTTGGAAAAACAGTCCAACTTGATCGGGAAATAGTGTTGTAAATGCGAATCGCCATCATCATTTATTGAAGATGAATAAATGAATCCTGGGCGCGAGTGTAACGGATTCGTTTCGGACGAAGGGTTTCACACTTGGAGGCGTTTCATCGCCTGCAGCCAACGGACACGTGCATTTGCAGAAGCTACAGACGACGGCCAGCTTCCAGTGCGGGAGCGGCGACGACAGGCAGAACCATAATCGACATCATGGGCTCCGACAAGTACGAGTCCAAGATGGAGAGGCAGGAGGAGACAACTGCTCGCCACAGAAAGGTATGGTCGTGTGATTGGTGCCTCTTGTCAGGGTGTTTTTGACCACTTCTACTTGTGCTTTTGGCTGTAGTTTCAGCGCATTTCGCTTGGGTGCTTGACGACAAAACACCCCATACGAAGGATATGCATCCGAATAGTCACGTGGAAGTGGTTTGATCGGTTCATCGTGTTCTGCGTCATCTTCAACACGGTGATTCTGGGCTTGACAGACTACACAGACGCATGGGCAGACGGACCCAACAACACGATTTGGATAAACTGGTTCATTGATAGCTGCAACGGCGTCAGCTTTTACATCTTCCTCGCCGAAGCCACGTTCAAGATCATCGCGATGGGGTTCTGTTTTGGCCAGCGCGCGTACCTAAGCGAAGGCTGGAACCGACTCGACTTTGTCATCGTTTCGTCAGGGTATGTAGCAACCCTAAATTCGCAGGGATGTTGACAGGTTATACTAGGTTCTTGTCCATCTTGAATATCAAAGGCATCAAAGTTGGGTTCATTCGAGTTCTCCGCGTGATGCGACCCCTACGCACACTTCACTCTCTGCCTGGTGAGTCCTTCGTCGTTCTCCACACAACCCAACGACTGACATGTGTCTGAGCAGGCCTGAAAGTCCTGACGAATTCGTTGCTGGCCAGTTTACCAGCCCTCGGGAATGTGTTTGTGTTGCTCATGTTTTGCATGCTTGTGTTTGGCATCCTTGGCATGGAAATCTATCGAGGCGCGTACCACTTTCGGTGTCGGGTGACGCCCTACCCCGTCGTGTTACCGCCCAACGGCACGTTCAACTACCCCCCGAATGCGTCGTACATTTCGCTAGTCCAGCAGTCCCCCGACCAGTTCCAGTGCCTCTTTCCCAACGGCACGCAAATATCTCAACTCAACAACGTATGGGACGAGCCCACGGATTGCTTTTGGCCCGTCGATACATCGGAAGCAATTCCCATGGTATGCAATGAGCAACTGGACATTGGTCGACAATGCCATGGCGGTACCATCTGTGGCTCCAACTTTGACGGACGTGGCAACCCACGCTTTAACTACCTCCTTCAGCCGCCTTGGAACGGCAACATGAACGACGACGCGCTATTTAATTCCAACTTGAACTATGGGCTGGCAAGCTTCGACAACCTCGGGCGAACGTGGTTGATCTTACTCCAAACAATCACAGCATCGGGATGGATGGTGCTCACTCAAACAGTACGTGATTCTATTGGCCTGCTTCAATATCGCTCACGTGCAGACCCTAATCCTTATCTTGTAGACACAAGGCACAGCCAGCCCCGTGGTCGCGGGCATCTACTTTACCGCGTTGCTGTACATTGGCATGTGTTTCTTGCTACAGCTAAACATGGCCGTGCTGTTTACTGAGTTCGAAAGGGCCAAAAACAAGCAAGCCTTTCTCCTCGAAAACGAACGGTATGCCGACTGATTTAGGACGACGACGAGGAGCATGCCCCCCTCCCTCGAAGGGGGGTCATTCCCCAGAACCATACCAAACTCGTGTGTTTGTGTATGCGTAGGGAATGCTTGTCCAAGGTGCTTGCGACGATCCCATTATCCAAGCGGCGCCATCCGCTCAAAATTCATAGCACGCAACTGCTCCAGCGAGTGAGCATCGTGGCAGCCCAGCAGGGCGACATTATGATCCAGTCGTCGTTGGGGCGGCGGTGGCTTGACTTTCGTAAGCGGATGTATCGCCTCGTGACATCGTGGGCGTTTGTCAACTTTGGGCTGGTCGTGACCGTCGCCAACATTTTGGTGCTCGCGATGGACTACCACGACATTGACTTGACGACTCAAAATAACTTTGAAACGGTCAACTTTATCTTCATGCTGTACTTCGGGGTCGAATCCATCATGAAGATCGTCGGGCTCGGGTTTCGCCGGTTCTGGACGTACGTATTAGGATCATCCACACGGACGAAAAATCGGGTGTTTTGAACGGCGATTTTGTAGGGACAAGTTCAATCGGTTCGACCTGCTTACGTTCGTGATGGGCGTGATCGAAGCTGCGACCAACCCCCCCGCATGTATTGATGGCACCCCCGGGGGCAATGGCTTTTTCACGGCGTTCCGCGCCGCCCGCGCGTTCAAACTCGCTCGAAAGTGGAAGTCGCTCAACCAACTCCTGTCTGCGATTGTCAGCTCCATGGGCGAGATTCTCAACTTTTTGTTGTTTTTGCTGCTGTTTATGCTCATCTTTAGCCTCGTGGGCATGGAAGTACGTGCTGTATATCTATATATATTATGGATTCGGTACAAATTTCCAGACCCCATCAAATCGAATCTCGCCGCCGAATCGAATCATGAATCGACGCTATTTTGGATCATCCATTTTTGGATTTTGTGTGGAAGGACAAGTATATTCAACTAATCAGAACTCAGCGTGATTCAATATTGAGATTCGACAACCCATGTGAAGTTTCGAAGTTTTTAGCGAATTCACAATATATATATATATATATATCTACGCTTCCTCGTCGTTTGAGCGTGCGTTAATTCGTGTAGTTGTTTGCCACACGGTACCAATTCGACCCCGACAACTTTGCCATGGCGTTCAACAACACAAACCCGCAAACGAGGCTGCATCGGTCCAACTTTGACTCGATTGTGTGGGCCGCGTTCACCGTGTTTCAGTTTCTCACGTACGACAACTACCCCGCCGTCATGTACGACGGATGGATTGCCGTGGGGGCATCGTCCCCCGTGTTCGCGTCGATTGTAATCATCACAGGGGTGTTTATTGTCATGAACATGTTTTCCGCCATTCTCGTGCAAAGTGTCATGGACGGCAACGAAGACAGCAACGCCGAGTCGCATCAAGTGGATATCACCAGCGACAGCGGCAACAACCCCCACGACCCGACCAGCAACAAGGCAGTGGACGAAAGATCGGCAGACCGACGCTCGCCGCCCAGCCAGCTGCGGTCGAGAAGCATCAGGGCGGCGCGGCGGGCCATGCGGATGCTGCTTCGACTCAACGAGAAAAATGCCAACCCCGAGGATCCGACTATCATCGGCACGCCCACTAAAGACGACGTTATACATGGACAAACCAATCAAGGCAAGAGTTTGATGCTGTTTGCCCACATCAACCCGATTCGAAGACTGTGTGTGTCGATTCTCAACCGACCAGAATACACGTACGTGATGAGCTCGATCATTTTCGTGTCGTGCGTGGGTACGGCGTTGGATTCGCCGCTGCAAGACCCCACCAAGGGCCTTGGACTCGTCTTGGACACGTCCAATTTGGTGTTTGCCGTCCTCTTTTCCACGGAAATGGCGCTCAACGTGATCGCCCGGGGGTTCATTCAAGGCCCCGATGCGTTTGTGAAAGACTCGTGGCGACTCCTCGACGGGTTCATTGTGTTTGTGTCTGTGTTGCCGTTTTGTTTGGGCAATACCAAGAGCGGCGCGTTGTCTGGCCTGCGGTCCCTTCGGGCGTTCCGGGCGCTGCGCCCCCTCCGCGTGATCAACAAACTGCCGTCGTTGAAGATCGTCGTGAACACGTTGTTCCGGTGTATTCCAGACATGGGCCGGGCGCTCATGTTTGCGTTCTTCATGCTGTTTCTGTTTGGCCTCATGTCCCTCGCTTTGTTCAAAGGCGCACTCCACACGTGCTCTGTGAGTCCGTACAATTATGGCCTCGGGACCGGCACCCCCGTCAACCCCCCGTGGTTCCCCACGGATTACACCGGCGACTTTAACATTGTTAATGTGACAGTGTTGGGGGAGCTGGATGTGATGACGTTTCCACGGCCGTGGACCAAGATGACGGACCCACAAAAGGATGCCATGCGACCCGTGTGGAACCAGCCCGGCTGTGGCCCCTTTGCCGACGACTTTATGCCGACATCGCGAGACATTTGCCTGTGCTTTGCCGGCCAAAATGGCACGTCATGGGACTTGATGGCGCCCCAGAGCTTTGACAACATTGTGTTTGCCGTGATGGGGTTGTTTGAGCTGACAACGATGGAGGGGTGGACGTCGACGTGTTTGGCGTGTATCGATGCCGTGGGCGAAAACATGCAGCCGATTGAAAACTACAACCCGATGATCATGGTGTACTGGTGGCTGTACATGATCATCTGCGCGTTTTTCATCACCAACTTGTTCATTGGCGTGTTGTGTGACAGCTTTACGCGGGAAACGTACGGGTCCATGGTCACGGACGAGCAGATTCAGTGGATCAAGCTCCAAAACAAAGTGTTGGCCATGTCCCCCCAGCGCGTGCATCCGCGCCCCAAGCACTACGCGCGAAAGTGGTGCTACAAAGTGTCCACGTATCCGTACTTTGAGCACTTTATCACGACTGTAATCATGACCAACACGGTTGCGATGGCGGTTCAGGTGTTTGGCCAGAGCGTCGCGACTGAACATGCGTTGACTGCAATGAATTCGGTCTTTTCCGTCATCTTTACCATTGAGGCCGTGGCCAAGCTCGGGGCATTTGGTCGCGTGTACTTCGACGACAGCTGGAACCGGTTCGACTTTGTAATTGTCGTGTTTACGATCGTGAGCTTCATTTTGCAAGCGGTGGACATCAACCTTGGGTCGGCTGCCACAGTCATTCGCGTGTTCCGCGTTGGCCGCGCCTTGCGCCTCATCAAAAAGGCCAAGATCATGAAGAACCTGTTTGACACGCTCATCGTGTCGCTGCCGGCTGTCGTGAACGTGGTGAGTTTGCTCAGCTTGCTGTACTACATCTTTGCGGCCGTGGCCGTCCAATTGTTTGCCAAAACTGCGTTCAACAACAGCATGGTCAACGAAAACCAAAATTTTCAGAACTTTTGGACGGCGTTTCAAACGCTGATTGGGTTTTCCACGGGTGAAAACTGGGACAACTTTACGTGGGAAATGTACTACGTCAAGCCCGCGACCAACCCCACATGTGAAGACCGGTCGTACAACGCCAGCATGTGCGGCTTCAACGACACGTACGGGTGTGTCCCCCTAGACGGATGCGGAAGCAGCCTCATTGTGCCGTTCATGTACATCTTCTTCCTCATCATGGGCTACGTGGGCATCAACTTGTTTTCGGGGATTGTCGTCGACGCCATCGGCGACGCGTCCAGCGAATACGTGAATGTGAACACGCTGGCAGAATTTTCCGACCGGTGGGCGCAATTCGATCCGTCCGGCACGGGACTCATCACGGCCGACGAACTGACCGACTTTTTGTACACCGTATACCCACCATTTGGGTTCAAGGGTGTGCCGGGGTTTACCCGTCGTCGGGTTGTGATTGCCATTGGTACGTAGAGACGACATTGCAGCTGAAGCTCTGTGTGCTGCAATATCTGTCATATTATTTTCTCGTCTGCATCGATCCCGTTTGTACCAACGTCTAGTATGCGTATAGTAATTAACCTGATAGGCTTGATATACTTCTTCTGTTCCATAAGCTGTCAACATTTGACTTCGACATGACCCCAAAACTTCATTTCTTGTTCGAATTTGATTGAACGTATCAATTTCGAACGAGCATGAAACATTGGTGAATTTGTGGGTTTGACAGCGCACAAAAATATAGTTTTGTGTAAAATAATTGACTTTGTTTAACGGGATGAACGTTACAATAAAATCTTGAACAAGAACTATATTAAAAAAAATACAAGGGTGTGAAGTGTCAATTCACCCATTACTAACGCAATATGATCTGATCTTACCGAGAATGGTCTAAACCAATGAAATCCATAGAAGTGTTTCATGAGCCAACCATAGGGCAGTTAATGTCGACAGTGACATGGAAAAATATGGTGTTGAATTGTCGACAGTATATAGGAACAGAGGAAGTATAATTTTTCTGTTCTGTATGGTACGAACCTCATGCTGCAGTTGAAGTTCAACTTGTACACCTGATATATCATTTTTTTATGCGTCGATTGTACGAACCTCATATTGAAGTTCAACCTGATACACATCCTTTTACTACTACGCAAGCAAGATTGCAGTTGGCAAAAATGATGTCTTGACCGCGTGAATCTGACATGATCCATGTGCTGTGCAGGGGACTTGGGGATTCCGATTTACGACCTCATGTACGTTCACTTTAAGGACGTGCCTCGAGCTTTAGTTCAGCGAGTCCTGGCCGAGGTAAGTTGGTCCCGATCAAAGCTAATCGATCGATGTTGACCTTCGCCACAGGGAAGTCGAGAAAAGCATGCAGAAATCACCCGAATCATGGAAGAGAAGGGCATCAACAAGCAGTTCGACGAAATGTGGTTTCGAACCCACGGCAAAAAGCACCAACGCGCGTTGGTCCAGAAAGAAAGGAGTCCGTTGCGGGAGTACTCGAGCGCGCTGATCATTCAGCGGTTTCTGGGCAAGGCGCGTCTAGAACGCACCCGGCGCCTGTCGAAATCCGTCGCATATGACGGATCCACCAAGCTGGCACATCCGTCGTCGTCACAGCAATCTCATCGATCAAGAGGGGAAGACGAAGGGGATGATGGGGGGTGCACTGACGATCAAGGGGCACAAGAACAACCACCCCCATCGTAGAAATCAATCGTTAGATATGTGCCATGAAACATTTACAATGTGCAATGTGCACTTCACCGACAATACGTTAGAGTTTTCTCTCCAGTTTGCAGACATACACATACAGAACTATAACGCTAACGTTAGCTCAAATAGCATAAGTTAAACCAGCAGGAAACACTAGTCCCACTCATCCTCATGGATTTGGCCTAGGGCGGATGACTTTTCTTGGGAATTGGTTTCAATGGTGAAACCACCATTGGGACGGTTTCAAGAGATACCAACCGTCACAGCCGACACACCGAGATCCCGAACATGCCGCTTCGGATGCCTTGATCATGACGAACAAAGTGCAAAGTGAAGAGAACGTGGCGGGCCACCACCACATTGACAAGGTACATCCCTTTCAACTTATTTGGAATGTGTTGGGCTCACTTGCGAGAGCAGTTTCAAAGACTGTCGTTGGGCTGCCTCACCACCAAGCACCCCATACGAAGGATATGCATCCGAATTGTCACATGGAGGTGGTTTGACCGGTTCATCGTCGCCTGCGTCATCTTCAACACAGTTATCCTCGGCTTGACAGACTACACAGACGCGTGGGCCGACGGCCCCAATACCACGATCTGGATCAACTGGTTTATTGACAGCTGCAACGGCATCAGCTTTTACATCTTTCTTGCCGAAGCCACGTTCAAGATCATCGCGATGGGGTTCTGTTTTGGCCAGCGTGCGTACCTGAGTGAAAGTTGGAACAGACTTGATTTTGTCATAGTCACGTCAGGGTATGAGAAAGACAATTCGCTCAATTGGCCTGGTCTTGACGACGTGTTTTAGGTTCTTGTCCATTTTGAACATCAGAGGCATCAAAGTTGGGTTCATTCGAGTTCTCCGCGTGATGCGACCCCTACGCACACTTCACTCTCTGCCTGGTGAGTCCTTCGTCGTTCTCCACACAACCCAACGACTGACATGTGTCTGAGCAGGCCTGAAAGTCCTGACGAATTCGTTGCTGGCCAGTTTACCAGCCCTCGGGAATGTGTTTGTGTTGCTCATGTTTTGCATGCTTGTGTTTGGCATCCTTGGCATGGAAATCTATCGAGGCGCGTACCACTTTCGGTGTCGGGTGACGCCCTACCCCGTCGTGTTACCGCCCAACGGCACGTTCAACTACCCCCCGAATGCGTCGTACATTTCGCTAGTCCAGCAGTCCCCCGACCAGTTCCAGTGCCTCTTTCCCAACGGCACGCAAATCTCTAAACTCAACGACGTATGGGATGAGCCCATGGATTGTTTTTGGCCCGTGGATGCTTCGGAAGTTATCCCTATGGTATGCAATCAAGAGCTTGGCATTGGTCGGCAATGCCAAGGCAACACAGTGTGTGGCTCCAACTTCGACGAACGGGGCAATCCGCGCTTCAACTACCTCCTTCAGCCGCCTTGGAACGGCAACATGAACGATGACGCGCTATTTAATTCCAACTTGAACTATGGGCTGGCAAGCTTCGACAACCTCGGGCGAACGTGGTTGATCTTGCTCCAAACAATTACAGCATCGGGGTGGATGGTGCTCACTCAAACAGTACGTGATTCTGTTGGCATGCTACAATATCGCTCTCGTGCAGACCCTAATTTCGATCGTGTAGACACAAGGCACAGCCAGCCCCGTGGTCGCGGGCATCTACTTTACCGCGTTGCTGTACATTGGCATGTGCTTTTTGCTACAGCTAAACATGGCCGTGCTATTTACCGAGTTTGAAAAAGCCAAAGACCAGCAAGCCAAACTCATGCTCAAGGCAGAGTAAGAGCACACATAATCTTCGAGACGGTGGCGAAAGGCTGACGAGTGGCTGATTGCAGGAACAAGTTGGTGTCTCAACTGACATTTGGGTTTCCCATGCGTACAATGCATCGCCTAGAGAACGCCCCAGGAATGAAATTGCTGACCAGAGTGTCGGTGGCGGCTGCCATCCACGGAGACATCGTCGTGCAGTCGACAATAGGCCGGCGAATGCAAGCGTGGCGCGAGTGTATTTTCCGCATCGTGAGCTCCAAGCATTTTGTGAATTGCGGCGTCGTAGCCACGGTGGCCAACATCCTCATCTTGGCCGCGGACCACCACGACATTCCGATTCGGACTAAGCAGGCGTTCGAGATTGCCAACTTTGCGTTCATGATGTACTTTGGCATCGAGTCGACATTGAAGATCTGGGGTATGGGGTTGTCTCGGTTTTGGAAGTACGTTCGACATGCCACCACCTCAATACCCTCCATATCACTCAAAGCTCGCCGTTTCAAAGTCAAACGGAATGTGATGGAACTTCTCGATTTTATTTGAAATACAACTCGCCCATGGATTTATGTACCTCTCTTGTAGGGACAAGTTTAACCGATTTGACTTGCTGACGTTTGTGATGGGGGCGATCGAAGCGGCGTTGCACCCACCGTCGTTTGTGGATGGCACGGTGGGGACCGCGGGGTTTTTCACAGCGTTTCGCGCGGCCAGGGCGTTCAAGCTAGCGCGGATGTGGAAGTCACTCAATCAACTGCTCACGGCGATTCTGCAATCGCTGGGCGAGATCCTCAACTTTTTGCTGTTTCTGCTCTTGTTTTTGCTCATTTTTAGCCTCGTGGGCATGGAGGTACGTACGCACCTACCCACCTACTTACATATTGGGCCCGTATTTGACAGGGTTGGTTTTGTACATAGCTGTTTGCCACTCGATACCAATTCGACCCTGACAACTACCCGATGTCATTTAACAACTCGAACCCGCAAACGAGGCTGCACCGATCCAACTTTGACTCGCTCCCGTGGGCCGCATTCACCGTGTTTCAAATCCTCACGTATGACAACTACCCCGCCGTCATGTATGACGGATGGATCGCCGTGGGCGCGTGGTCCCCCCTGTACATGTCAATTGTAATTATCCTTGGGGTGTTCATTGTCATGAACATGTTTTCCGCCATCTTGGTGCAAAGTGTCATGGACGGCAACGGCGACGAATTGCCTTCCCCGAACGACGTCGACGCCGGACCCCACGGAGACCAATGTGCAAGGTCCATTACCCATCAACGGCAGTCGTCTATTGGCACAAAAAGCGTACGCGTGGCCAAGAGAGCGATGCGGAAACTCTTGCGACTGCACATCGTGCACGCGTTTCAACCAATGCGACATGTTTTGGATGGCCCGCCGGCCCATCTTGTTCCACGCGGCAAGAGCCTACTGCTCTTCTCCCACAGGAATCCCATTCGAAAGTTCTGCCACTACATTCTCAACCGACCAGAATACACATACGTGATGAGCTCGATCATTTTCGTGTCGTGCGTGGGTACGGCGTTGGATTCGCCGCTGCAAGACCCCACCAAGGGCCTTGGACTCGTCTTGGACACGTCCAATTTGGTGTTTGCCGTCCTCTTTTCCACGGAAATGGCGCTCAACGTGATCGCCCGGGGGTTCATTCAAGGCCCCGATGCGTTTGTGAAAGACTCGTGGCGACTCCTCGACGGGTTCATTGTGTTTGTGTCTGTGTTGCCGTTTTGTTTGGGCAATACCAAGAGCGGCGCGTTGTCTGGCCTGCGGTCCCTTCGGGCGTTCCGGGCGCTGCGCCCCCTCCGCGTGATCAACAAACTGCCGTCGTTGAAGATCGTCGTGAACACGTTGTTCCGGTGTATTCCAGACATGGGCCGGGCGCTCATGTTTGCGTTCTTCATGCTGTTTCTGTTTGGCCTCATGTCCCTCGCTTTGTTCAAAGGCGCACTCCACACGTGCTCTGTGAGTCCGTACAATTATGGCCTCGGGACCGGCACCCCCGTCAACCCCCCGTGGTTCCCCACGGATTACACCGGCGACTTTAACATTGTCAATGTGACAGTGTTGGGGGAGTTGGACGTGATGACGTTTCCACGGCCGTGGACTGACTTGACCGAGCCGCAAAGAGAAGTGTTGCGACCCGTGTGGAACCAGCCCGGCTGTGGCCCCTTTGCCGACGACTTTACGCCGACATCGCGAGACATTTGCCTGTGCTTTGCCAAGCAGAATGGCACGTCGTGGAAGCCTCAGACACCGCAGAGCTTTGACAATATTTTGGCGGCGATCGGTGGGTTGTACGAACTGACGACCATGGAAGGATGGACGAACGTGGCGTTGGCGTGTGTCGACGCTGTGGGGGAAAATATGCAGCCGATTGCCAACTACAACCCGATCATCATGGTGTACTGGTGGCTGTACATGATCATCTGCGCGTTTTTCATCACGAACTTGTTCATTGGCGTGTTGTGCGACAGCTTTACGCGTGAAACGTACGGGGCAATTGTCACGGACGAGCAGATTCAGTGGATCAAACTCCAAAACAAAGTGCTGGCGCTGGCCCCCCAGCGCGTGCACCCGTGCCCCAAGACCTACCCCCGAAAGGGGTGCTATAAAGTGGCCACGTATATGTATTTCGAGCACTTTATAACGGTCGTGATTCTCGTCAACACGGGGTGTATGGCGACGCAGTACTTTGGCGCGAGCGTGACCACGACGGAGACGTTGAACTCGTTGAACTTGGCGTTTTCTGTCATCTTTACTGTCGAGGCGGCAGTTAAGTTTGGCGGGTACGGGCTCGCGTACTTTGAAGACGGCTGGAACCGGTTTGATTTTCTCATTGTCGTGTTTACGATTCTGAGTCTGATTCTGCAAAGCATGGACATCAACGTTGGGTCGGCTGCCACGGTCGTGCGCGTGTTCCGAGTTGGCCGCGCCTTGCGCCTCATAAAGAAAGCGCGGATCATGAAGAACCTGTTTGACACGCTCATTGTATCGCTGCCAGCTGTCGTGAATGTGGTGAGTTTGCTCAGCTTGCTGTACTACATCTTTGCTGCTGTGGCTGTCCAATTGTTTGCCAAAACCGCGTTCGACGGCAACATGATCAACGAAAACCAAAGTTTCCAGAACTTTTGGACGGCGTTTCAAACGCTGATTGGGTTTTCCACGGGTGAAAACTGGGACAACTTCACGTGGGAAATGTACAACCAAGTGCCAGCCACCAACCCGACTTGCGAAGATCGATCGTATAACGCCAGCATGTGCGGCTTCAACGACACGTACGGGTGTGTCCCACTGGATGGGTGTGGCTCGTGGCTGATTGTCCCGTTCATGTATGTGTTTTACTTGATTATGGGGTACATTGGGATCAACTTGTTTTCGGGGATTGTCGTCGATGCCATCGGTGACTCGTCCAGTGATTGCCCTGTAAACGTCAACACGTTGGCGGAATTCTCTGACCGATGGGCCGAGTTTGATCCGTCCGGCACGGGAATCATCACGGCCGACGAACTCACTGACTTTTTGTACACGGTGTACCCGCCATTTGGGTTCAAGGGTGTGCCAGGGTTCACTCGTCGTCGGGTTGTGATTGCCATCGGTACGTCCCAACGACATTTCAGTTGAAGTTCAATGCCAAAGGTGAATTTCGGATATGTCCTATTGTGATATATCATTTTTTGGAATGTCGATATCTGATTAGGGTACGTCTGGTAACATTTCAAAAATAATATTCCATTTTCTCGCAAAATGGGATTTACCAAAATGTAATTTTCAAAATGGAGGTAAAAGGTCCATTTTGTAATGTGGCGTTTTGGACCTTATCAGCGAGTACTGTAAATATCACGTCGAATTATTGGATTTGGGTTAAAACTCTGCAAGCAAGACATCTTTCAATTTTGATCAGATTTGTTGAATTCGGCCCTAAAATGGCGCTTTGGGCCTGAATATTGCAATATTTCCGGTTACCAGACGAACCCTTAAACAACTTATTGTTTGAACTCTCATGTTCTGGTATATCGTATTTCAGCGCCATGGTCATTGCTATAATATCGTAGTACCTCTGGATGAGGCATTGCACTAAATATGTCGAAAACAAACATAGGGGAATTGGACATTCCAGTGTACGATCAAAAGTACGTTCATTTCAAAGACGTCCCGCGTGCGCTCGTACAGCGTGTGTTGGCAGAGGTACAACGATATGCAATTGCGATTTTGAGCGCTTCTGACACGAACGATTGTATCAGGGCAACCGCGAAAAGCACGCTGAAATCACCCAAGTCATGGAACGACTTGGGGCCAACAAACAGTTTGACGAAATGTGGTTTCGAAACCATGGCAAGCGACACCAAGCCAACCTCCTGCAACTCAACAAGTCGCATGTCAAGGAATATACAGCGTCGATTGTCATCCACCGGTTCCTCGCGCGCCTTCGACTCAACCGGGCGCGAAACCTATCAAAGCGAAATCTTCGACGGGCGGCGTTCTCGCCGCCCATTGAAGAGGAAAACGATGGCCCGGAGATCCTTGTACCAGTGAGGGGTCGTCCAACATTGGTCCTGCCTCAATCTGGTTCAGCATTGCCGTCACTGGAACGGCCAGTACTACACAAGGCATGTGGACTTACCGTGTCGACTCAAACAGACTTTTCAACCGCGTTGCTACCAACCGCCCATGGCGGTTTGCCAATTACTACTGACCAGGCGTTGTCGTCTCCGACTGAAGCAGACGTCCGCTTGGCGTCAACGGGTTTGTTCACCATGGTGAACGAACTGACATTGCCCATCCCAGCCAACTTTTCACCTCAGACCTCGCTTCCCGGCCGAGCCACCGGAGTGGCTACTGGAGGGCCACCGATGTATCCACCAGGTCCGGAACTGTCAATGCTCACTGTACCACATGGTCCGCCTATGGCATTAAACCATGTTTTGTCCTCGCCAACTAAAGCAGACGTCTCATCGCTCCCGTCTCCAGATTTCACAGCACCTATCGATGCAACCGATCCCCTGTCGCCTCCGACAGAAACCAATTTATTCCCTGGGGGCCCTGCAGTTGCAGATACTGCTCGGCCGCCGCACGATACCACATCCACACCCCAAACCCCTCCGCATGTGGCCCACCCTCCTTGCGAACCCCCATCACCTTCAAGCGCCTCTGCGCAACAATAATTAGTAATTTAACTTTCGTTTTTATGTGGCCGGACGGTTTGTTGCGATGAAATGCACGTGGCAAAGCCAGCCTAGACTTTGCAGCATCCGCCGCTTACGTTGCTGACAATACTGTCAGTATTGGAAGTGTGACAGGTGCCTGGGTGGGATTATACACACTTGAAATGATGTGTTGGATGGGTTACTTTCCATGTATCCTGGAGAGCCCTTGCCATGTAAAAGTATGTTAAGACCTATATTTATCGACATCGACAAGCAGCAGAATCGGTTTCAGGAGTTTCATTTCAGCCTTTGACCCCGCCAACACCAAACAGACTCCCCCGCGTGGTCAGTGTGCACACGTCCATATGGAGACATCCGAGCGACAAGACAGTGCTGTCAAGCTCAAGCACAGAAAGGTATGGCTTTTTCGTATCCCCAAACCCTTGACTCATGCAATCTGCGATGATCCGTCAGTTTCAACGGATGGCCTTGGGCTGCCTCACAACAAAACATCCCATACGACGGACTTGCATCCGAATAGTCACGTGGAAGTGGTTTGATCGGTTCATCGTGTTCTGCGTCATCTTCAACACGGTGATTCTGGGCTTGACAGACTACACAGACGCATGGGCGGACGGACCCAACAACACGATCTGGATAAACTGGTTCATTGATAGCTGCAACGGCGTCAGCTTTTACATCTTCCTCGCCGAAGCCACGTTCAAGATCATCGCGATGGGGTTCTGTTTTGGCCAGCGCGCGTACCTAAGCGAAGGCTGGAACCGACTCGACTTTGTCATCGTTTCGTCAGGGTATGCAGCAAACTTAAATTCGCAGGGATGTTGACTGGTTATACTAGGTTCTTGTCCATCTTGAACATCAAAGGCATCAAAGTCGGGTTCATTCGGGTACTTCGCGTGATGCGGCCCCTACGCACACTTCACTCTCTGCCTGGTGAGTCCTTCGTCGTTCTCCACACAACCCAACGACTGACATGTGTCTGAGCAGGCCTGAAAGTCCTGACGAATTCGTTGCTGGCCAGTTTACCAGCCCTCGGGAATGTGTTTGTGTTGCTCATGTTTTGCAT